ATTTATAGAAAATTAAAATTCAGCGGGCCAAAGCATAGGAAAAAAAAGTCATTCAAAATATGAATTTTAATTAGCATTTATATACACCGAAATAATAAATTTAACACACATGACAAATTTGACACGAAGAAACTGATTTAGTTAAATAGTTTGGGTACAAACAGCTATATTTAAAAGTTATACGTATACATAAAATGATATTTAGACATTTAACAATGTTTAATACCATATAACAATTTTTATATCGATAAGATAGCGTATAGTTGATACATTTTAAAATTGTATGATATAATTTGAAAATATAGAACGGGTCAAATAAAAAAAGCTTGAGGGCCGCCAATTGCCATTCCTGATATAGAGAATAGAACCCTAACACACTTTTTAATTTCGTTCTACACACTTAACATTTCGTATGACATACAGTGTGTCGTACTGCACACAATTTTAGTTCTTGTATTTAATAAACATATTATTTAATTTTTTAAAAAACCTTTTCATATTGTATTATTAAAATGGCAAAAAGTCAAATAAGGGTGAAAATCCTATGTCAGGCGAGAGTGCACAGTTGGATGAGATACATGGATGGGTGAATGGTATAGCTTTATTAGTCTTTTAAACTTAAAACAATGTATCTTTGCTCTAAGTGAAAGATATTGGGTAGATCAATTAATAATTTTAGAGATATAGTAGAAGTATCAAATATCTTAATTGAACAGATTGAACTTTTTGTGTTCTTTTACACTTTTTTAATTTTTACAAAAAAGGTATCCAAAGTTTGGGAAAATCGAAAAGTTTAAGTGCATATGTGTAGTACAAATTGAATTTAATAATTTTGAAATTATGAAATTTTTTAAACTAAATAACAAATTATTTTGTTTAATGGAAAGTTATTAAAATAGGTATCCGATTTCGTCAAAATTGCATTTCTTTACGGATATGACTCATTATTGCAATTTTCCAGAAAAATGTATTTTCTTTGAAAAATTCTATGAAAAATGTTGTAAACATTTCCAATCCTTCAGTAAAAAATTGATATTTTTACTAGAAAAATGTAAAAATGTAGTAAAAAGTTAAAAACTTACTCAGTATTTAATATTCAAACGCTGGTACACTTTTTTTTTAATATAAGCTTAATTATTTTCATTATCAGTAATAGTCATGTACGTGGGAGTTTGTTTTAAATTTTCTAATCATCAAGTAATCATTCAAAAAATCCTCTATGTTTTGAGTGAAAATGTTCTCACAAAAGATAATTTAAATAAGGAAAAATAACGTCATTGGGTTATTTAAATTTGACATGAAATTTATGTTTCAAAAAACGAATAGTATAGATTTTATGATTTAACATCTCATAGATTTGCCATGATGCTGTATAAATATTTAAATATTAATTTTTAATTGTTTTTATGTGATTTTATTAAGTCGTTCGAACAGATATTAACAATCCTATGAATAGCCTAATAACATTAATCTACTTTGGTTAATAACATCGCTTATTGTAATACACATCGTCAAGATCCATAAGACTCAATAATTACAATTTCATTGTTTATGAATCAGCTGAAGTACAGCCATATAGCTAAGTTATTATTATTGCAAATAATAAAAATTACCATATTGCTATAGAATATAGGCTATAGCTGCTGAGTTAGTGTATAAAGAGTAGATTTTTTTATTAACGTAAAGAAAAAAATCCACACTTAACTGTACTATAACTATAAGATTACGTTTTGTGTGTTTAGTGAATTTAATATATTGATGAATCTCAAAAATATTTTAGACTAAACACCGATACACTTTTCGTAGAAAACACAACGCTTTGTATTTTATTTTATTTTTTTTTTAAATTTTAATGTTAACGTGTTTTAATAATATAAAATGCAAATAAAAAAAAAAGTATACCTACCGCAGCAAGTTATAAATTGTAGCCATTTTTTTTTTTAATCTAAAAAGTATATATATATATATATACTAAATACATAAGTTTTATAAATAATCACTAATAACCATACGGTGTATTGAAATGAGCTGTATGATTTCCGGGTCAATTACCCAAAATATGATGATCTCTGTTAATTTTATATTTATTGTATTATCTTGATATGCAGATGTAAGCATTTGATAATTTAGGTAAAATAATAATATAAGATCTAAAAGCAAGAAAGATATGAGTACATAATGTTATAATGTAATAACCATAAATACTATTATTTGTAATTAATGCAGTAAATTAAAATCTTAAACAGTTTTATATATTATCATTGAATTCAATTTACGACTATGAAGTTCAAAATTACTAACAATATAGTAAGTTGTAAAAATATTTATTTTAATTGGACTGGACAGTTTTTCTTCTTTAAAGTTAAGGAAAACTCATGGAGGTCAGTCATAGTAGTCAATACCTATTCATTTCATAGTGACCTGAAAATGTTTACACTAATGTAGGTATTCTAAAAATATTTTTTATTTATGAAGCACACAACTGGTATAAAATGTAATATGGTCGAATATCCTGGAAATATTTTATCAAGAATTTTTAAATTCTAAAATTCTAAAAAAAATGGACCAGATAATTTAGTTAAAAGTACCCAAACTTTATGTTCGGACTCAAGTTCCTATTTTTCTTAAAATTTATTTTTTTTATTTATATTGGAACACATATTTTCATAACTTTTTATATAGTTTATTATATGAGTTTTTTTTAGGATTTTAAATAGAAAATGCATACACATAAAATAATTACCCAGAGCGTAAGACAATCTCATTCTTATTCATATCATCCTAAAGCTTATCTTGAAGAATATTTTATAATTTTAATATTATTCAAAATAATATACGCTTTGCGCTTAACTTTCAAATCTTCGAAATAAAAATCGCTTATTTTGTAAATTTATTATAAGTCTTTCAATTAATAATTACTTTTATTATAATATATATATTATTATTATATTATATTATTATATATATATAATATATTTTTAGAATTTTTTGTTTGTATATTAAAACCTAAAAAAAAAATCAAATATTTAAAAGAGATTGTTCCTGTAGTTTACAACAGTATATATTAAAAACACTTTTCAGTATTATGTCTGAATCTGAGTGTCTTGGTTTGCAACCGCGATGTAATAACGAAGAACAAGCTTTAAAGTTAACCATATTTTTTTCGTTTCACACTGATATAAGTACCCCTGTTAGGCTGTATATAAATTATTAGATTTTCATTTATTGCACATTTGCATCCAATTCATTGGGCTTTGTAAATTATAAATAATTTTGTATCAGTGAAATTGCTACAAAATAACAATAATTTTTATCATAAAAACCAGTAGGGTCTGAAATTAGTTAGAAAGTTAAGTATTACTTTTTAGTCTAGTCTATAAAATTAAATGCAACTTGATGCTTACATTGTTCGTGGATACTTAATTTTTTATCAATATTTGTTACTATAAGTGAAGGTACAAAATATAAGTGATAACTCATCGGATAACATACAAACATCAGTTATAGGTTCATAGTGTATTAATCAATATGTATGCTATAATCTATATCCATAAATTAATATTGAGATTATTTTTTACCGGAGTTAAATTCTAAACAAAGTGAATATCTTACAAACATCACAACATTAATGTTGAGTTTAGTTATTCGCAATATTCGTAAATTCTGCAACACAGATGAGACATTTTTGTAATTTTATACTTCACCTGAACTCGAATAGAGAGAACGGCTCAATTCATGTACTTTGAACACGTTCTTCGATTAAAAAGTTTGCAATTCAATATGGGATATCGATGCATAACCTAAACTGTCCGTAAATATCGGTATAATAACACGTTTTTATTTTTCACCCGATGAACCCAATAACAATAGTGATAATCGGATGTAGACGATAGGTTCTATCCGTAGAATAATATTCGTATACGTCACGATGATGTATAGGTATATCTTCAACCGTCAAATACGTAATCGTAAATCACTGAAAACGGAAAAATAGTTATAACATTAATAGTAATAATAACGGAAGTAATTTGTACGTGTGTGTGTGTATGAATAACGTATTCGGTTTCTGTGAACCGTGGCGTGAAATGGGTTTGGGCGTGTGTATTAGTATCAAGGGCGTGCCCAAGGGGGGAGGTTTCGGGTCCGGGCCCTCTACCATTGAAATTTCTACATACTCAACGATTTAATAGTAAATAGTATAATAATAGGTATTAATTGGTATATCGGTATATCGGTGTGTATTGCCAGGGCCGTATTCAGGGGGGAGGGCACTGGCTACAACTGCCCCGGGCGCCAGTTTTTTGAGGAGGCCAAAATTTAGTGGTCTGAAATTTTCTTACTTGTGAATTATTGAACTTTTGAAATTATTTTTATTTTTTTTTTTTTTTGTTTTTAATAACAGTATCATAAATTAATGTTAATGTATTTAATTTATTAATATATATTATCAATGTATTTATAGCAATATAGCTATCAGCGATCCAGAATATTATTTATAAACCTAATATTAGTTCCCGAATTCGTTGTGATAATGTCAATAAACATAAGTTGTTTATAATAATATGGCGTATTATGTGATCGCGTGCGGCGGCGTGCCTACTACACAAGAACGGCATTGATTTTAGAACATTAAAAAGGTTGATGAGGATCTATCACTTATACTTTCCGTGGGTAGGCCCCTTAGAGGGGCGTCAATTTTTTTTTCTCATTGCGCCGGGGCGCAAAATGTCTAAATAATGGCACTGTGTATCGCGGTGAATGAAAATAATTCGAAAAAGACGAGAAGCATATTACGCGCGTCACCAGCTCGGCGTCGAGTTGATGCAGTCGTCGGCACGTGTGGCATGCACCGCTACTGTCGGACACACGCGGTCGCGTTGGCGGGGGGCGGCGGCGGTCGTTATACGGTAGCACGTCGAACGGCGGTAACGGTAATTGCGCTCCCCTCTGTTGGCTACACTGTTTTCCGGCGCATTTTGTTCGGTTCCGTATCGGCCATCTCTGGTCGAATCGTTCTTTCCGCTCTTGGCAGCCGTACCAGCCGTTCGAATCCCGTCCGACTTCGGTGCCCGCGCCGTTTCAGCCAGCAGCAATCAGTTCGGCAGGGAAACGTTGCAGCAGCATCCCGGACGCTATCACCACCGCGAACCGTCAACACGCACGACACCCTCCGACGACGGTACGGTTTACGTGCTCCGATCACTAATATTATTATTATTATTATTATTATTATTATTAATAATATTATTGCCGCTGCAGTTCCGTACTGTTTACCAAATATTATCACTCGTTATTGTTGACCGTGCCATGTACACCCGATTTTTTTGTCATTGAAAAAACGTTTTACTTTATTTATCGTTCTGTGTCTCCTCCGTAGACCTTGAACTCGTCGCAGTACCAACGACCGACAGAATCACCGGCACGAGCGTCGGTTTCCCCTAGTTTATTCGCAACCAGCGCAATAGCTCCACCGGTAGAAATTATGCCTGAAGAGACGAAATACGCGTACACCAATGGGTTCGCGAACGGACATGCAAACGGCGGATTGCCGCCAGAAAGCCCGGACGGTGAAATGTTCCTGTTCACTTCCGAGTCCGTCGGCGAAGGACATCCAGATAAGAAAAAGCTTACCGGAGCTATTGCCTAGCATATTTATATTGTTTACCAGGAGACGTGTTATGAGTGTTGTGGTAAACGAAATGTGACGAGATCGATATTTATTTTTTTTTTATATTAACCGTGTTTTAACATTATCCGTCGGTCAATAGTTTTTAATTACTGTATGTGGTAGTAGACCGAGTTGAGAGTAAACACGTGTTTATTTGGCCGTATTCACGTTTCATCCTAATGTTTCTCTTGTAAACGCGACCAGTCTATTGCGTTGTTTGCGGTAAATCGTTTTTCCGTATTAACCCTTCAACGTCGGTTCTTCCATTGAATTTAACGTGTTAATGTAGTTTGGTCAATCCATTTTTTCACCGCTGTCGATTTATCGAATGATACATGTTCCTCTTTTCCGTGATAAGAGGAAAATGCTGAACTTGCTGGCCGCTGGCCAGTACCAGGCCGTCGTCGAAAATACCTGTATGAAATTAATCTGATATGCTGTGGTCACTACCTTGTTAGGAGAATAATATTTCTGAAAGGGTTTTGACTTCCAGAACAATGATCTCGATTTTTAATAAATATTCTTCTTATTATACTGACTTATTTTATTGTTTTCCACCAGATAAAATGTGCGATCAGATTAGTGATGCTATTTTGGATGCACATTTGCAACAAGATCCTGATGCTAAAGTTGCCTGTGGTGAGTTTTATTATTATAAATATTATTACTGATTTTGCTATTATTATTATCACATTTTTACCACATTAATTTTGTATCAATATCAAATATTTACATTGTTGGTCATAAATTTTATCATGATATATATTTTGTATGGTTATTCAGATATAAATGTTACTATAATCAGTTAACACAAATATGTATCCAATAATTAGAATTTTCACCAAGAATTGCTAATTTATCTCATGTTCAGACAAAATTATCAATTTTTTTGTACACAAAATAAATCTCTTAACCATTTATTTAATAAATTAAATTTTAAATTCTAATTCACAATATTTTTTCTTGTCCAAGATTATTTTATCTAATACTGTGATTATCAGTTTTGTTACTAAAATGCATTTTTATTGATTTTAATTTTTTTTTAGTTTTATACTCAAGTATTAAATAATAGTTTGCAATGGACTAATATTTAAATTTTATATCTATTGTAAATTCATAATTATTAAGTCATAATGATATTTTTTTATTTTAAAGAAACTGTAACCAAAACTGGAATGGTATTACTTTGTGGAGAAATAACATCCAAAGCTAATGTGGACTATCAGAAAGTAGTCAGAGACACAGTTAAACATATAGGATATGATGATTCGTCAAAAGGTAATATATTTATATAGTTAAGTATATTTAAAGAAGTTAGGGCATCCAATAATTTTAAAAAGTTTTAACTAAATATAATTTAATAGGAATAAGTATATATATTTTAATGGAACTGATAGGTGCCAAAATAGTATTATGTATCATTAAATGTGACTAATCAATTATAAAGTCAATAGGGCAGGATTACAAATTGTATGATAACTAAACAAGTTGAAGTAAAATTATCCAATTAAATGATAAATGTATTTAAATTTCAACGTAGATATGTGTTGTGATAAATGTTTTTTTTTTTTTTTGAGTAAGCTACTAATTAAATGTTTAACGTGATAAATATTTATGGGGAAATTTAACATGTAGTAATACTATTTTATAATAGTTATAAAATTTTGAATTTCTTAATTTTATTCAGTTATTTATCTATTGATAACATTAAAAATGCTCTATGGACCATTTTAAATATATGTGTATATCTCTTAAATGGCATCCTATATTTAATCACTTTGGAGAAATCAGTTAGAATTTATTAGAAAAATTGATGTACAAATTTTATGTATGTACTAAAACTATAGCTTTTCATTTTATTCTATATTGAACAAATAATCATTTTCATTTAAGCTTTCATTTTTGGATCTATTGTCATTTTACAGTTTGAATTTTGCTACCATTATTGTGTATACATTTTAGCTTGAAACTATTGTTATGTAGATTATAATTATTCCCAAGGACAAATTTATAACTTGACTTGCATCTTTATTTTTTGAAAAAAAAAAGTCCTGTTTATTCTTTTTAAAAAAGTAATGTTTATCCTTATATTGCGCATATAACTTAGCATATTGTTCATATTTATAATGATTCTCATTGTAATCTCTTATTTATTATTATTTTATCTGATTATTTCATAGACCAAATTTATCCATTGTAAATGTATGTATAATTTTTCCGGTTTTATTATCTTTTTCTACACTGTCATATTTTGAACAAGGTGGCTGTTTATCCTTTATATTAAGTATGAATAAATTAAATATCATTATGATGTTTTAAAATTAAATTCAGTTATTCTAAGTCATAAATATAGTCTAAATCATATATATATACATATACCACCAACAGGGTTTGACTACAAGACATGCAATGTTCTCGTCACAGTTGATGAACAGTCATCTAATATTGCGGATGGTGTACACTTAAACAGAATTGAAGATGCAATTGGGGCTGGGGATCAGGTAGGGTATATACAAAACATCGGTTTTGGGGGCTGACTGAGTGCCAAAGATCTTTTGTGATTGTCAAAATTAAAAACTTTAGCTTGTTGTATTCTTGGGATTTCACTGGGTTTTACTTACCTAAAATGATGAATTGAAGGCGTGTTAAGGTTTTCTATCACATTATTGCTTTTTTTATTTTTATTTATACGTGAGGTAAGTGATATATCATTTGTAATGTATTGTAAGTGCTTAGGTATCAACGAATTCATCATGTCATACATAATAAAAAATAATCATCTAATTCATTAAATAATTAAAATCTCATTAAACAGGTTAATATTAATGTGCTTATATTATTCTTATTATTATAAATATTGATATAATTATATCAAACTACTAAAATAAATGCATTTTGTTTTTAATCAATAAATGTTAATATATGTTTCCATATAATAATAGAATGAAAGTATGTTGTTAGTAGATATGAATGCAAAATATTACTTATCTTATAATTTTATTGGATTGCAAAAATTATTAATATAAACTAAATATGTAATCAGTCTTTAACAATATTACATTTATTATTCTTGCATGTTATAATTAAAGAATCAACAAAAAAAATAAAAGAATTATTCTGCTTATTGCATGAGAATAACTAATGTTTTATTTTCTAAATTTATTGATTTATTACCAATCAAAAGAGTTAAATAGTTTACCTATACATTTGTTGAAACAAAATTATATATATTAAGTTTCCACTTCACTATGTGAGTGTTCCGTAAAACCAATATTGTATTGTCAACAACATATAAGAGTGTGTATGTGTAAGGTTGTTGCTGACAAAAAATAAATGCCTATTATTATTTTATAATAGTTTTATAAACAGATTATTATCATATGTTAAATTCATGACAATAATCTGATATATTTAGGTTTATATAGAATTCCTGAACGAAAAAATTTGGTACAAGTAGTATACCAAGATGGTATAGTTATCTCTCGGTACATTTAATATACATTAATTATTTATGATTATTACAATCAGATTTTCTCTAATAGATTTGTAATTGGTATAAGTTTATTCATAAAAGTAAAGGTATTTTTTTTTTAAATTTCGGTAGATTATATACTATTAGATTGAAATATTTTTTAAATGCAATGAAGTTGCTGATTGTTGCTATGTGTTGTGTGTTGTCCCGCTGTTGGGTTGCCAGGTTTTGATTACAAGACATGTTCGGTGATGCTTGCTCTTGATGAACAATCACCAAATATTGCTGCTGGTGTGCATATCAACAGGCCTGCTGAGGAGGTTGGTGCTGGAGATCAGGTATGTTTTTTTAAAACGGAAAAAATGTAGATTTTTAGAAAAACATTTTAAATGTTTGTGTAATATTGTCATGTTTTCAATATACTACTGTACTGTATAGTCTTAGTATATTTGGTCAATTGACTAAAATTAAAAAAATTAAACTATTATTCTGAGGCTTCTGAGGCTAGTGAAAATAAATAATGTGTGTATAACTATATAATGTGTATAATACTTTTAAAGATGATCGTGTAATAAATTTATCTATTTAAAATTGGATAAGGGTTGATGATTTTTAATTTTATTGGTAACTTAATTATTAAGAAAGTAATATTTTAATAAAAATAGAAGAAATATTTTAAATGCATCAACAAAGGTTAAATATTAATTTAACCATTATACAATAGCAATTAATGAATCAAATAATATCTCATTGTTAAAATTTACTAAATTTAATTTTACTACTTTTCATTGCAGCAAATTTGCATGATATTTAATTATGAAGATAATAAATGCATGATAGAATATAATGTTTTGTTTTTAATACTATTTGAATAAACATATTGTTATTGCCATATGTGTTTGAAGAATGTTTATTGTCATACTAACTGATTTTACTATTGAAAAATAATTACTCGATTAACTTATAAATTGAAATAAAGCCTATAACATGTACTCTTTCATTTTAAACCCAAAATCAAGATAATTGGATGAGTAGTTTCTAAAAATGTGCTTAGCAAAGACTTAATTTGTTAACTTAATAAACTATTATATAGTTTGTAGGAATTTATTTAAATTATTACTGAGTTATTATACAACATATAACATGAGAATACTTAAAACGTTTTTTTTTTTTTGGATTCTATCGTATTACTCATTTTTATATTATACATAATAATGTATCCAATATAATTGCCAAAGTTAATTTGCTCTATAATAGAATTAATTTTTAAATAACAATAAATCTATTGTAATTTTTATTAAGTATGACATTTTTTTTTTTTTTACTATTATATTAACTTCATTCTATTTATTTATAATTATTGGTAAACATATTATTTTCATTTATTGTATAACCTTATTTTAAATTATATTAAAATGTTTATTTTTCTAATTTAATTTTAATTATTTCTGAGGAACACCATATTATTTAACTAAGAATTTAATTTCAACATTTTAATTAATTAGTATTTTAGTTTTAAATTAATTAACATAATGCCTGTCTGAGTTCCAAATTTTTGTTGAAAATGTCACGTATTGCATTTGCTTTCATTTTTAATATGTTTTAATCTTTTACTAAATAAATGAACAATATTTTGTGTATATTTTAGGGCCTTATGTTTGGCTATGCTACTGATGAAACTGAAGAATGTATGCCTTTAACTGTTGTATTAGCTCACAAGCTTAATGAGAAAGTAGCTGAACTCCGAAGAAATGGAGTACTTTGGTGGGCACGTCCTGATACAAAAACACAGGTGATTATAAAAATTAAAATAAATAAATTCTATATAATTCTCTAAATTATATAAATAAATTCTAGTTTGTTTGACAATTTTGTCTGTACTCTTAGAAAAATTATAGTTATTATATATAGTTATAGTTATAATTATTTTATTTATATAAATAATTTTAATTTATATGCTTCTAGATTATGCATTTTGATTTATGATATTAAGTTATTCCAAAAACAGATATTATTTTAAATTAATTGAGTTTAAAATTTGAATTTCTTCTATATATCTATCATGTTGAAGAATAATTAATGTATTATATAAATGTAATAGATAAGTGCCAAACATTTTATCTCATATGAAGTAGAATATTAAATTAATCATTAACTATTATTATTATTATTATTATTATTATTTTTTATTATTACTATTACTATTATTATTATTATTATCATTAACTATATTTTAATTAATGTTTCATATTTTATTGATCATTGATATTTGATTTTAAAGATTAAACTTTTTGATTCATTTCAAGCATTTTATATTGAAAATTTTTTTAGATTCGGAGTAAATTTATATTTATATAAATATACACATACATGTAATATTTTGATGTGCTTTATAGAATTTTTAAATCTTGTTTTATTTTGATCTTTGGACTGTAGTTAATACAACATACATTTATGGATACTTTAAAAACAATTTTTTTTGTAAAATGTATTAGATTTTACTAAAGTTAGTATGTGGTAGTTTCCTATCCATATTAATAAATATCTCTAAAAGATATTTGTATTTTCTAGTTATTATTTATATTAATTGATTAATGTATTTTGAAATTAATTAATTAATTATTAATATATAATATTATGTGTCTTAAGGTTACATGTGAATACTGCTTGGTTGGTGGTGCTTGCATTCCGCAAAGAGTTCATACTGTTGTAATATCTGTTCAACATTCTGAAAAAATAACCCTAGAAAACTTAAGACAAGAAGTTATGTCAAAAGTTGTTAAGACAGTGATACCATCCCAGTATCTTGATGAAAGAACAGTTTTCCACATTAATCCATGCGGTAATTTTGTTATGGGTGGTCCTCAAGTATGTATTTTTAACGCAATAATTTGAAAATCTTTATTATTTATAATGTTGTATTTTAGTGTGATGCGGGCTTGACTGGACGAAAAATTATTGTTGACACATATGGTGGCTGGGGAGCTCATGGAGGTGGTGCATTCTCGGGCAAAGATTTTACTAAAGTTGATCGATCAGCTGCATATGCTGCTCGTTGGGTTGCTAAATCTTTAGTTAAATCTGGTCTTTGCAAACGTTGCCTTGTACAAGTATGTTAACAGTATTTTATTTATTAATAGATAATTTAATTTAATTTATTTTGGAATTAGGTTTCTTATGCCATTGGAGTAGCTGAACCAATATCAATTACACTTTTCCATTATGGCACATCTACTAAATCTCAGAAGGAGTTGTTGAAAATCGTTAATAGTAATTTTGATTTAAGACCTGGAAAGATCGTCAGGTTAGTTAAAATATAAGTAGATCCTCTAGAGCAGGGATGGTCAAACCGCGGGCTGCATGCAACTCACCTTGGAAAGAGTGCGGCCTGCAATAGTTATTAAACATTTACAAAAGAAATTTATTTTTGTCCCAATAAGATATTCTGTAATACCTGCACAATGCGAAATTCTTATTATTAACAACGTTATCGCAACAAACTGTTTGATTTATCAACAAAATCTTTGTTCCCAAGTATTGTCGATGAACCATGTTATGCAAGTAGTCATAAAAACTGTGAATTACATTTGATCACATACGCTTCCGCACCAACAATTTAAAGAGTTAGAAAGAATTGGATTCAGAATACGGTGATAAAGTCAATAATAATTAATTCTGTTTATTTTAAATAATTAATACACCAAAACTTATTTTGTAATAATAAATTTATCCTGTTTAAAATGTTTACTCCAAATTTTTTTTGTATTGGGGCAAAATACTAATATTATTTTGTGGCCCGCGGGATTGTAATGTATTTCCAAATTGGCCCCCAAGACCATATGGGTTGGCCACCCCTGTTCTAGAGACTGAATTCTTAATTCTTGTTTTAGTTACTACTGTAGTTTTAATGAGACAATTTTTAGTTCTTTTAAGATATATAAATTATACATTTAAAATTTTTAAATTGTATATATAATGTTTTGAAGTATAAATAATCTTAATAATTAAAATTACTTTTCAATTTTACAGGGACTTGAACTTACGGAATCCAATTTACCAAAAGACAAGCACCTATGGACATTTTGGACGCGACATATTTCCATGGGAGAAACCCAAGATTTTGGTCGACTAATGAAGGCAGACTTCTTACACAGTGTGTATGATTTTAAAAAAAAGCATAGAGTTTAAATTTTTTTAACATTAACGAATCAAATGTTGCCACCTGTTTTGTCGTAGTGTAAGATACTCTATTAAGTATATTAGAATTTTCATAGGTTTCCCATTATTTTTAATCAATTTATAAATTTTTCTTAAAAAATTAGATTTCTTAAAAAAAATCGAAACTTATTGCATATTACTGCAAATATTATTGTAATTAATACGGTAAGTTATGCAATGTAATAAAGAAAACTATGTATCAGACTTAATTTACCTTAGGGTCTGTTAAAATTAAAAATTGAAAATTGAACATAGACACTTCACTTTAATTAATCACTCATTTTGTTAAGTGTAAATCAAAACATCTAATATACCATATTACATTATTATTGTCATCTTATTCCATGTAAACATGTATACATATTTATATGTATGTATGAATATTAAATATGTATTTTTCCTTTTTTTTTATTTAATTTTTTTTTTTTGTGATTTATTATTGTCTGCATCTTATTTTTTTATTGTTTAGTACAATCTTAGACCATTCATATAGTTTTAGCATACAGATTTTTAAACTATTCATGGTCTTGAATTTTTTTTATGTTATTTTTGTGTTCATGTCAATTTTTAATTTAGATATTATTTTTATCAAATCATTAGTTTTTTTTATATACTTTAATTTCTGAATTTTTATCAATATTTTGTGAATTAATTAATTTTGCCATACATTTATCTGCCTTATTTTCTTCTGTTACAATGTAATGATTATTGGCTCATAATAAAATGTGTTGCTGCCCTCCAATTGTTTTTTTTTCACTCTATTATAGTTCATTATTATTTACTTTGTTAAATTGACTTACTTGATTTACTTCAATATAAATAGAGCTGCTTAAAATAATTGCTTATAGAACTTAGAACCTTAGAACTGCTTTAAATAATTTATGATAATATAAATGGAAATCAATACTTCATTAATCATTTTTATTACTCATATTGAAACAAGTCCGCGTGTATTGAAATTGTTAATATCTCATACAAAACGGAATATTTTTTTTCATAAATTCTATTATATATGTGTATTATAGTTATATAGTTAAACTATTGTTGGCATAAAATGAATTATTTTTAATAACAATATTAAGTTAATTTTTCGGAATGGTTGCTGCTGATCACTTGTTCTGGTTTATCTAACATTTAATATTGCTATCCCTCTTTATAACATAACATAGACGGACGTGGCCTAATGAGTTGCGTACCGTGATACTTAGATAGCTCTTGAACCTTTAAGAAATAAAAATTCTGGGATACTGAAATATACATAAAAAATTTTTTCGTTTTATAGATTTTGAAGTGTTAAGATAGCTCTAATGGTAAGTATATTCCAAAATAGTTTGTATCACTCGTTAGTCATAAGCGAAGCATAACCCGTTTGACTTATTTGAAAGCATACTTAGCAACCGATTTTTGTGTGTGTAAATTGGTGTCATGGGATAGAAATTTGTTTCTAATCTGAAAATGAAAAAATCGCATTCCAGTTGTCCAAATCTCGTTGATAACCGCTACGAGAAGCCGTATTGGCTGTTTTCGGGGAGGGAAGAAGAGGATTTATGTGAAAAATATATTATGACAACGAACCTCGTGTGCGTGGATTCTGGAAGATATGCATACAAGGGTGGTTTTTTGGGGATGAATCCACCTTGGCTTTTTTTTTTTTTTAATTTATTTTATTTTCATGTTCTACTGATATTTGATAATGATCAAGCCTCATTATTTCTAACATTGTCAGATATTTTTTTAGAAATGTAGAGGTACCTATCTATGTGAGTTATAAATTTGTTTTGGAAAACTAAGAAGGTTAACACGAAATTGTATGCTGCATATTTTTGCATATTTCGAAGTTTGAGTGCTATTTTTGTATACCATAACCATGGGCGTAATTTGGGGGGAGCAGACTATGGTAAATGCCCCACTCCAAGACATTTTAAAAAGGCAGCAATTCTTTGTCCGATGATCAAATGCTAAAATCAGTAAATAGTAAACTTTTATTACTATTTTGTACTCAGAAATCAGATAATATTCTCTTTTAAATGCACGTTCACGGTTTATTAAAAGTTTGGAAACACTGGCTCCTCACCGGTTTATGACAATTGTTATTACGCAAACCTTATAAACTTTATTTTTGGTGTATTATGTATTTCTATATATGTGATCTTTATAAAACAGTTTTCGTGATATCGATACCATAAAACTTGAGCTCATAATCTATAAAAAAAACCGTTAAAATCGTTCCTATTCACCCCAAACTACGGTACATTATATTTGAGATACAATATTTTTGTTTTTATAAATAAGTTCTGTAAAGTATTAAATATACAAATAATAAAATAATTAGAATTTATATTATTATCCATTAAACCTATTAATAACTTATAGCCTATAGGATAAGTAAATTAATTAATGTTTTACTATCTTTAATGTTATTATTTAATTGAGTAAATTGAAACGTTTCATGTTCTTTATTTATTATCATGACATCATTATTAATTACTAATCCTTACATGTTTTGTTTCGAAAAAATATTTTATGATGGTGTATGGTCCATAAATATTAAATATTTAAATATATAGGTAACCATAATTTTATTATGAAGTCGGCAAATTTCGTTAGTCGCCCCATCCTTTCAAAAGTTGAAATAACGCCCCTGACCATAGCTTATTTTTCTTAACAACAAAAAGGATGTAATCTTATTTTGAATATCATGAAACTTTCGATATCGAGGGTAGATTTGTTGTTAATGTTATTGTTAGTAAACTTGAAGCAGATTTCCGAGTAAGCTGTATTTGGTAAATTCGAGACAACTGGAAAAATCTAATTATTCGATTATTTGCAAACTATTTGACAAATCTATTGTAATTATTGGTGTTGAACACGATGACGGTTTATTGTTCACATCCGATGCCATTTCTTATATGTTAAAAGCTGCTACTTCCTTGAAAGCATTTCGTTCTTAAATGATTCATATTACGTGTACTACTCATGGACTCCACCGAGTAGCAGAGAGGTAAGGGGGAAGTTTAGTAATGTCGACAGTTTTACGTCTAATGTCAGAAAAATATTCCGAAAAGCGCCTAGTCATATTAAATTATTTTAAAATAAAGCTCTTCGTTTAAATTTGCCGCCTGAACATATTACTACACGCTGGAGTACGTGGATCTAAGCTTTAAATTACTATTGTAAAAACATTGAAATCAGACCTAGAGTTATTGATAAATTATACGCTGTAAGTATAAAAAAGGCAAAAAATATACTTCAAAATTTGGTATTGAAAAATAATTGGCTTATATAAAGTCCATTTCTACAATTTTAACCGTTTTCAATTTCTAGTCTACAAAAACAAGGAATACCATTAGCCGAAGCTATACATTTATTTGGGAAAGTAGAAAAAGCATTTGAAACTCCTAATGGATCAACTGGAAAAGCTGTTTTCAATAAACTGAACAACAGCATGCTAAAAAATGTCGTCCTTAAAATGTTAAAAAAATATTTCAAACGTATTATCGGGTAACAATATGGAAACAGCATATAAACTTGAACTTTCTGATAATTTCTCAACAGATGATCTAGTGTACTATGATTTTGCATCAATCACGTTAGTGGACGCCGATAGATCGTTTAAGCAATGTAATAGGAATTCCTATGCACAAAACTATGCACGGTAACAATCACAGATCATTTCACTTTGAAAACTTGTGTAAACATTTATAATTCAATGCCATTGATTGTAAGATTTTCAATGCTAGTATAATTGTAATTGTAATAAAAATACGACTAAAGCATTAAATTTGTATCACATTTTTTTCATTTTACAGAAAAATTGCAGCATAAATGAGTACCGCGGCATGAACTATTATGATGTAGTATGATTCAATTTTTTTTCAAACGTAATATTTTATTTTTATTTGAATATTTTAGCATTTTAGTACATATTCAAGCGCTTATATGAATGGTATGTTTATAAAAACATAGTATCATAATGTTTTTTAGAGCTACAAGTGATGAGCCTTGGTTGTAATGAAATAAATAAATATAATAAATATTTTTTTGACTCCCTGTCATTTTCTACACGTTACGTATAATATGCAATTAATTGTATGTTGTATTTATATGTGAAAGGGGGCGCGGAGGCGTTGCCACCACGGTTCATTTTTTAATACATTTTCATACCCCTCCACATTAAAAAGTCCTAAGAACGCCTCCCTGTGTGTGTTTAAAATGACAAAGGTATTCAACAATAGTTTAAAACGCGCATCGTTATTACATGGGAAAAATTTATTTTGAATTTCAGTCAAGTGTTCCCGGCTCCAGCCAGTGTGCATGTAGCAATTTCCTGTAATTTCAATCGTGTTAAATTTACCTATTCCGACTTGCGCTTAGTCTATAATTTGATTACCCGTTTGATTTATTTACAACAAATTGCTTCGCATATTGTACTCGTGGTTCATGTGCAATTTCAGTGGCGGCTCCAGGATATTTGACCGGGTAGTGGGCCAATGGGAGTGCAACAATTATAAGGACGGGCCACGCAAAAGTGAGATTACATTTAATATTGATTGTAAAAGTAAATAATATAATACGATTCGCGGATTCGGGTTGTGTTATCGTACAACTTAACTACAGTACCTAATAGATCTATAATTATTAATTACGTATTTTCGAGTACATACGGTGAACTATTACCAATATTTTTTTTTCTGATTATTAATAACGACATTATTATTACCTGCGTTTAAGGTCGGAACAATGCTTAGCGCTAGAGATCAACACCACTTTTTTAATAAATTCGAACGCGAAGTCGGAACCAGGGAGAACTGCAATTGGCGTTATGCGTTTTATTAGCGTCTGTAATATAAACGTGACGCACGTAGTTCAAAAAAAAAAAAAAATAAAATTCTATAATCAATCCCCGTACTCCGGTAAATCGATAAATGTGTGAATTGATATTATGTTTAATACGTCAGTTGATCGTCCGGAGCGTTTTTTATTTTTATTTCGCCAAACTTCAGTGCGAGAAGATTAGAATATAAATGAGAGATAATGTTCCGAAATGTTCCCGAGTGGAAATAAATTGTGATTGAAAAGCCTTGGCGTTTTTTGCATGCATATTATCGGTGTTCACGTTTTACATATAAGTATATACAGACTTACAGGCTTTCATGAAATGTAATAAACGAGGGAAAGAACCGGGCGATGTAAGATTGATCGGCTATTGACGACATTATACGCGGCCGGACGCGTGGCACCTGCGGTTACTTTGTCATCATAACAAATCTGTTTACGTCTAATAAACAGTACGCGAGCTGAGCGCGACGTGGGCGAAAAGTTACTTTTGAAATACTTAAATCAACTTAATGGAGACGCATCGAAAGAACGGAAATTATAGGGAAACGGCTCGGCGCAGTGCGGCCGGTAAAAAAGCAACGAGTAATGCCTGTGTTCTTCGTGGAGGCAAGTCGTATCCGATACCTACGTACGATGTTACAGTCAGCGGGCACGGGTAATGGGTGTTAAAGCCATCCGCTCGATTAAACGAAATACTGCAATGGTTCATTTTAATCGTTATGTCGTTCTTGTTCGCACGTTGAAATCAACTTTTTCGTTTAGCCTCCTTATTCTTCTCTTTTTTTTTTCGTTTATAGATCCATCTCGGTCGGATGGGGATTCAAAAAACCTGAGCGGCACACACACATTAATAAAACTAAGTGTATTTCAGTGGCGTCCCTAGATCGTTTTTGTTAGGGAGGGGGCGAACTTCATTCGTGTATTCACATTGATGTAATTCCAAAGGGAAAAAGGTCATGGTGGGACTGTTCCATTCAATTTCCTGAAGATGTTCCTGGTTTGTATAGGTGTATTATGTACCTAGATGGTTGTAGTACAAAGCTGCTACATCGTTGCCCCATCAACTGCCCTAACCCGGGGCTCGTGCGGCAATGCACACTATGCATTGCTTTTACAGCACTGGTTCAGAACCATCAAGGGTAAGGACAAAAAAAAAGAACCCCCGAACGTTACAATGTACGCGATGTGTGTATTATTAACATAAAATATTAACAAATCTAATTTTAAGCGATTTCATAGAACCTAACTTTGGGAAGGGATTCTAATCTAATGACTAATTGCATGCTGATCTGAATGTCTTTTCTGTCTCCTAAAGTCTCGATTCTCGCGTTTCGCAGCACTGTTGACACGACGATTTTCATCTGGTTCATAGCGTACTTTTGTCCTGAAACAATGGTAGATTAACACGCACGTTCCTAAAAGTGATTTTTACATTCTGTTCAGAATATAAACGATCAACGATGTTAACCCCCGTGCATACGATTTACCGATACAGTTTCTCGCGCCAGCGCTGAACGGTATGTACCCGAACACGTGCAGTTTTGATTTGATATCTTCGTCCAAAAACCTTTCTGGAATGAATTCTTCGGGATCCGTGAAAATTTTTTCGTCGCGATGCTGGATAAACGGGAACACGCACACCGTCGTCATCGGAGGAATGTTAAAGTTTTCTACAACATCGTATTTCGTACAGTTAAACAACGCGATAACCGCACCGTACGAACAATAAGCGGTCGCGCAGAAATGGACCACTTCCGATAGCGTTAAAAAATCCATCGATATCTGCTAGCTGCTGTGCATAGGCCCGCGCACCGCAGGCGTTTCATTACAAACTATTGTCGAACGTTTTTCTTCTATACGTGACCGTGCCATGTTTCCCCCCTAGTACACCACATCCGTTTCGCGCTCATCAGCTACCCTCGTGCAAGCCTCAGTCGACCATCCGTAACGGACTCCTTTGTTTTTACATTCCTGTTCGCGACACCTGTCCAGCCTCGTGACCATAATCTCATGACCTGTACTCACAAACGGTGTTACTACTTGTACACTCGTTATTTCATCATTCCGAATCGTCAATAATCGACTGTTTTGATAGTCGACTGTTCAGATAGTTTAAAATAATCGAGTTAATTGGTTAAACAACCGACGGTTTGAACTACCGAATAGTTCGATGGTTTTCACTCGGTAGAGAACATCACTGATTGGCGCGTTACCAACGCACACTGGAATGAACTCATTGCTATAAACGCGAAATAATCCCTCTTTAAAAATGTTTTCACACCTCGAAATAAATGTAGTGTGCTAATTTAGAACTTAGGGATGCTAAACACCCCCTGGCACGCGCGCCAATGGGGTTACTCACTGAGATGCAGCGTGGTCTGCAGTTCCCTCGTAAAGCCGGGCACGCTCGGGTAGAGTCGAAGCGATTCCTTGATCACCGCTTCCGTATACTTCATCGAGTTCAGGTCCTGCATCGTCGCGTCTCTATCCGAGTCACCGAAGATCCCGTACAACTCGTCCCGGGCTCTGTCCTTGGAACGATTTTATCAGTGGATTCGCAAATCGCGCGCGCTCTCGTATGACGTATCATCATAGGCGTAAATTGGGGGGAGGGAAAGGGAGACATTGCCTCCCCTAGAATAAATTAAGAGGGGCAGTGCCCCTCTGATATTTAACATACCTTGTTTTAAAATAAGTACAAACAGCTGGTTATAGCTATAACTATATAACTTTTTTTTTTTTTTAAATCTTAATTTTCAATTTTCGTTGTTCGTCTAACATAATGTCAGAAAATTAATAATTTTATATAATAATATGAAGGTAGTCAAATGACGTTTAGCCGCGGACACCCTTTTTGTTAGATATGTAATTATATATTAGTCCCCTCCCCCTAATAAATTTTCAAGTTAAGCCCATACGTATCATGATGTTACGCATCGTCCTTACTTGAACGTCCTGGTGCATGGCCAACAGCAACAGGGTCAACGTCATCGACACGGATGATGTGTCGTGACCTTCGAATAGAAACGTGTCCACTTCTTCCCGGATGTCCTTGTCGGTCATCTGGTCCGGGTTTTCCTCCAGAAGGTTCAGGAGTATGTCCAAGAACGATTTATTTTCCGTTTTCCCTACAGCACACATTCGTCGAAAATTTAAAAACTTAAAAATTCTCGTAGGTGTGTGCAAACTCTCGCACGGCCGCGGGAAAGACGATGACACAAATCGTATTTACGTACCGTATTTTTTTTCAGGTAGTACGTTTTGATTTTTTGCGTTTTTCAACAATGCCCGTTTATTTTTTATCACCTGATCAAAAATGCACACATGTGAAATATTAACCAAGTGAAGTTACACGTCAAATCATTACAATACTGTTAAAATTAATTTCCGTAAGAACGTTCGACGTGTGGTACGATTTCAAGTGTTTAAGACGAAACTTTTAGATTTTAATAAAATTAACTATGATTCGTTTATGGTTACCGCACTCAAAAGCCATACGGACTCAAGTGTTAAATCCTATGTGGGAAATTTCCAAATAAAATCGGTGCATCATTAGAATCTGAAATATTTTCTGTATTTCATTTGGTTCCTGGGACGTGAACGATTGAAAATCATTTAATATCTGATGGTGCTAATGAATAAATCGAAAATAAGCAACTGTGAATATAGGGTATTGTATATACAGTATACAAGTGTTTATTTCATAATATTGACCGGGGGGGGGAAGGGTACTACCCACCCAGAAAAATAATATATAGCCCCCCCTTAAAAAATATATTTATTTAACATTTACTTCTATGGCATGCCGTATATCACGTATCCCCACCACCGAGATATAAGAATTGCAATTATGAAATAAAAATAACATTTTATTGCAGTAGACTTTGGTTCAACCATTGAACATTGAGTTCTGTTTAAAAGTTCAGTATAATCATTTACCAGAATACATTTTTCTTTCCACTTAAATTCGAAAGTATAAAAATGTGATAAATATATGTTTTATGCTGTGGAATATAGTTGCGTCAGTAAAAAGGCTAAGTGTTGCAGTGTAAAATAATAAATGTTAATAATAGATTATTATACATTATCGGTGAAGTCATGCAGCACTTTGATTGATTTGTAAAACTTCCGACCACTTCCGCTTATTCTGAAAATGAAATCATTCCACAGCCAAAATTTGAAAATTCGATCAGTCACTGATCTGCAAGCACTTGAAAAAAAATTGATTTATTGTAAATCAACCAATTGAAAGACTGAATTTTAAATGTTTCTATAATTTCATTAATTGATTTTTATTCGAATATTTTTGAGATACACAATTATTAAGTTTTAAATGAAATTTTAACGAGTCAATCGTTTTCAAAGGATACAGTTTGATATTGATTTTGTTTGATGTTTTTGAAAATGTGTAATAAACTTTACTTTCTGTATCTTCTGTACGTTTACACTAACGGTATATTGAATACTTACCAACTCTAAAAAATTAAAATTAAAATGCTATTTGAATTACCTTTTAATCGATTGGACATATTGAACCGATTTACCTTCTTGCGCATTTATTTCAGTGCCCATAATGGTTTCTAAAAAAAAAGAAAAAAAAAATTAGTTAATTTGTACAGTTAAAAATCGAAGTACACGTGTTCACAAAAATTAAAATTTAATTCAAAGATACAGATTTCTTGATAAATATAATTGAAATATTTGGAATACGTTCTCGACCGATAAAACGCGAAAACAGTTCGTCTTCAAAATCAAATTGTCTTATTCGTAGAAAACTGATAGTTATAAAACGGGTGTACCCACAACAAATGCCGAAGTTCATGGGAAGGACGTTGTTTTAGAAATGTTTTCGTCGATAAAATGAAAAACAGTTAACTGAATCACAAGAGCGAATCGCACGACGCGTGACGTATGCGTACCCGCCTGCAGGAACGTAGCAAGGGGGGGTTGAGGTGCCTACGTCCCGGACGCAATTCACAGGAGGGCACAAAAATGAAAAATTTGTTACTTATAAGTAAAAGCAATATTATGTATTTATGTAATTACTTATATAACTTATAAATATAATGTTATAGTATAACAGTTATATCTATGAATCCACTTATAATTGTTATGCATATTTATATTTTAATAAGTTATCGATTTAAATAAAATTAATTAATGCTTATACGAGTATAATTATAATGAAAAATCATTATTTATACTACATTTATAAAAAGTATTCAGTTTATTTCGTAAGTTTTTTTTTCTATAAAATAAAATACTTAAGGGCGTTTTTTGAAGTTTCACCCCGGTTGCAATATTTGGTTTCTACGGCCCTGCCCACATGTGTCGCAGTGCACTTTCGACGAGACAATAATGTTAAACAATCACCGCAAATAATGTCCAGAGAACACAGCGTCACGTATTCCGTGATGGATATCTCTTTGTTGCTCGTCGAGGACGCCTCCAACAGCTTTTTCGCCAACACCCGCGAATGTTTGTTTATTGAAGGATTGTACATGTCCAACGTCCTGAAGTGAAACGTGTTGGTAAGGAGCTTCCGTCTGTTTTGCCATTTGGAACCTGCGGAACGATGTAAAATTGTATTCGCACAGCGGCCGCGTGCATTGTTCTTTCTCAATCCCAACTGTGCCTCACAACGTACCCGAGCTCACCAAAAGGCCATCGTTCAGCCAAGGTCTCAGCATTCTGTACTCGGGACCCTTGTTGATGTTTTGCGTGTTCGACAACAGGATCTATACGTCAAACACGACAACACACAATTTACATCGGTCAGATACGCACTAATGCATGTATCACATGGTAATCGCAATCCGATTTGTTTGTTTTTCCTTCGCTCACGTTATACAACCGACAAGTCGTAGAAGAAGTCATGAACATGACTTGGAAACGGTGAAACGCATTTATTTCGTTTGGATCGCGAATATTTTGATCGGACGATGCGCGCGTGACATTTTTGCGTAATCGTATTACATCAAATATCAATTATTGTTGTTTGAAACTCAAGAATCACGTATTTTTTCGAACGTATTTTAACGTACATAAATTCAATCGCGAGTAATAATCGGCTTATTCATCATAGTTAGGGGACGGATGCGCTGTAGTGGTCAATAATTAGTAAAATTAATTGCATCGTTAATAATAAAAAATAAAAATACACCAATAGTTTAGCTTGAAAAATAAAAAATTGTACTCAAAAGTAACTTTTTGTTATAATTTATTAGAATTCGTAAATTTTACAAAATTTTACAAAATGTTTAAACTCTAAAATGTATAAAAAATATATTTCTTAAAAAATCTAATATATTGAAGTATATGATTTTTTTTTTTTTTTAAACAGTGGAAGAACTTGATTTGATTTTTGGCATATTTACAAAAAGTAAAAGTACATGACCACACGAAATTCATGGACTGACTGAAGAACAGATTGTCAAATAATCACGTTTCTTAAATTATATTGAACGTGTTAAACATTATCTTATCTATATAGATTATAAATATAAGAAATCCCATAAACCTAGTCTAAATGACCGATATGGTTTTAAAAATAATCAAACTATCATGGTGACTAAACATAGTTTATTACATATATTCATATTCAATACACAATAAATTATCTAAACTTTATCTTCCAACTTTGTTTATGTCTTGACTACATTCATGACAATTTATCGAATTTTATTTTAATATTCACCGACGGTTCAGTTTCTTCACTCTCGGCTGGCTTTAAATTTTACATTTCCGAGTACCATATCTCTTTCTCTAATAATTTTCCCACTGCTTCCTCTTACACTTGTCGTATATATATTTATATCTCTGGTAGTATACAGCGAAACAGAGTAACACCAAAGTAAATAAAAATATGACAATTTGAAAATTATTTATTAAAATGCATAAGTTAAAAATAGTTTTATATATCAGAGCTTATATCGCAGCAAAGTCGCACTACAAATGTCCCGGTCTCTCATTCGTTTATTCCTTAAATGTAATTTACAATTTGGACTCACTAAATTTGTTATACTGGTTTATATAACATATTACAAATGTTGTTATAAACATTTTGTGACGATTGTTTTTACAATTCGCATCATCACATGTTACATATTACTTACTACACACTTCTGAATGTTTTGTCATTGAATCCCTCTAACTTATACTAACCTTAACTCTTAATAAATTCCAGTTGACAACTTATTTGCTGTCCAGTCTACTATCACTTACTACAAATGTTTTTAAATTAAATTACTCGCCTTTTAGTATCAGGATAAAATATTTACTTTACATTATTACTAATACTGGTATTCAATAGTCGATTTCTGGTTTTCGATTCCTGGTCCCACAGAAATCTTAAGGAATAAGATTGCTGATTCTTTAGCTAAATCAACTTCTACTTCGAATCGTCCACCTATAATGCTATCTCTTGCACTGACTTTTGCCCTACTCTGAAAATGTGCACCTACAAAACTATGGGAAAAACTTCCTTCCTATTTTGCTTCTTGTGATAAGGAAATTGTTACTACTATTTCAATTAACCCGTGGTTTTATTATCTTAACTTACCCAGACAAACTATAGTTTCCAACTATAGACTTCGAATTGACAATAAGTTACTTTCTTGTCACTCCTTTGCACTTAGCATAAATTTCCTTCTATTTGTGACATTCCTCATATTTTCTTTGATTATTAATTTTTATTCAAGAAGTGTACTTGCTTTTTAAATTTGCTTAATTTTAGTAAGATTCCCTTCAATTTGAAGTACATTTTTTCTTCCCAAACACCTACTGTAATCGAGTCTACTATTTCTTTCTTATATCAGCTGGTTTTTAATTCAACGTTTCGTTTAATTGTAACATTCGTGTTTCTAATTTAGTTTTAATAAGAGTTTTTATTTTATTTTTTTTATTATAATGATAATGACTATTAAGATTAATTATTACACAAAATCTGAATAAAAAAAAGAAAAATATTTTTACTATATATAAGTACATCAATTAAATAACTCAATCATATACTTCAGTCTTAAAGCTATTTAATATATTTTTTAAAAACTATATGTAATATAGTTAAAATTGTTTTAAAAATTAGTAAAGTCAACAAAATTGTTGTTAAAATAAAATAATTTCGAAAATCACGAAAAATTCCACTTGACATTTTTTTTTTAGATTTTAGTTCGTATTAACACGTATCGTATTTAAAGCTTACTTATTAATAAATTGAAGCAGTAAAAAAAGTTGCAAATCCAACAACATCCGTGCCCTAATCATAATATTTATTTAATGTATTAGAAGTAGGAAAGATATTTTCTTAACACTTTTTACCGTTACCAGCTTTATCAAACCGAGTTAGAATTATTTCACTGATTGATGTGATCCACCGTAAACAATACGCATCGATCATATTATGTGGTTGATAGCAATTTGTTCGGTATTCTCAAAGTTTTAATTTTTTATTTTGTAAACAATAAACGTGTGATATAATTCTGATGCTAATTATTAAGCCGTAAGCATAGATCAAGCGAATCGAATAATTTAAAATATCGTTAAAAAATTGATAATTTAATATAATAATATTATAACAGTGAAGATAATAGTAAACATAATATTGTAATAGAATGCAAAGGGAAACTGACTGTACGCAGACTATTATGTAATAAAAACACTAAGAGTCACCAGAAACAAAAATAAAAATAATAAACCTGCAGTTAATAATCGCCGTCTAATAATGACTATAATAATAATAATAATAATAATTTTTATGATCTCTCACTGTAAGACATTGGATTCGCGGTAGTTGCTATAAAAACACGTTACCTACATACGTACGTAATGAGCTAAACTCAATTATGGTTATGGACGTTACTCATTCCACGTATACCGACGTTTTATAATAAAAAAACATAAAAAGTATACAATCGTATAACGATTTTGTTATAATATTATTGTGACTTTTTTTTTAATATAAACCTTCTATGGAGGAAGGACAAAAAAAGCTTAGATGGCCGCGGATTGGACCACATTGGTGTAGACCATTGCTGATAAATCCAGGTTTATAATCAATAAGGAAAAACAAGTCAAATCATGCGTAAAAACCAAGAGTAATTAAATAAATTACCATAATACTTATATATCAAGTAAAAAAAAAAAAAAATAAACATTTAGAAATGTGTCCGTCAAATCTGCATTTCTGCATTCGATTCATCTTGTACACTTACTTTTAAGTCATCTGGATCTTTTAGCAAGACGTATGACCGTCCTGCAATGTTGAAATGAACTATCGGACCTTTGTTGTGCATCAATTCCATATACAACGGTAACATTTCTAAGTATTATTAAAACAAAAAACAACGGTCGAGAAAAAAATTTAAAACAAAAACATTTTGCTGTACACGTTTTTGGGATAAACAATAAAATACCTAAAATATATATTATTTTTTTCGTCGACAATTATATCATAGGTTGTCGAGTGATCCTACACTATTACGGGCATCTGTATAATGTGATCTAAAATTGGGTTGGAATCAGGCGCGGATCTAGAGTTCAAATAGGGGGGGGAGTCATTTTTTTTGAAAGGACAAAAAGATAATACACAATTACAAAATAATGAAAAAAAAAATTATCAATTAAAATTAGAACGTTATTAATAAATAAGATTGTTAATTTTTAAAATTAAATTACAAAGTTTAATCTTCTTTGTTTTGTTTTTCCAAATTTAGAAATAATATCATGAATATTTATAGGTATATTCTTGTGAATATTGAGCAATGTGAGACCCGTGAAACGTTTCTCTCCCCATGTTTGGACGAAGGGGTTGGACCGTAGCATGTTTTAAGGAGCAATATTTGGGTGTTTCGTATAGCATTTATGTTTGACCTGTGTCAATGTGTAAGAAATAAATTACGTTGACCCATATGACTCCCCACTCTCTGGATCCGTGCTTAGTTGGTATTTATAACAAATGCAACACGGTAAAAATTGGACTGCAACGAAATATGATAATGTATGGATCAATAAACGGGTGCATTTGTCGTTCGATCACGATTGAATTTAGTACCGAACGATTACATAACATTATGATACCATACATTATTGTAAACATATGATATGCGTTTTTAAGTTTATTAAGCAATTATCATTGAAATCATTAACGTTTATTTTATTCTATGCAGGATTCCGTCTTGCATTGGGTCCTGCATAGAGATGTTTAACTGTATCGTACAGTTGAACTAGTGGCGTCGTGGGAAACGATGAAAAATATAACTGACCGTGGTCTTGGGTTAACTTCTCTACTGTTAATGTCGCACGAAGAACATTTCCGTTTGTTGGGAACGTGCGCTCCACCGTCGACTGGATGTACAATCTAAGAGGAATCTTACGATTTTAAGACGTGATACTGGTAGGCACGTAGCCAGGTGGGGAAGAGGCCGGGTGGGCCGGGTATCCCTTAGATTTACTCTGACCCAGGAACGGACGCGCGAATTCGAATACAATTTTTTTTTACCAAGTATTAAAAACATGCTATGCTTATGCACATTAAACAAATCTAATCTGATAACTGTTCAATAATTTAATTTATTATGATTTTGATTACTAAATAATTTATGTACAGACATATTTTTATTATATTACATTTTATATTCGTAGGAAATGTTATCTTATAAATATAGCTAAACATATTTATAGTAGACATAATCAGTGGCGTATTTAGGAGGGGACTAAGGAGATAAATCTCTTGCCTTGATCTATTTATTTTTTTACATCCGTTGTTTTACTCGTATTTTATTTACTTCATATAAAATTGAAAATATTATATATTTAAATTTATATTATTATAATTAATTTATAGTTATTATTAAAAATTTGTAATATTTACTACCCGTGTATTTGAAGAGGATTGTCATACCCCCCCTCAAATAGATCCTAAATACGCCATTAGACATAATATTAAATGGGAACTAGTGTCAAATAATGCCTTCTACAGGCTCTACAAGTTCTCAATATAAAACAAATCATGGAAAATGATGCAAATGCCCTAGATTGTTAATGTGAAAAATATAATATTTAAATAAATATATAATTACAATAATTTGATAATTATTCGTCATGTCAATGTGATTTCTATTGTTGAATTGCCAACGCATTGATATTTGGTTTATAATTAATTTAATAGAATACACGAGGCACTACATTTATCAGTCGGTCGGTTTATTAAATCAGATTTGACTATTAATATTTAATTATTATTATTAATAATTATACATATACATATACATATATATATATATTACATGTTGTTGTTATAAAATGAATCTATGAAACTAGTGACTTATAAGAATAAATCGAAGAAAAAATTGACAAAATTGCTAATGCTACCGTATCACGTCGTGTTACGTTTAGTATATTATCTACATTCTCAACGAATCTAGAGTTTAATCTTCTGGAAGGTGTCGAAAATTGGGAAAAAGTGAAACTAACATTGGGATGTTGTAATTTATTGTTAAATGTATAAATGTGGAGTAAAAACGTTAATTATTCGCGTAACCGCAAAATTGTTTTGTGTGCCGTCTTGGGCACGCTTGCCATGGATTTAGCATCCCTGGTCTATAGTATACCTTTAGGGTGTTTCGTCGCCACCGTCACCGATAGTTTTACCTCGTCCCAAAAGGATTTCGTTAGCGACGGCACGTGCGACGAGAGCTGCCGGTATTCCAACGGTTTCTGGAGGCGCGAATACACCGCGCGCAGTATTAAAATCAACAGCGGAACCAACGCGACCACGGTGTACACGTTTAATCCGTACATCGTGATTGGTATTTGTTTTAATTAATTTTTTGTTAAAATTTTTTTTTACACCACGTATTTTTATCCGGCGAGCGACTAATAACACGGCACACACTATCGTGCAACAGTCGCCCGTGTCCACGTCGGTGATCCGGAAAAAAAAAATAAAAAAACGAGCGTTCGTCGATCGACTGATGAACGGTTGTTACGATATCGGTCGACGATCATAACGAAGATGTGTCATGCGCGCGTTAATTGCATCCCAATCGTCTCGTAACGGTTTTAAACGAGTTGTTGACGACCGTCGGCGTGGATCCGTCAACACGACGTTTAACTCGTCTGATAAGCTTTTGAATCGCTATCACATATTATAACGGGTGTTCGACTAGTTTCGGTTCATTATCACGGCATTATCGTGATGCAGTCCGCAACGGTCTTGGTCGTTTTACATTCGTTAGGGTCACACGTCGTATAATATGTAATGATAAGTGTTATTTTAATCATAATGTTTCAAAAATGTGTTAAAAAGGACACAAATCGAAATGTTATATTTATCATCTCATTTATCACGATTGTTGTATAATGATGTGTTTATAATAATAATAATAATAATAATAATTTCAGTAATAATAATAATTTATTTTTTAATCGATTAAATTAAGAAATTTAAATGGCGTACTATGTATTAAGTTAAGAAAATTCGTAGTCAGGGCCGTCCCGAAGGGGGGTCTTGGGAGGAGTCTCACCCACCAACGAAAAAATCAGTCGGCAGTTGAACTTGTTTCATTATACCCTAGGAGGACCTAATTTCACTTACGGAAAACAAATATTACATATTTCGTATACGGTGTGTACACGAATAAAATGTATATAATTACTTAATATACAATATAAAATATTATTTATATATAACTAAATTGTCAATTTTAAGAACGTGCGACACTGACACATATATACACGTTAAAAAGTAAAAATACGACTACATATAGTTGATTATACTACTTACATTTAGTAAAAAAATTGTAGTCGGCATTTTTCATATTATTTACCCCCTTTGATTTTCATCTTCGGGACCGCCCTATTCGTAGTCACACTACGATTTATACATAATGTCGTTTTTAATCCAATTAAAACGAAAAAGGTAATCGCATCAATATGGTTACAGTTCATGAAATTTAATTTTTGGAGCTGAATCTAATCTGATCACTACTTGCGCACTGACTTTTATGTCTTCTTTTGTTCCTATAGTTTCGAACTTCAATTTCCGTAGGATAGTTGATATAACTGTTTTTATTTCAGTCATAGCAAACTTTTGTCCTAGAATCAGTCGTGTTATTAATTCCTATGGCACGTATATGAAAATATTATTTGATTATAAATATTACCAATGCAGTTTCTTGGACCAGCACTGAACGGTAAGTACCCGAATATATTTCTTGATTTACTATCTTCATCTAAAAATCGTTCTGGAATAAATTCCTCGGGATTTGGATATAAATCTTCGCTTCGATGTAGAATATAAGGAATTATGAATATTGTTGTCAACGGAGGTATACTATAGTTTTCTGAAAAAAAAAATAATAATTTGCCTTACACAATGAAAATTAATCTAACACGATAAATACAATAAAAATATATATTGAATACAAGGCGATGTAATAGTACTTCGATTTTATAATAAAGTAAATGTCGCTTAATGATATGGATTACGAATCGCAAGCATAAATAACAGTTATACTGTATTTATAACAGTTTGTAGAAATTTTTACAAATTAAAAATACAACCCTACATTTTGAGTACAAGAATATAACATTTAAACGTATACCCATAGTATTGTTATTTATGAGGTGAAATAAATAGGTTAATTTTATGTACCAAGATTTTGAAGTTGTAGCTTTTATAAAATGTTTACGGTTATTGTGTTGTTATTAACGTACAATGAGTAATCAAATAACACGTATATCAGATGCTAGGGTTTGAATAAAAAAGAGAAGACTTACAAATACTCAAGTATAAATTAAGTTTATAAAAGCTCGATAAACTGAAGTTAATCATTATATTGATTTCTTTATTTGATAGAGGAGTACGAACTGTAATACATTTTAATCATACGCTTCGTACTAATAATATGTTTATTCGAACAAATAATGAAAATAAAAAATGAATATAATTAATTTTTTTATTGTTGCTTTATTACTTTTTAATATTCACTTAGTTGCATCGTAGTTAGTTATTATCATTAGAAATAATTCACTAATGAGTAGTGGGATTTTCTCGGACATTACATAACATTAATAACAATAAATTATGATTTGACAATTTGAACGAGGAAAACAATCGCAAAAATATACTGAAGTTATAATTTTTAAAATGTATTGATGATTATTTAATCATTATAATTACAACAAATGTATGTTTAGTTTCATCACTTGTATTTATTGTATAATTAACATAATCTATAAGTAAGTTAAATTACTTACTGATATTTAACGTAGTTTGTATTTCTCTCGTAATGGCTGGTACACTTGGATAAAGTCGAAGTGTTTCTTTGACTATTGCTTCTAAATACTTCATGGAATTGAGGTCATCCATCGTCACGTCTCTGTCCGAGTCACCAAAGATTTCCAGTATTTCATCTCTGGCTCTATCCTTTAATAGATTTCATTTAAGATTTATAACGTACGTATACAATACAAAATCTTACTTGTACATCCTGATTAAGTCCTAAAAATATTAAAGCTATTGTTATTGCTATAGAGGATGTATCGTGACCTTCGAAAAGAAATGTATCCACTTCCTCTCGAATGTCCTTATTAGTCATTTGATCAGGATTTTCTTCCAAAGCATTAAGAAGTGTATCCAAAAATGATTTCGTTTGCATTTTTTTTGAAAATAATTTATATTGTTTCCTCAAAAAAAGAGTTGTACATTATTGAAGATATGACATAAATTAAAAGTTGATTTTACTCACGGGAATTAGTTTCAATCTGCTTATGTTGACTTTTTGAATTGTTTAAGGACTCTTTTTTAATCTTTATTACCTAAATAAATACAAACACTTTATTGGTTTTACATATATTTTGGCCGAATATTGAAAGACACATTTAAGTGAGCTAACATTGTCGGTGAATTCATGTAGCACTTTGAGTGATTTGTAAAAATTTCGACCACTTTCACTTATTTTGAATATGAAATCATTCCATAACCAAAATGTGAAAACTCGATCAACAATTGATCTGCAAACACTTGAAACAACATAAATTAAAATTCATCATATTATTTAGACATTCAAATTCGTTGTTTTTCATATTTTGTAAATTAATTTATTAATTGAGTAATTTATTTAATTTAAAATATATATTAATTACAAACAATACTTCTTAGCAATTTTATACCAGTTGATCAGTTACCGATCGGCAAGTGCTTAATATAATATTGATAATTAGGTAATTAATTGACTGAATTTTAAATTTTTTGTATTTATTTTTTAAATAATATTCAGAAAGTTTGTCGATTTATCAAATGTAGTTATAAATTTAGTATAAAAACTTTAAATCATGTTCAAAATAAGTAATTATACATTGATCTTGTTTTAATATTTATAAAACGTGAAATATAGTAAGCTTCCCCATTTTTGTCTTTATCTTCTGTATATTTACTTCGACAGTCTACTATTATGATATACTTATTATTAGCATAAAAAAAAAAATTTAGTTAAAATCAGTCTTAAATTACCATTTGATTGCTTTCACATATTCAATAGATTTACCTTCTTGAGCATTTACTTCAATCCCCATAATAGTATCTAAAAAAAATAAAAATAAAAATTCACAATCGTAATGTGTTATTAATTTGGTATAACTGTTTATTCGTTAAACTAAAAATCAAAGTTGATAAAATTTATCGAAATAGATTATTCTATAAATATAAGATTATTACTAGAGATTGTATTAATTAAATTGTCACATAACACATAATTGAATAATTCATATGATTATTACGCGTGTAAAGTAGGTACTAAATTCGAATGAATATATTAGTTTTTTTTTTTTTTTTTTTATTTAAAAGAATATATTTACAATCTATTTTTACAATAATCAGTAAGTGTGATAACAAGGTTTTTTTTTAACGTTACAAATATTGGAATAGGAAGACCCTCAGTAGTGCCACCTGACAAGATATTACTTTAAGTTAATTATTTGGTATTTTAGTTTTTTTTTTTTTTTTATATATTAGTTTAAAAAATCATTGCTGTTATTGTATTTGCTTATCTAATTCAAAACGAAATAGCTTTCGGGTCAGTTATTCGTCGGATAATTTCAATAAAACTATCAAATAATTAATTACCACAAATCATGTCTAATGAACACAGCGTTATGTAATTCATAACATCTATTTCTTTGTCACCCGTGGACGCTTCCAACAATTTTCTCGCCAACACCCGCGAATGTTTATTTATGGAAACATTGTACATGTCTAGGGTTTTGAAGTGAAAAGTGCTTGTGAGGAGCTTTCGACGGCTCTGCCATTTTGAACCTACAACACATTGTTTTATTTATAAGTATCGTACGTACGAATCATATCCTCCAGATATATCCAAATGTATCAACCTGAGCTCAATAAAAGGCCTTCGTTCAGCCAAGGTTTCAGAATTTGATAATCTTTGCTTTTGGTTATATTTTTTGTGCTGGATAATAGAATCTATAATAAAGGCATAATGCACTGTTAATTTTTGTTGTTCAAAATGTCTAAATTGCTCTCACCACAAACAAAAAAAAAAAAAAAAAGGACCGCAGAGTTGGCTTGTTTATTAGGTATTATTTATTTTCATCAAGATACAAAACGGTTTACGATCAACGATTAAACGTTGCAAATTATATGGGATAGTTATATTTTTAGTCATAATTTTGTTCTATGAAATCGAATGTTATTTTCATGTAAAAATCATTTATATATTTTAGATAGAAATTGAGTTGTTTTAGGTATTTTTAATGAGTATTTTTCTACTGAAATCCTCCATAGTTGAAGATTTTTATACAATGCTATAGTTAGGTAAATGTGACTAGTTAGATTGAATTGGTAAACAGAATAGTTGTACATTTTAACATTTACTGTCTTTAGTTCAAAATAAGACGTGTTACTACGCGAGTCCCAAAATGATAGAAATAAATTAAACACATATAATAATAGAAGTTGGAAAATATGGAATAATCAAAGTGAGATTACCTTATGTAAATTAAAATATACTCCATTTTTGAAGTTCAAAGTAGAACTATAACACCGTATGCATATGGATTAATTAATATTAATGTTTGTCTGATTTATAAAAAAATCCTATCGATAACGGTGTTCCAAGTTCACTCATATATCATAGTTTCACGTATTGCTTGAAATGTTATCAGGAATAAAGCAGATTATTATCTGTGTTATGGTGTCAATAATAAAATATTATTTTGTACATACTTTTAAGTCATCGGGATCGTTGAGCAAAATGCACGCTTGTCCTGCAAGGTTGAAATGTACTACTAGACCGTTTTGATTCTTCAGCTCCATAAAAAGTGGTAATAAATCTAAAATTTTAAAAATAATTTAGTAATTATGATAATTAAGAAAACAATAATTTAATAACATTTAATAAATCGAAAGCTAGAAATATTGTTGAAGATGTGTGACGGCAACAATTTTTTTAAAAATATTTTTAGATTTCATTTATGTAATCTATCAGCTTGTCGATAAAAAATATATTAATCGAAAACCATTTAATAAAGTCATTCAATGTACTACTCGCTATGTTTTTTCTTTCAAATCGAGTATAAAAATATATTGCAGAATTGTCTTTGTCGTTAAGTAATAAGGTTCTTATGACATAAACAGTTAGGATTATAATAATAGCCTATAGTCATTTACTTGGTTACTGATATTCTCAAATTGTCTCGATTTTCGTATTTTTTATTGATTTGAATACAATAGAAATGGTCCGATTGGAATTCAGTTTCATTATGTGTATTGCTATAGAATGTTTGGCTTAGACGACTTTTGCTTAGTAACCAGTTGGGGAAATTGAGCAACATGTTTTTGGCGAACATCAGTCTATATATAAATGAACAATGACTTGCTATAGTCAATCGTCTTCATGATTTTTTTAGGGAGTTTTATTAATCGTGTATGTGGCCAAAATAAGCGTATTAATAAAAGTATATTGTAAACATAATTATCCACGTCGTGTGTGCGCTATTGGAATCTACTTAGATTATAAATTTCTGTCCCGTCCATAATAGAAAAATATGTATACGAGTATACCACACTTGACGATTTCCGAAATAACGCCAACAGAGTCAATTAAACACGGTACTAATCACACATTATAATTCGTTACACATTGCACATTGTTTTTTTTAAAACACGTTATATTTTGAACATTTTGTCTTATTACTAATTAAGTTATATTATAATAGATACACATTTAAATTAAAACGATGTTAACACAAAGTTAAGTCTCCTTAAAAGGATAATCACTTAATAGTGTATGGCATATAGCGTCTACTGTCTGGTTCTATATTGAGAAGAAAATGTAGACATAAAAACGTTTACAATCGGTATTGGTATTACGCGTAGTATAAGTGCAAAACAGAGTGACATAAATTTATTTTTTAATTTTTTTTTTTTTTTTTTAGTGACACAGTTTATTAATAAATTATGATGCCCTATTTGGGGCTTATTAAAGGTCAATATATGAGGGAGGGGAAATAATTTTGCGTCCCAATGTACATTGATAAATAAATATGTAAGTAAGAATAAAAAAAGAAAAAAAAATCCTCGCTTCGATCGGCCAATTATTTCTTCAACTTCATTGATGTTGGCTTGATGCACAGTTACGAATATATATTTTTGATTAACAATTAAATTATATTATGTTATAATAAAATCAATGTTGATATAACCTACATAAATGTAGTATAATTTATGTTAAATAAATTAATTAAATATAATTGAAATAAAATATTATGTTAAATAAACATAATTAAATATGTTTGGTAATAAAATTTTTATAATATAATTTTTACATTATAATAAATACATTTTTTTATGTATTTTTATGATTTTTAAAACATTTTTGCAATTTTTTTAAAGCAATTTTTGCTATTTTTAGAGCATTAAAATCCCAGCCCTAGTAATAAAAAATACAATTAGGGGGAAATCCACAGTTAGAGAACTGTAGATCAAGCTATTTTTAAGAGGCCATTTATTACTAAAAAAAAAAACACTTTATGATCATATAATATGTGTATTTAAGATAATTTTCAGTGAAATCATTCACATTTATTTTATTTTATGGCTTAGAGATGTTTTACTGTACTATACAATTAAACCAGTGGTGTCATTTGGGAAATGGCAACTGGGGCATTTGTCCCAGTTTAGTATTAATTTCAGCCTATAGTCGGCATATTTAAAAAATATAAGAAGTTTTTAAGAGGCCCTTTTTGTCAACAAATATTAAATGTGGGTCATACTGACCTCCTGAACCCCCATAGATGCGCCCCTGAAAAATTCAAACAACCTACAAAAATATCGGTATGACTTAAAATAGAATATTATTTCTACAATTCTCTTTTTTATCAATTTTAATGAATATCTTATATAATAAAACCGTATTTGCTCAATAATGGGAGATCTATTTTTATTTCCTATATATATTTATGTACATATATATGTAATATGTATAATTAAATGTTTACATATTATGATATATTATATGAAAAACTTTGATTTTTAATATAATCTATTATAGTACATTACTATATAATTATTATAATTTTAATTTTGAGGTTTCCAATATATTTACATGGTACCTTTTAGACTTTGAAGTCTGGATAGAGAGAATATAAAAATGTTTATATTATTTTTCTACAAATAATTTTGTAAAAATATTTATTGGTATAGATTTCTCTACAAATTTACCGCCCCCCAAAAATGTTCACCCGAGGTAAATGTCCCTTTTGTCCCCCCCTTAATGCACCCCTGTGTCCTATGTCTAAGATCACGGTGCATAATTTATCATTTATCGTTTGTCGATATTTAAAGAGCAGAAATGAGATTTTGAGTTATATGGCCTGTTTTGAGCCATCCATTTATAAGAACTTTAAAAAAAGCGATATGAGTAATTTTACAACTAGAATACCGGTGAAATCATAAATTCCAATGATAATCTATATTATTTATTGCGTTATATTTGATTAAAACGTACATTATATATCACTCATAAAACTGATAATACATGTAAACTTGTAATGTAGAAAAGAGCAAAGATTAATGATTTTAAATTTTAAATACTCAAACATTTGCCGATTTATAAATTAATAATCGTTCGTATGTAACGATAGATAGTTGATGATATGTTTTTTTTATCTATTTTGCTTGAGCTTCAGCATAAAAGAAAAGAAACTAAGATTTTTTTATATTAGTGTATATTAGTACTTAAAAGTTAGATAGGCTTAGTTTAGTGCATTAGTAGATTTATTTTTTTAATTATTCCTTATTTTTTTTTTATACAATTTTGAATTTTATAAATAACGAACAATTTACGAAATTTTAATCATAATATTGAATTTAGTTTTTATTGGAAACATGAGCTAGTATTATACCACCTCATTTATTTGTTTCTTTTTTTAAATTAAAAATTTCAAAAATCAATCATTTGAATATTTTTCAATCTCTTAAAACTTAAATTTTTGTAAAATGAATAATTTTTATGAGTGTTTTCTGTCTAATGAAAACGTAAATTTACAATGTATTTATAATTATTAGTTTTAACAATGTAACACAAACATATTTACATGCTGTTATAGTAATAATTCAAAACTCTAAAAGTTTAATTCACCTCTCCTGGAGCAAATGCGTCTTTAATAAAACAAATAAACTACATATTAAGTATTTTAAATAATATAGTCTCAAAATAAATATTTTGCAACAAGATTATAAAATAGGTTATGTAGTACAGAGTTACAGCTCGATGAGCGATGTTATAACATGTTATTTGTATATTATACCAACGACCTTGACACATTATTTAAACCAGTAGAAATAATACAAGTATAAAATACTGTTTATAATTAAATGACCAACATTATATATGTTTTTTATGCTATTGTCGCTATGGTTATAGATTTTATTTTCACCGAGAAATGTTGTGATGGAGGATTAACACTCAACGGCTTCAGGAATCCAACGAATTTTTATATCTAATCGGACAACATTGATTTTTACTTCAACTATTTAGTAGAGTTTAATGTAATTTTTATGTTATGAATAAAATTATGTCCAAGATTAAATTTCACGTTAAAAACGTAAACATTTTGTACACCGATGTCAAAATCAGCTTCAAATGCATATATTCATGTTACAAAAACGTTCACGGGTAGTTTTTTTTTTATATAACTGCATAAAGATATCGATTTTCTGTTTCATCCGAAAAACGTTACATGAGAAACATTAGGATACAATAATTGTATAATAATTATTATTTACTTAGGTAAGGAACCGTGTACTCGTAGTTAGTTGACACGACCAATAACAATGTTTAAAATTTCCTTTTTCCATGAACATCATGTGCCGTTATCGGATAATTATGTTACATTAGTGATTTATAAGCTTAAAATTATGCTCAGTTGGTGATTTACCGTACACATATTTCGCTTATTTATTCGTTCGACGAATTATTGTTCGTGTTCCTTTAAATCGCAATCGATTCGATTTTTTGACGTGTATAAACAATAAGTCTACTGTGCTTATTTTTGCTAAATATACCTTTAGGTTTGGCCATCGCCATGTTCCACGAAAATTTCATTTCACTCCATATAGTTTTCGTGACAGACGGAACGTGCGACGAAAGCTGCCGGTATTCTAGCGGTTTCCGAAGCCGAGAATAAACCACGATCGACACGAGACTCACTATTGAAACCAGTAGAATTTCGTAGAAATGTATCTCGAACATTTTTGCGTATTGTTATTTTTTCGCAGTCGGGCGGTTTGTGAGCGTTTGAAAATGTCAAACGCAAACAACGAGAACGAAAAAATAAAGCGTGAACGGAACGCGGTGGATATATTTCAAAACATCCGTGACGCCGACGACGCGTTACGATCGTGACTGAGGTACACAAAAGTTCGAGTGTAGCGGTAACCGGTTTGCGGTCCCGTCCGCCACCGTGTTTTTTGACATTGACATCGGGGCGTGCAGTTTTATGCGCGCGTTTATTTTTTTCTCTGGTCGTAAACGATAAGCTCTCGCTGTATCGAGTGCCAATAATTTCGTTCGCACACCGACGCGTTTGTTCGATCGTTCTCGTCGGTAATTAAAATATTTCCCCCGTTTGTTTATCGCGTTATATAGCCGTCATTAAATTTTTTCGTATTTGTTTATTAATCTTTATTAATTTTATGTACATAAAAACGACCGTTGTTACGTTGTTATCGCGGGTTCGATGCCGACAAAAAAAGAACGAGATATGACACGGGTAGAATTTGTTCAAATTTCAAAATGGCGCCCACGATAGGTTTCCGTGGCACGAAAAACGAAGATGTACGCGACGTAGGTACGCGAATAATTATTTGTTTTTTTTCTCGAATGGTAAAAATTTCAATTCATGCGCCATGTTCCGCCGACAAAGAGCGTTGCGGAGTCGGTAAAAGACGAACTTGGATTTTAGGGCGACGCACAGTTGTGAGAATGGGTTCGGACATTTTATTTTTCGAGAAGGGTCCAAGGACGTTAAAAATATTACTTTTGTTTTTGATTAAATTTTGAATACTTTTTGGATACATTTATTGTACACTCAAAATGTTGTACGTGCACGAGCGAACTGCATTTTGTTTGAATGGGCAAAAATACTATTGTTTCATGAAATAATTAAAGTTATATACGAAAATATGATACAGAAAAATTAAAACTTTACTTTTTGGTATTGAAGTGTACTAAATAAGGCACGTAAATGTGATCTTGTGGTAGCATATTTTTTTTTATTTAGTCGTCAAGGATCATAAGTTTCCGGAAATGAATGACATTCTAGAATACGGTTATTGCGATTTTTTTTTTCTTGGTTAATAGTGTTTTTAGTTATATTCAAACATTCTACAAAACTATTGTGTACGTCGTAATTAAATATGTGTACTTCAAGGATTTCTTAAATAATTATGTATTTATTACTATTAACCAAAACATTAGGAAAGAATTTCAAATATGGTACCTATATACTTTTTTATTTTATTGTGAAATAGAATATTTATTTGCATTTTTAAACATGCGATTTCGTATTATCTATAAATATAATCTTTTACGTAATTCACTATAACTAGTTTCATTTTCAGAGTCGAATTTATTGAGATTTCAAACGTGGGACTGATAGTTGATTCATCTTAATTCGATGTATTACTATGGTACGCCGTCGCCGATAATGTCAACTGAATATTAACAATTACAGTTGTTATTTAATTGTTATTATAATGAATACGAGTTCGCAGGAACCCAGAAACTTTCCTTTTTGAATTACTTTGGTACCTAGTAGATTAGGTACTACCTACGGTGTTACAATTTGAACTTGTCAAAAATTTGAACGACATAGTTTAACATAAAAAGTACGTCTATAGAACATAACGTTCCATATTTCAAAATGAAGATTTTTTTGTCGTTTAAATAAGCTTCTCAACGGTTTTTCCTTACCAATTCGTGCGTGGGCCGTGGACAATATTCAGTGGGAGTGTTCACATCAGTGCCATATCCATGGGGGGGGGAGGTTGGAGGTCAGAATCCCCCCCATGACCCTGAAATGATAAATTAACTTTTACATGAAAGACGGTTTTTTCTTTAACAATTTTATATTTTAGAATTTTGATTTGGAAATCATATTAATAGTTTGTATATATAAACACTATAAACGTATTATACACACGCTGCGCGCACGCGCGCACAGACACACACGAGTCATAATATTATGATCATATTTAGATACTTTACTACTACTTTAATAATTTTGATTGGGAACATAATATTTAGGTTTTTTACAACGGTTGATTCTGAATCGGTGGTCTGGTCCCGATAACTGAGATAAAAGCGATATCATTGTCTGTATTCAAAGTTTATTTTGGGTATACCCATAGACGGGAATCGAGGGCTTATGGGGACTAAGCCCCCCAAAAATGTAAAGTACAGATTTTAGCCCCCCTAGCCCTAAAAGTTGTTAAGTGACTAAAAATACAATAATTATTATAATTGTAAAAGGCATTTTTAATAACTGAATTAAAAAAAAATATTCTGTGATAAAAATTAAATCAAATTCGTAAAATTTTACAAACTTATTGTCATTACTTGGAACGATCGTAATTAATGTAATATTAATAATATGTAATAATACCTGTATTGGTTGTTTAATTTAATTAATTAATAATTTCTGTTAAGAATAACTAGGTACTCCAAAAATGTTTAAGATAAGGCACCTAATTGAGGTTACCGTTGTTGCGGCATATTATATACTTTTAGGGTATTTCATCGTCAAGTTTTATGAAATTTGAGTTTCACTTCAGAAGTTTTTTTATAGCGGACGGAAAGTGAGATGAGATATACTGGTATTCCAACGGCTTCTGTAGTCGTCACCAGCAAGAGACTGTAAACAATCAATCGATCTTACTTTTTTCGCTTCTTCTCGAAGACCATGCTGCGATATGGATTGAAAACGAAAACGATACAAGTGCACCCACACAATTCGTTAGATCAATTCAATCCGCGTGTAAGTACGTGATACAATGGACTACCGATGCCTAATACGCAATAAAAACGGTTCAGTTTGAGTCTAATCTTATTTTGTGTGTTGCAGTAGATCATTTCAATGCTTTCGGTCTGGATACTTTTCTCCTCATAATTATTGAGGAAACGGGGCATTATGTTTTTGGCAAATTACCATAATCGATATGCAAATGAATCCCAACTTACCACCATCAATTTTTTCTATGATTGTTTTCGGGAGTTTTATTTATTGTGTATGACCAAAACAAGTGTACTTATGAAACTGTATTTAAAACATAACCGTCCAAATTACGTGTGCGCTATTGAATTTATTTTGATTGTAAATAACTGTCTCGTCCGTACTTGAAATATGTGTTTATACCACAGATGATGACTGCGGAAATAACGTCAATATTGACAATGCTCTGCAGGGTCAATTAAACGCAATACTAATCACAAATTAAAATTCGTTATCTGTCGCGTTGAAGAAGACCAAAATCGATTTGTAGGCGTTTTGCTGCACGTGTACGTATTTTTTATTTTTTATTTTGCGGACGACTACCATTATTCATTAGGTCTTTTTAATCACGTATTTTCTGTAAAAATTATGGAGCAAAATACAACAAACCGTTGGATAGTAGTCTTGCTGAAGTCGACGTTTACTATGTACGAGTACATAGCCCTCCGTCTGTGCAGATCTCGTCAATTCCGAAGACGAAACGCGATTTTTTTTTTTTTTTTATATACATTGAGGACCTTTTATTGTTATTGTTGCCGATGGGGCGTGCGAGGAGTTACTGTCCATATTCTAGTGGTTTCAGTAGCCGACAATATATTACAAAAGATATTAAAACTATTAACAGAAACTACGACAGTGAACAGATTGAATCCCAACATTTCATCAAATGTCTTATTACGTTATTACATTACAAATTATAAGATAATAGTATGATGGTAATCACATTATTATGTAAATGTAATTTAGAACTAGGTTAACACGAAGTTAATTATCCGAAATACGTGTAGGGATCGCTGTGTTAACACTGCATACTCACAGTTATTATTAAAACGATGTATCACGTTCTTTGTTAGCTTGAGATGCTTGTGAGGAAGATAGGTATTTAATAAAATAAACAAACACTTGTATTTTAACACTTATAAAAATTACAACTATTTATTAATTACTACAAGAAAAATTTAAAATAGTAGTTGAACATTATATAAGAACAGTTTAATCTGGGTTATGAATTATGTACTTGTGACGATGTGGCTGAAACCGAGTCCACGACGAGCAATAATTTATTTGTAGCGAAAATGACTAGCCTAACACTGTCTAATTCCTAAGTACCTGTCTTCCTACTTTACATTAGCTGTAATTCTTGTATTTATACTAAAACTCCCAATGTCGAATGGAGTATAAATGTAACATTGATCTAGTAATTTGCAATATTCAGCAAAACTAATTTAGATAAAAATAGTACGCCTTATTACGGAAATTACGGTATTTATCAAAAGTGATGAAAACATGTTATTTAATCTTCTTGCATCCTATATACATCATATATTAATTTAATATCTATTTTTATATAATGCAATGAATTTTTCTTTATATTATTTCTATTTTGTCTTATTACATATGGAATTGTTCCTTAATTTTAAATTTCAAAATATTTTTGGTTTCATCCTCTAAATCGGTGTGAGTACATATAAAAATGAACTGCAAGAAATTTTAGTTCAATCAAATAAAGTGAGCTCGTGCCAACTTGAAGTTGAAGTTTGAGCTTAATATATTTTTAATTAATTCTAGACATTTTTGGTATTTTCCTAAATATTTCATAAAAAAAATTGTAATTTTTCAAAATATATTTTTTCAAGTAAATTAAATTTCCAATATATTTTATAATTTAACATTTTTTTAATAAATCTATTTATAAGATTCATAAGCTTTACTGAGTGCCCTCCGTTATCTATGTAATAGTTTCAAACTACTCTGTGATAGAAATGCATCAATATTTTTCTCTGAAAAGATGGTAAATTGATTGTTTATTTTTTTAAATTAATTTTTTAATTTTCTTAAATCTATTCAATAAACTAGATGTTTTACTTACCTAAAAATGTATTATCTATTTAGTTTGATTGAATAATCAATCCTTTTGTCAGGTTTTTGGTTGGTTTTTTTCGCAGATTTTATCATCTGATGCTTTTTCTCAAGTGGTATAAAATCATAAAAAAAAAAAATAATGCAGTAATTTCTTCGGTTAAGTACCATAAATGATAACATTTTTAATTGATATTTTAGATATTTCTTTATCAACTGCTTCAAATGATTTTAAATCTTTTATAAATTGTAAGTTTTAGTTCGGAGCTTTATCTGTCAGACACATTTACATGTTGTTTTACTTATAACGTAAAATTTTAATAGTTTAATTCACTTCTCCTGAAGCAAATAGCTTATACATACTTTTGGCAATATTTTGAATTGTTTTTATTTTTTAATCTGTTTGTTGAAGGGTTTGATGAGAAACATAGAATGGAGTATTTATTATTATTCGGAAAGTTGTTGACTGGAATAACTATATTTTGTTTGTGTTTAATTTTTTGGCTTCACCCCATAGCCGAATACCGTTTGTCTAAATGGTCATTTATAAAGTTTTATAGAGAAGTAATTTTGTTTTTTTAATAAGTTTGTAGTAAGAGTGTTTACCGAGCAAGAATTGTAGCGATTTACGCCTAAAGTTTAACATGTTTATTCTGTTTTTTTTGTGATGTGTCCAGTTTAAGCGTTGATTCAGATACAAGCCCAAATAACGATAGCAAGAGGATTTATTTTGATTGTTTAAACATTTAGTTTGTACTGTTTTACGTCTTAAAGTGAAAGTTAGATAGGTTTTTTAGAATTTATTTTTATTTTTTACTAGTCGTAACAAGAAGACGTTAAGTCTAAATAGCTTTGTAGGTTTATATTTAGAACCTTATACCTTTAGTATTGGGTCATTTAGTGAGGAATATATAAATTTCTTGGTGCTGTTGTGTGTGTTGAATTTATTTTTTCCGTGTATATAGATGCTAATTAAAATTCATATATTGAATTACCTTTTTTCTATGGTATACTCTGGCTCGCTAGATTTGAATTTTCTAAAAATTGGCCCGCTATTAACTTTGAGTTGCCCATCCCTGTTATATATGATTAATAGCGTTACAGCCAGCACGCTCCTCTGAGCTAGACCATTTTTCTGGATTCTCCACCGAATATTTTTATCCTGGAGAGCAAAGGCTTTCTCAGGATTTTTTATTAGGAGGTATATAAAAATGTATTTAAAGGTGAGCCATAGGGGCCAATATCCCATACCCACTTTTAAATATAAAAACAACATACATTAAATGAAAATTAAAAAATATTATACTGTTTATTAAAACATTAAATTTATAAATTTATTAATTTTCTTGATTTTTGAGCCATCATATCAAGAACTTCATTGTCATCAATTGGGATTTTTTTATGGACGGCCAACAATGTAAACCAATTTAGACGAATCTATGAATGATATCAAGTTATGAAAAATATAAAGTTATAGTATTAATTTTGTAATTTTTGAAAAAAAATATAGTATACTTGAATTACTCGTAATTTGCCAATAACTATAAAAATCGTTAAAAAAAAAATTGATAAACACAAATATTCTATCATTTGTATAATCGATGGTATAATCGTGAGACTAATTTATTGTTTACATTTTACATTAATATAATATTAGATTACAGACATCTATCTCTAACCGTGGCCTGTAATCTGTTATTTGTATAAAGTGTTGGGAATAGACAATGCAAAATTTATTTAGATGAAGATGAAAGATAATATGTCCAAATTCATCTAGATAAAGATAATAGATAAAAAAAATTAAAATATCTAGATAAAGATAAAAGATAATTTCATTTTTATCTAGATGAAAAAAAGAGATATTTTTAAATTTTTTTATTTTTTGGTCAATATTTCGTACTTGTAATAATATCCATGAAGACTCAATTATAATCATTATTATCAATAGGTACCTAGGTATTTAATGTTTATTGTAGTAATGTTGTGTACCATTAAGCAGTATTTATATATAATGATAATTAATCACTAAAATGTTACACAAAAAAAAAAAAAAAAAACAATGAAAATTGCTCTGTACGTATCAGGATGAACACAGAATACATAAGAAATTATTTTAAGTTAATAATATTGTTTTCCATATAATTTTAATTTGATGATTTTCTTTATTCTATAAGTAGTTACGACTTAACGGGTTCCAAGAATGAAGTATTTACTGTTCAGCGTAGTTACATGTGTATACTAAAATCAACCTACTATATTTAGAACTTCCATGGAAAAATAAGAAATTAAGTTTAAAAATACCAAAAATATTTTCCCGACATGAAAATACAAACAAAATTTCATACTAAGAAATAATAATTACTAATTAATAATACATGAATTATGGTTATGAATACAAAATTTATACATATATATAAAAGAAAGTTGGGTTAGTTGCAGAATTTATAATTCAAAAACGGCTGGACCGATTTTTATGATCTCTGATTTGTTGGATTCGTCTTCGTACAAGAATAAAAATAACTCTAATCTTGGCAAAAATACAGAGAATTATCTAGATAAGTAAAAATTTTATCTTAGATAAGTAATTAAATAACATATCGTTATTGATCTGAATAAGATAAAAGATGACAAAAAATCTATCTAGATAATGTATCTAGATAAATTTATCTAGGTAAGTTCCAATACTGTTTGTATACCAATTGCATATTCACATGGAAAATTATTATCAAGTCAAAAAAATATTTATTTATTTAATTTTCATTAAAATATTAAATATCAAATAATCATGAAAATCCATCCTACCTAAAAAAAAAAATATATATTCCCCATATTCCCCCGTAAGAACGCCCATGGTCATATAACATATAATGATGCAAGTTATTTAATCATAACGTATTAAGAATATTTTCAAATGGATACATATGGAAATATATTTTTTATCACATTTTACGTTTGTTGTGTAATTATGTGATTCATATAATCATAATAATAATAATAATTTATATTTTAATTAATTACATGAGGAAATTCTAATGGAGTGCTATGTATATAATTAAAAATAATTCTAGACACAATACGATTTTACATAATGTCGTTTTTAACCAAATTAAAACGAAAAGGGTAATCGTATAAATATGGTTACAGTTTATGAAATTTAATTTTTGGAGCTGAATCTAATCTGATCACTATTTGCGCACTGATTTTTATGTCTTCTTTTGTTCCTATAGTTTCGAACTTCAACTTCCGTAGGATAGTTGATATAACTGTTTTCATTTGATTCATAGCATACTTTTGTCCTAAAATCAATAGTCAGGTTATTAATTCGTAGGTCACGTACATGATAAATATCATGTGATTAAAAATATTACCAATGCAGTTTCTTGGACCAGCACTGAACGGTAAATACCCAAATATGTTTCTCGATTTATTATCTTCATTTAAAAATCGTTCTGGATTAAATTCCTCAGGATTTGGATATAAATCGTCGCTTCGATGTAGAATATAAGGAAATACGAATGCTGTTGTCATTGGCGGAATACTATAGTTCTCTGAAAAAAAAGTGATAAAATATCGTACATAGAATATGTACGATTATTACACAGAGACAATAAACCTATTATTTTAAATTAAATAAAAATACATAATGTAAATGTTGATGTAATAATTCGACGATATTATAATAAATTAAATACCGTTTAATAAAATAGAACATGAAATGCAAGATTGAATAACCATTTGTTGAAATATTTATAAATTATAAAAACCACCCTGAAATATTGAGTACGGAAATAAAACATTTAAAAATATACTGAATGCATTTTTGGTAATTAAAAGAAATTGAAATAATTTGTTGATGTATTATAATTATTTATTATGATTAAAACAAATTTATGTTGTAATTCATCACTTGTATAAGTAGTACCAATTCAAGTAAACTATAAGTAAATTAAATAACTTACTGATGTTTAACGTGGTTTGTATTTCTCTCGTATAAATGGGTACACTTGGATAAAGTCGAAGTGTTTCTTTGACGATTGCTTCTAAATACTTCATGGAATTGAGGTCATCCATCGTCACGTCTCTGTCCGAGTCACCAAATATTTCCAATACTTCCTCCCTGGCTTTATCCTTTGATCGATATATTTTAAGAGTTGTAACACATGTAAGGTATACATAATCTTACTTGTATGTCCTGATTAAGCCCTAAAAAAATTAATGTTATTGTTATTGTTATGGAGGCCGTGTCATGACCTTCAAAAAGAAAAGTATCCACTTCTTCTCGAATGTCCTTTTCAGTCATTTGATCAGGATTTTCTTCCAACACGTTAAGAAGTATATCTAAAAATGATTTCTTTTGCATTTTTTCTGAAAAAAAAAAAAATATATTTGGTTGTCAAAACAAGTAATACATTTTTATGGATAAGATGAAAATCAAAAAAAATATTTTACTTACTAGAACTAGTTTCAATCTGCTCATCTTGACTTTTTGAATTGATAAACGACTCTTTTTTCATCTTAATTACCTAAAATTACACAAACACTATATTGGTTTTACATAAATTATGGTGACTGAATGAATGATTGAAAGATTTGAAATAAATAAATTGTGATTTAATCGTACAATTAGATAAATAATATGTTATATTCAAAATTGCGATAATGTAGTATTACTTACTTTGTGAGCTTTATATCATAAGGAGTAGACTTCATAAAGAAAAAGAATAGTTTGATGGTTAAAATGTATTAATTCAATAAAGAAGTTTAGGGAGGAAAAATATTGCTTGTATGATAGTGCTATACAATATAATTATTTCAAAGACATACTAAGTATACTAACGTTATCGGTAAATTCATGAAGCACTTTTAGTGATTTGTAAAAATCTCGACCACTTCCACTTATTTTGAATATGAAATCATTCCATAACCAAAATTTGAAAATTCGATCAATAATTGATCTGCAAGCACTTAAAATAACATAAGTTAAAATGCATAGGAATATTAATAAATTCAAATTCAATATTTTATAAATATTTGATATATGTTAATTATAAACAATAGAGCTTAGTAAAAACAGATCAGTTAATCAGGTACTGATCGGCAAGCATTTTAAACAATATTGATAATATGGTAATTAATAGACTAAATTTCGAATGCTTTGTGTTCATTTTTTAAATAATATACAGAAAGTTTTTCGATCTATCAAATAAAGTTATAAACGTAGTATAAATAATAAGTTCAAAAAAATTAATTGAACATTGATCTTGTTTTAATATTTATAAAACATGAAATATGTTAAGATTCCCAGTTTTTGTTTTATCTTTTGTATATTTATTTCGACAGTCTATTACCATAATATATTATTTATTATTTTTGTAAAAAATTGAATTAAAATCAGTCTTAAATTACCATTTAATTGCTTTGACATATTCAATAGATTTACCTTCTTGAGCATTTACTTCAATACCCATAATAGTATCTTAAACAAAAACAAAAAATAAAAATCATAATCATAATATATTATTAATTAGATATAATTGTTTTTTTGTTAAATTTTAATTTAAATATATATCTGATAATTCGGGTACGGGTTTTAATTATTTTAAATTTGATAAATTTTAAGTTGTCTTTGCGCAACACTGGATACAAAGTACATTTGGAGATTTTCAAGTTTTGTAGTGCGGCATAATTAGAGTATCAAAGACCCAGGTGCAGACAAATGTACATGGGCCCCTCTTTCTCTAGAGTAGTATTTTTTTTCAATATTTAGGTAAACCAGCGGTTCTCAAACTGTGCTCCGCGGAACCCTAGGGCTCCGCGGAAGATGTCTAGGGGCTCCGTGGGCATGTATTGATTATCTAAATTTAAATATTATCGTATTTCTTAGTCGTCGAGGAAAAACGTTGGTACGATTACCTGAATTGCGCAACGAGTAATACGTTTTAGTGACACCAATTCTGTTCACAAGTAAGACTTCCGATAAAATTTGGTTATCATGACTTCATAACTTGGCTGGTATTTTCACAAAATTAAATGGAGTAAATCTATCAACACAACGTAAAACGACCAAAGTTTTCACGGTAAATGACAAAATCCGAAATTTAAAAAAAATGAAATTTTGAACTGTACGTTTTTCTAAGTACGGAATATTAATACTTATCGTTGTCTTGAATGTAAATTCCTGATTTTCGGGGCTCCGTAGATCTTTTTGAAAGCATAAGGGCTCCGCGGACAAAAAAAGTTTGAGAACCACTGAGGTAAACAATTCCAAATAAAACGGACCAGATTTTTACATTTTGTTATATAAAATTAAATACAAGATAATGATACAATAATTATGAATCAAATTAAATCAAATTAAAAAAAAAAAAATTACGATTTGCTATGGGCCCTTTGACTCTGCAGGCCCCAATAGCGCCCATAGGAAAATTCTCAAGGGGGGGACAACATTTTAATTTATTAATCTATTCATAAATATGTATGACCCACGATATAGGAAAGGGTTTACAATTTTACATTGTACTATTACAGTATATATATCAAACTAGAAGACTATAAAATAATAATTATTTAACTAATTTACCATAAAAGCAATTTATTGAAATTTTTATTTAATTAATAATATAAATTGGACACTTAAAATATTAGTTATATTCATTAAAATAATAATTTACAAATATTGTATAAATATTATGGTTGTGTACACACACACATATACATACCATATTTCTGGAAATACACAATATTTTAAGAGTTGATAATTATCCATAGAATAGAAACGAAAAAGCATATTGTTATTTTTAGCTTATAACCTGATTTTTCAAACTAAATAAATAGATTTTTTATAAATAAATTATAGATTTTCTTATATGTATTAAATTAAATTTTTAAATTCTATTTAAATAAATATTTTATGATCATAGTAAACAATTTTCCAAGATTTTTGATATTTTCCAGGAGGGGAAATGTCCCTCCCTTTCCCCCTATATGGGCGCCCTTGCCTGCACCTATAATTTTTACGGCACTGTACGGCGTTTAGGTTTGAAAGTCAATTCATAGTAATTGTAGTGTGCTCATTAAACATCGAATGAGGTTAATAGGACTTATTTCATACCACATATGTCGGATGGTGTTACTTCAATATTATTTGTCTTATTTTTCATTTTAATCATAAGAATATATCTAATGGTTTTACATTTTTTTATACCTACTTTATTACCGAGTACGTAGTTTAATATATTTTAATTATAATTCCAGATTCTCTTTGAACTTCATTTAATTTGATTTCTGAATTTTCCACTATCAGAAGATTTTCAATTATTGTTAGATTTAATGTTTCTAATTTTTTTTATTACTTTAACCAAGGAAAAAAAATTGTGGAAATATATGCTAAATGATTTTTCAAGTAATTATATTTCATAATATCAGAAGCTTTTTTTAATAGCGATTGCAGTATCTTAATCAAGATATGAAATAACTTCTTTAATTTTTCTTTAGTTTAATTCCAATGTAATAATTTTAATATAGATAAAAACTGTTTAGGTATAAAAATGTGAAATATTTACAAGATATGTAAATATTGGTGAAATATTTTAAAATTTGTATTTATATCAAAATATGTAAAATAAAAAATCTGATATTATTCAGAGTTTTATAAAGTGTGCTTATTTTTAATCAGAATTGAGAAACTCAAATTTAATAAAATTATGTATTTACATAAAAATCCGCGTTCTTTTGATAACATTTACCGAAATAGATTCCTCTGTAAGCATTAGTCACCTAAATTTAAATTAGACCATGTTATCGATTTTTAAGATATAAGTAGATTGTTAATAAAGATTGTATTACACGTAATTAACATATTATATAACATATAATTTAATAATTCACAAGTTTATTACGTTATTGAATTATTCAAGTCGAAAGAATTTGCTAGTTTAAAAATTATTGCCGTTAATGTAGTTGCCTATATAACTAAAAATGAAATAACTTTTGTGTCAGTTATGCATTAGATAATTTGAATAATACTTTAAAATTATTAATTACCACAAATCATGTCTAATGAACACAGCGTTATGTAATTCATAATGTCTATTTCTTTGTCGCCCGCGGACGCTTCCAACAATTTTCTCGCCAACACCTGCGAATGTTTATTTATGGAAACATTGTACATGTCTAGGGTTTTGAAGTGAAAAGTATTAGTAAGAAGCTTTCGACGGCTCTGCCATTTTGAACCTACATAACATTGTTTTGTTAATTGATATTGTACGCATAAATCGTATCCTCTAGATATATCCGTATATACTAACCTGAGCTCAATAAAAGTCCTTCGTTTAACCAAGGTTTTAGAAGTTGATAGTCTTTGCTTTTGTTTATATGTTTTGTACTGGATAATAGAATCTGTTGTAAATAAATAATGCACTGTTAATGTTACTAAAATTTTTATTGTTTAAAATGTCTAGCGCTCTCACAAAAAAAAAAAAAAATAAGTTAACGTAAAGTTGCATTTTTTATTAAGTATTATGCATTTTCATCTAGATGCACTACGGTATAAGGTCAACGATTAAATATATTCTAAAATATAAATTTAATATTTTCCTCTTTTTATGGAAAAAAAAACGCGTGACGGCGAGTTTTCCACTATGATAGAAATAAATTAAATGGTATTAATGGTATTTCACCCCAATAGTTGGAAGAAAGGCGAAGAAGAAAAAAAGTATAGAAACAAATTAAATACATCTAATAATGTAAGTTAGAAAAGATGAAATAATGGAATTAATTTATATAAATTATTATGTACCACATTATTGAAGTTCAGATTAGAACTATAACATCGTATGCTTTTGGATGCATAGGGATTAATTAATATTACTGTTTGTCTGCTTTATAAAAAAATACCAATACAACTGATGACGGTGTGCCAAGTAGACTTTTATAGTTTCACATAATATTTGAAATGTATTCAGGTATAATACAGATTATTATTTTTGTTATGGTATTAATGTTAAAATATTATTTTGTACTTACTTTTAAGTCATCAGGATCATTTAGCATAACGCACGCTTCCCCTGCAATGTTGAAATGCACTACTAGACCGTTTTGATTTTTTAGCTCCATAAAAAATGGTAGTAAATCTAAATTTTTAAAATTATTTAGTGATTAGAGTGATTGAGAAAACAATTATTAATCAATCGAAAACAAAAATATTGTTTATGGTGTTTGATGGCAAGAAATCAATGAACAATATATTAATCTAGAACCCTATAGTAAAGTCGTTCAACGCTATTCGCAATGTTTTTTCGTTTCAATCAGGGATAAAGTATATATTAAAGATATAGAAGAATTATCTTTGTAGCTGAGTAGTACGATTCATACGACATAAACACCTATGTTACTGTGAGAATAATAATATCCTAAGGTGAAATTAATTTGCTTGATTATTGCTATTTACATGATTTCTCGGTTTTCGTATTTTTTATTGATTTGAATACAATAGAAACGGTCCGATTTAAGTGTAGTCTTATTATGTGAGTTGAAGTAGATTGTTTCAATTCCATCGGTCTAGATACTTTTCTCCTAGTTACCGGTTGGGGGCTTTGGGCATCATGTTTTCGGCAATAATAATAATAATAATAATAATAATCAATATGCAAATGAACCCTGACTTGCTACCATTAGTATTTTCCTAGAATATTTCTGGGAGTTTTATTTATTGTTTATGACCAAAACAAGTGTAGTTATGAAACTGCATTTAAAAAATTACCATCCAAGTCACGTGTGTATTGTATTATGCGTGTGTAAATTGTATTTATTTTTATTATAAATTACTGTCTCGTCAATATTTGAACAATATGTTTATACCACAAATGATGACTGCGTAAATATTGCCACTGTTGGCAATGTTCTGCATGATCAATTAAACGTGATACTAATCACAAATTAAAATTCGTTATCGTCCATAGTGAAGATGGCCAAAATCGATTTGTAGGCGTTTTACTATACGTGAACATTTTTTTATATCTTGGTACATTTTGCGGACGACTACCACTATTCATTATGTCTTTTTAATCACGTATTTTCCGTACAAATTGTGGAGCAAAATACGACAACCCGTTGGATAGTAGTCGCGCTGAGGTTGATGTTTACTATGCACATTGATCTCCGGACGTGAATTCCGAGGACAGAACGCGGTGGTAATGATTGATTGTTATTACTGTTATTGTTTTTTTACATCGAGAGCTTTTTATTGCCATTGTTGCAGATGGAAAGTGCGAGGAGTACCGTCGATATTCCAGTGGTTTTTGTAACCGTAAATATAACTATTATCGGAAACCATGATATTGAAGAGATTGAATTCCAACATTTTGTAGTAAACCATTGGGTAGCAATCATGTATTGATACTAATGTGGCAAAATCGAAACGGAAACCAATATCAATACCTACTCGTATTGATATGCAGTTCCCACGGAACAGAGCCTATTTTTAATATCACAGAAACAAGCTTCCTTGTTCACATCCGTCATAATCCCCATCGACCTTACTCTTATCCTAAATGGCTGCTTATAAATACGGTATCCATTTACCTATACATTTAGAATAGTAGAATGATTTAAACTAGTGTTAACTAATTACTCCGCTTACTGCACCGTCGTGAAGCCCGCCAGCTCTGAGAGCCAATCTTTATTATTCTCGGGCAGAGCTTAAATACTCTGTCCTCACACTTTCAATTATAAATTACTATCTTATTTGTATTAACCACATATTATATGTATTTTATTTTATTCATTATTATACATATCTGTATAACTTTAAACTATCGTGTTTTGTCGTATAAACACCTTCCAACAACTCTACATCACAGACGTGAACCGTTCAAGTATTTATTCGTCAACGGTGTATTGTGTCGTTCTCTTGCAGACCGGCCCACTACAATTTCGTCAAATGTTGTTACGTTAAATTATAAAATATTAGTATGATGGTAATCACATTATTCTGTTAATTAGTTAATGATGGAAATTTAATTTAGAACTAGATTAACACGAAGTTAAGTCTGTGAAATATGGAATAGTTTACGGCATATTTTGTCTACTGTTTTGGTTTTATATTGAGGAAAAAATGGTAACTCAAAATCGTTGACAATCGGTTTTGATATTTCCACAATTTCAAAGGTGCTAATTAGAGAGATCTGTATATATTTATACATATATATATTTAATTAATAAATTATGATGTCTTATGTCTAAGATCACGTCTTAAAATTTATAACTTGTTTGTTGATATATAAAGAGCAGAAATAAAATTATGAGTTTATGTTCTCTTTTTAAATCTATCATTTATAAGGATATTAAAAAAGCGGTATGCATAATTACAATTATAGTGCTGATAAATTGCAAATTCCAATACTAATCTATATTATTTATTGCGTTATTTTTGATTAAAACGTACATTATTTATTATTTATAAAACGTTTTATACATCTACACTTGTAATGTAAAAAAAAAAAAGCAAAGATCTACGATTTTAAATTTCATATGCACAAACATCTACAGATTTATAATTAACAATCGATCATACGTTATGACAGATAGTCGATGATAAGTTTTTAATCTGTTTCGTCTGAGCCTTGGCGCTAAAGAAAAATGTATAAACTGACCTACAGAGTATCTACATTACATGCAGATACATCGGTACATGTATATGCCTTGTTTCTACTGAATACAGTTGACATAAGAATATCAACGTCGATTGGGTATTAGATACGAGGAGACGAGGATTTCACTGTAGGTAACTCTTTTAAAAAATAAACAATTTTAGTAAATAATATGACAATAGTCTATTCCGAATAAGTCTGGAAAAAATCGCGTATGCAGGTCCGCTGTGGTTGGCTACGGATTCGGCATGCGTCGTGATCGGTCGGCGGCCAGAACTCCTCGCCGTGTATATAGAGTGTTAAAATAATAATGATTCAAGCAGCTGCGGAATAAATTAATTTAAATTATAATTATAATTATAATTTGAATGAAACAAATAAAAACACGCCGAATGCAGGTTAAATTAGTGTATACGCGGAGTACGTGGTCAACTAGTCGTAGGCAAGCGAAATGGTGATGGTTTAGAAAATACAGTCGGGCTGTATACAATTGAATCGTCGACAACAACGCTCGCCACCGTTAGATCACGTGACATACCTGCGCGAAACCGGACGCGTTTTCGTGGTACATTTTTCCAGACTTATTTGGAATAGACTGTACGTGAACGAGAGGCCCACCACTAGCCGGCTCGGGAAGCTAGAACAGTGGAAGGGGCCAAAAAACCCCGGGTTGACCCACCGACGTCAACTAAAAACTTGTAGTCGGTACCACGGGAGGGGGAGCCCCACCGCACGCCGGTCCGGGCTAGCCGCTCCGGATCCGGTGCCCTCAAGGTTGAGGAGCCTACCTCGGCTGAAACGTGGTGGCAGTGGCACAGCGCGAGATAGTAACAAAACCACAACACCCAGTGGAAACCGCGGGTCCCAACGCGGTTCTCGTGTCCGCGGCTTGAAAGGGTACGGGCGAAATATCGGTGCTGGTGGTCCATATGACGACCCGGGCTCCTTGGTCACACCTTGGGGTTCGTTCGACCGCGCCTTTTGAGTAACGCCTCGCGTTAATAGAAGGTGCGCGGGCGATAAGGCCTTGGCCACAAAACCGGATCTCGTGCACGTTAACGAGGAATACCTAATGTTACTACTAATAGGTAACAAGCCGACGCGATTACGCCTCCTATAAAGCCGGTCCCACACGACTCGTGTACTTAGCGAGCGTACACTCGGCGAGTGTACTTGCCAAGTTTGTACGATGCTTGTAATTATGTTGATCCTACACGACTCGTGTGCTCGCCGATTGTTCGTCAATTGCGTACACTTTGCTCGTCATCGCCAATGCTCCCACGCGACTCGTGTTATTAAAGGCTAGTTCAGACTATGCCAGTAATTTAGTCGAGTGGTAAGTGATTTACCAACTACTTAACTACTCGACCGAAAAAATAGAATAGAACGGATTGACTGAACCGAATTGCTTTACTAAACTACTCGACTAAATCGATCTGTTCATACACGATTAGTTACTAGAATACTCGCCACTTGACTAAAAATTACTGGCATAGTCTGAACAAGCCTTAACTCGTGTGATATTAACAATAAATAATAGTCTATTTCGAGGAAAAATCCAATATTAAGTTTCTTATCAGCACGAGTCACTCGTGTTGTGTCGGACACCGAGCGACTCGGCGAGTAAAATTAATCGTCGTGCCTGACGATTAAACACCTACAAAACACTACTCCGTAGAGTCACGATTGACGATCATTCGCCGGTACACAAGTCGTGTGGGACCGACTTAACGTTCGTATAATCGTCAATTTCCGGGAACCGGTCCCCACAGGCCGACGGGCACACACACGCGCACGCATTACATTAAACGCTGATGACGTCATGGTAACATTTTCGGTGTCGTACAAATTAAAGGCCCCCATACACGATCAGTTTGCGCAACCACTATGTTCGCGCAAAAACATGGTTGTGCAAACACACGTACATACACGGTCAAGCGGTTTGTGTGAACCTCAGTCCTCAGTACGTTTTTGTATATTACGTAGACATAATGTCCGACACAGAAATTGCTTGCGCCGCGATAATCATTGCCTGTTTGACCGAAAAGAAAAAAGAAAAACGAAAAAGAAAGCAGAGAATATGGACGAACGAATGGCTAAAGAAGAGGGTAGAATTTGGTCATGACCGTTTAGTATCAGAACTCAAACTAAGTTCAATAGTTGACTACAAAAACTATCTTCGAATGGATGCTGTTACGTTTGGAGAATTACTAGAAATGGCTACACCTTTAATAGAAAAAAACACTACAGTCATGAGGACACCAATATCGGCCGAACAAAGATTGTTGGCCACTTTAAGATATCTTGTAAGCGGTGATTCATTCTACCATTTTATCATATGCTGCATCCTTCTTATTTCTGTTTTTATACACTTCACTTTTTACTTTCCACAATTCTGGTAATTCTTGGTAAAGTAAGAAAAATTCACACCGGAATTCTCTGTCTTCGTCATTTTTAGTTCCCATACTAATAACTGTATTATATATTTATATTATTAAAATAAATAATAATAATAAATATTAAGATTTTAGTTAACACTTAAAAAAGTAAAAACAATAAAAATAAATAAATAAAATTCGGAACTTTAAATTTACTTCGAACAATTTTAAACAACACAATATGATATTTCCACCACTGACGCTTGTCAAACACTGACATACACGTTCAAACCGCTTATCAATCATCGAGCGTTGCACAAAATATTTCGGACTCGACCGAAAACCTCAAACTTGGTTTCAAACAGTTGCGCAACTACTCAATCCATTCCATACACGATCAAAATGCTTGCGCAAACTGATCGTGTATGGGGGCCTTAACAGAATGACCTCCAGCCATAAGACATATATGTGTCAATATGCTTTCTGAATTACGTCGAATGTTGTCGGCGCGGAACCCGTATGAACCTGCCTCATCAAAAACAATTTCGGCGAACACCAATGAAACGTTAGTAATACACCATAAATAAGTTATAAATTGACAATAGTTACATGTTTCAAGTGGTATGTGCATTTTATTATTGTTGTACAACAAATATGATTGCTTCGTTCATAAGTTATGAGTTATGAGAATTACAAAGAAAAATTATCGTTAAAGATAGATAACTAGATAGAAACTAGATAATTTATAAAATAACTAAACCCTGTAGGTAATGTATATAATTTATACTTTAACTAGTTATTTTATACATTCCCTAGCATCACTTCGTTAATGTGTCAAATTAATAGATTCATTATTATTATATTCATTATCATTATATTGTTAAACGCTCAATTGCTTATAACGTTTAAATGTCCCATAATGGTAAACTATATATATATATATATATATATATATATATATATATATATTATTTTGATTTAAGCCCTGCTTTATTGTTTTTATTTTATTTTGAATTTCATAAATAACGAAAAATTTACGTAATTTCAATTATAATAGTGGTTTGAATTTTTATAAGAAATATCAACGTGTACTATACGTCTATAGTTAGAAATAACGTTAATAATAAATGTTTAAAAATATTATAATACTTAAACGTGTATAGGCTCAGTCTAGTAGATTTATTATTATAATAGTTTAATATATAAATAAAATTACAATTTTATTTTATTTTGAATTTCATAAGTAATGATCATTCTATCCAATTTTATTAATAATATTCAATTTAATTTTTATTGGAAATACGAATGAAAACTATACTATCTCATTTACGCACATATTTTTTTAAATTATGATTCTCAAATATCAATCATTTGAATATTTTTCAATAGTTACAATTTAAATCACTGCAAAATTAATTGTTTTTTTGATTATTTTCTTTCTAATGAAAATTTTAGCTAACAAAACAAGTATATTTATAATTATTAGATTTAACAATGCAACACAGACAAATTTACATGCTGTTTTACTTGTAATATAAAACTTTAAATGTTTAGTTAACTTTTCCTGGAGCAAGATCGAAAGTGGTATATTTCTTGAAACGATATTATATTATTTAGTGATGAATTTCACCAGACGAAAAAGGTTAGGTGTAAGATAAAGTGGAGAAAGAGTAGCCAAGAAATTTTCAATGTGCTCTTTAAACACACATTAGTGATAATGTCTTGGTGAGGTTAAAAGACTTACAGCAAATGATTGTGAAAACGTTCAACCTATTCTGCATTAGGTTCACGTCAAGTATTATTTAAACATTTCAATGGGGATTTTGTGGGTTTTTGTTTCAAACGTCTTCGAGTTGCTCGCAAAAGATAACAGTTTTTTGACATAAACAAAGAAACCTAAGAGCTTAAATTATAACTTCTTATTTGTTATAAAGTTCTCTTAAGCGAGGAAGTAAGATTTTTAAATAGTTTTTTCATAAAAAAAATGTTTAAAATTTCCTTTTTCCGAGAACATAATGTGCCGTTATCGGATAATTTACACTAGTGATTTATAAGTTTTAATTTTTCCCATTTGTTTATTTACCGTGCCTATATTATGCTTATTTATATATACGACGAATTATTATTCCGGGTTCCTTTAAATCGCAATCAATTCGATTTTTTGACGTGCATAAAAAAAGTCTACTGTGCTTATTTTTAATAAAAATACCTTTGGGTTTGGTCATCGCTATGTTCCACGAAAATTGCATTTCACTCCATATAGATTTTGTAACAGACGGAACGTGCGACGAGAGCTGCCGGTATTCTAGCGGTTTCCGAAGCCGAGAATAAACAACGAACGATACGAGAGTTATTATTGAAACCAATAGAAGTTCGTAAAAATTTAACTCCAACATTTTTTCGTATTGATTTTTTTTTCACAGGTTTTGTAAAGGTTTTTAAATACGAAACGTTAATAATAAGAACGATAAAACAATGCACAAACGGATCGCAAAGGATATGTATTTCAAAACGTCCGTGTGTCGACAACGACTGTTACTCGATGCGTCGGCGACGCGATGTAATCGCCACTGAAGTTGACCGGAGTTCGGTTGCTGCAATCACATTCGCGTTCCCGTCCGTACCGTGTGTTTCACGATGACATTGGCGGGTGCAGTCCTACGCACGCGTTTAATTTTTTCTCTGGTCGTAAACGATAACCTCTCGGTGTATCAAGCGCCAATAATGTCGATCGCACATAGACACATTTGTTTGATCCGTTCTCGGCGATAATTAAAATATTTCAGCCGATTGTCTATTGCGTTTTACAATGTTCATTAATTTTTCTTGTATTTGTATGTGTATATTTATTTGTATATATTACGGGCAAAGTATACGATTTAGTCATTATATAAAACGCTATATAACGTATGATTGATTAGACTGATATTAGATTAATTTAATACATTATTTTTACACTTCTTATAGAGTGAACATTTTTTTTTTTTTTGTTGCACTAATATCAAAAATAGTCTTCGTAAACGCCGATCGTTTAAATAGGACATTCCGCAGATTTGATTCTCCATGTGATAACCTTTTTCATTTTTTCATAGGAATGCCGTAATGGTTGAGACATTTTCTTAACCACATCGTAACTTTTATGTAGTGTATTGTGTATACGGAGAAGTTTAATGCAGATTTAAAATTTTTGTTAAAAGTAAAAGGTTCAAATATTTCATTTTTTAACTTTGAAAATACAATGATTTTCAGGGAGTTTAGATGATAGAAATTTAAATCCGACGAGTTTTGTGGGAACCATTGTTTGTCACGTTTGATATTAATGCGATGAAATTCGACAACTTTATAGCGGCACTCAAGACCTTCCCGAAGGTCCTCGTCAGGAACACATGGGTCCAGACGTATCACACCGAGGCTATAAATAAGTGAATTTGGAATAGTAGCAATGAAGCCATTATCGGAAAGCCATGGAGAATTTGGACAATTGTTGGCGTTGTGTAGAGAATCGAACATGATTTTTACTCAGTGTGAGCCAATGGGTGAAATATTTGTTACACCTTTAAAATGTTTAATGAAGAGTTAATCAAGTTTGACGGGATGTAGATTACTAGGGAACGGATTTTATTGTAAATACATATTTTTATTGAAATGAGATATTTTTAATCTGATAAATTCTAATTAAAATAAACCCAAATTTATTTTACATATTTTTACATATTTTGGTATAAATACATATTTTTACATATTTGGTAAATAAGTACATATTTTGTACATATTATAGTAATTTTTGATTTTTTCATCGATTTCCGACGACCAAACATTATACGTTATCTAAATGGCATTTACGTACTTATTTACATTTTTTGTCGATCTTGGAAATACCGGACGATGTAAGTATAAAATAAGGAAGTGGTAAAATACGATAAACATTATCTACATTATATAAATGAACTTACGTACTTTATACACCGTGGACAAGTGGGTAGATAACGTGTTTATTCAATGTTACGGTTTCACTCTTCAGTCTTCGGTGTATGTTTAGTTACTGATCTAATGTAATTATTTGTATCGTAGCTGTTTTTTTCTTTGAACCTACATCGAAATTTTGTTGTTTTTTTTTTGTAAAATAGTAAAATTTTGTCCGAAGCCGCTCCGTATATGTGTAAAGCAAGTAATGTTCTGAATGCATTTTTCCCTAAACTAATACATGTCACTTGTTTAGCACATGGTTTTCATCGGGTGGCAGAAACAATAAGATCAAGTTACCCTGACGTAGACCAATTAATAGCAACGGTTAAGAAAATATTTCTTAAAGCACCAAGTCTAGTTTTAAAATTTAAAGAATTGTACCCTGATCTCAATTTAACTCCAGAGCCTATTTTAACGAGATGGGGTACGTAGTTAGAAGCCGCTCTGTATTATTGTGAACATTTTGAAAAAATTAAAAATATAATTTCAAGTCTAAATACTGAAACTGCCACCGCTATCGATAAAGCAATTAATTTGATGGAAAATAATAATTTAAAAAATAATTTAACATACATTTCTGCTAATTTTGGTTTTTTTGATTCATACTATAAAACAACTGGAAACTCGAAATATGCCCTTATCAGAAAGTTTATGCATTGTTGAAGAATCGCAAAAGAAATTAAAAAAAATGTCAAGGTCACATAGAAAATGTAGTTAGAGAAAACTGTAAAAATGTGATAGAAAAAAATTAAGGACTGAAAAATTTAAAAATAATTAGAGATATACTCCAAGGACTAAATCCAACAGAATTATTAGATGTCGAACTCCACCATTCGATATAATTAATATGAAGTATGCTAGCATTACGTCAGTCGATGTGGAACGTTCATTCAGTCAATACAAAAACATTTTACGTCCAAATTGCCGCCATTTTACATTTTTAAATCTTAGAGAATATGTAGTTTCACATTGTTTTAAGAATTAGATAAGAGATAATTTTTTTTTATATATATTGTTTTTTATGTTATTTTTTTTGTTATTAGATATTTTAATTTTTTTTTTACATATTTCATTAAAAATAAGTACATATTTATATACATATTTTGATTTTTTTATTACAATAAAATCCGTTCCCTATAGATTACCAATGTTTTTGTTATCGATGGTTGAGACGATAATATGATGAGGGCCCGAGTAGTTGCTTGAAAACGTTTCGTGCTCGTTGGGTTGCCTTTCACTAACTTCGGGTGAGACGACGGCAAGGATGTATCAAAGATGAAAATCAAGGGGAGGAGGGGTGAATAATATGAAAAATGCCTACTACAATCTTTTTACTCAATGTACTCGTATGTAGTATAATTAACTATATATAGTCGTATTTTTACTTTTTAACATACGTATAATGTTTAATATGTGTCAGTGTCGCACGTTCTTAAAATTGACAGTTTAATTATATATATAATATTTTATATTGTATAATAAGTAGTTGTATACATTTTATTCGTATACACACTGTATTACAAAATATGTAATATTTGTTTTTCATAAGTAAAATTAGGTCCTTCTAGGCTATAATGAAACAAGTTCGACTGCCGACTGGTGTTTTCGTTGGGGGGGGGGGGGGGAACATATTTATATAACATATAACATATAACATATTTACATATATATATATATATATAATAATAATGATGCAGAAATATTAAAACTATATTTGGCTGGTAAATTGTCCGATACTAAAGTGAGTTGTCGTAAGGCAAGTGATTTTATCACACATTTTTCTTACTTTAGTTGTATAGGATTAAAAGTTTTCTCATAATGACTGACAAAGAAGAATACAATTAGAGCGGTTCTTTAATGTTTTTCTTTTAACTTAATGATGTTCCATTGTTGCGTTTTAAGTTAAATACTACTATTTTACAAAAGTATTGTGTACATTGTTTCTGGCTTTATTCCATCATTAGTTTAATTTATCAATTTATAATATGCATGTATATTACAAAACTGGATTCACATAAATGAATAACATGTTGCACTCCTAGGAATACTTAATTTGTAATACGTAATTAATGATGTAAGTCTTTCATTATTGCATTTTTAATTATACACAAATATTTTACAAAAATATTGCGTACTTCGTAATTAAATGTATCTACTTGTTCAAGGATTTCTTGAGTGGTTATATGTTTATCGTTACTATTCAAAACATCATAAATGGTGTTTGCATTTTTTTTTTTTTTTTATATAATTAATTAAAATGTTTTAAATAATATTTTAGAATATTTTAAACATATAATCGAGTCTTCGTAATATGCAATATTAGCTTATATTAGCATATATTCGTATAAAAGCGTTTAGTTCATTACTTCCAAGGCCTTTCGAAAGAACCAAGAGATGCGACGTTTGTTTAAACACGTACTCACCTCGGCTCATTTCGACACGTCAGGAGACTACGCCCATATTTATACTATAAATACTGGTCGTAGAATCTATTATATTTAGATATAATGTACCTTTTTAAATAAGCAGTTAGTGTATATGTGTTCCACTGTTATTTTATGTTTCAGAGAATAAAATATTTTCTTAACACATTTTTTTTTTTCAAAGTTTATATTTTATTTTATTAGATATTTTGACTAGCATATAGTTATTATTTTAAAACAACATCTATTTGAAGCTGAATAACAACAAAGGAGGAACTCGTCGTTAAACTCGTTTTGAGTAGGACTTCTGAGACCGATTAGTGAATTTACTAACATGGTCGTATAAAAGTTAAATTCTAAAGAATTTCATTTTTGGAAGTGATTCTATTCTAATGATTAATTGCGTACTAATCGAAATGTCATCTTTACTTCCCAATGTTTCGAGTTTAGACCTACGTAGAATGGTCGATATGACTGTTTTCATTTGATTCATTGCATACTTTTGTCCTAAAACAAAAATAAATTTTAAATTAACTTATACATACGTACATTAATCAAATATTATGATTTATTTCATCGTACAGATAAGGAATGTTAATCTAAGCTTACACATTATTTAAATTAAATATTTAAAAATAAATAGTGAATAATTTTTTAAACATTAAAATTACCAATGTGTAAAAGTATGAGTTATTAAAAACGTTAGAAACCGTTTTTTTTTTAACAGAAATGCGTGTATATATTTTTGTTGTGTTCAAAATAAGTTCATATCTGTATAGTAATAAAAATAAATTACCAATGCAGTTTCTCACGCCAGCGCTGAAAGGCAAATATCCAAATAAAAATTTTGATTTATTATCTACATCTAAAAATCTTTCAGGAACAAATTCTTCAGGATTTGGATATAATGTTTCGATTCTATGTAGAATATAAGGATAAATTGCAACGGTTGTCATGGGAGGAATACTGTAGTTCTCTAAAAAAATAAAAAATAAATGAAAGATAAAAAAATTACATTTAAACATTTTATATAGAATCATAGACATTGTTATAAATTAATTATTAAATTTATGAATGATTATAATCAAAATTAATATATATTATATTGCTATTTATATATTTAAATGATATAAATTTAAGCGACATTCCGACCGAATTCACCAATATTTTATTGAGTCGTAGTATGTATATCTTTGGAATTTCGACTCAACAATAAAGTAATATTTTCATGATCTAGTTATAATTGATAATTAATTTTTTATGTCTTGCTCGAACGATAAATTTACAGAAATAAACATTTTAAGAATTGTAGAAGTATCAATATTACTTTCTGTTACATCGTATTCAATCATTGTCATTCTTACGAATTGACTCAAACTTTGCCCGAGCCGTGTAAATATAATTTATATAACTTATTCATAAAATACTTACTTAGCTTCAATGTAGTTTGAAGTTCTCTGGTAAATCCTGGCACGCTTGGATACAGTCGAAGCGATTCTTTGATGATTGCCTCTAAGTATTTCATCGAGTTCAAGTCTTCCATCGTTACGTCTCGGTCAGAGTCTTCGAAAATGCTTCGGAGCTCATCCCTGGCTCTGTCCTAGGATCAGTTTCGTATGTAAACAGCGGCGCGTGAATAATACACAATACCTTACCTGTATATCTGGGTGCATTCCTAACAATACCAAAGTCATTGTTATTGAAATAGAAGTCGTGTCGTGGCCTTCGAATAAAAACGTGTCCACTTCTTCTCGTATGTCTTTGTCGGTTAACTGGTCGGGATTATCTTCCATTATGTTTAAAATTAAATCCAGAAATGATTTCTTTTGCATCCTTCCTATAAGGATAAAACGAATATTTATAACATCATTCGATTGTTAGTTCTATACTAGGATCGAAATGTAAATCAATATATTTATACGAACCAACATTTTTGTCGTGCGTTATATTTGAGTTGTTTTCATTTTTTAAAAGTGTTTTTTTATTTTCGATGACCTAGTAAAATATTAATATTGAAGATGACATAAAATATTACATAAAAGTGGCAATACTAATATTTAATTTAGTTGTTTTAACATTTTTTGAGCTATTTACACAGTTCATATTTCAAACTTTAATGATAATTACTTTTTTAATCGAATATAGACTTTTTGATGTAGATGTGATTTACATTGTTATTAGCAATAATTGTAAATGAATTATTAACGTAATTTTTTTAATATTTATGTTTATAAATCAGATAATTTCAAATGAGGCTTTGTTTAAAAAAAACTATTTAATAAATTCCATATTAAATGTTGAGACATGATAATTACTGATTAATTGATAAACTATCTTCAACAGCGACGAAATACAAATGTATGGGAAATTTTAATAAATTAGATACATGTCTATAGAGGCATATTTGGAATAATTTTTTAAGGGGATGGACGGACAACATCTGTACATTGGAATTTAACATATTATCGTCAAAACGTTCACTATTCTAAAAACGTAAAATATTTTAACCAATTCGAAACTCAGATAGAACCAACTATAAACTATAAAGTACAATAAAAATAAGCTATTAGCACAAAATATTTATTGTTGATTATAACTATAGATAATATATTTGTATTTGGTGTATTTGGTGGAAATGCATGATAGTAATAAATAGTCATAATAATAAAATTTAACTTACAATCATAATTTCCGCAAAACATTAAAAATAAAATAAAAGCCTCGGGGGTGTGGGAAATGTCCTTATTGCCTACTTATCTTCCCTCAAATACGCTATTGCATTAAAAAGAAAAAACCTGTTGGTGTAATGAAAGATAAAAAATAAAACTATTTTAAAAATGTCGCTGATTTTTGTCATAGTAAAAAAATTATAAATATGTATACAAACTTTATCGGTAAAGTCATGCAGCACTTTGATTGAACTGTAAAATGTTTGACCACATTTACTGATTTTGAAAACAAAATCATTCCACAGCCAGAATTGAAAAATTCGATCGATCACTGATCTACAAGCACTTAAAAACCATTTAAAATTAGAAATCACCATGATTTGTAGATTATATTTAAATTTTTTTTTCCAATTATATATGAGTCAGATTTTTCGAATTTTTTATGTTGAAAAAATAATTGTTCGCTACCAAAATTATCTATTAAAATACTTTTAAAATTCTTATTTGTGTAGGATAATTATACAAATGAAATATATGAATTTGGTCTTGTATAATTTAAAATTGATAAAAGGAATGCATTAATCTGGTACTATTCAATTTAAAAGGATGATCCTAGTTAAATTATATGGGTTATATCAATCCAATTATTTCTATATAAAGTATATAATATGAAAAACTCTTTTAAATACGCAATGATACATAAATGTTTAGAAATAGATACTAAATTAGAATATAATTGTCAATATAATAGTTTTTATTTTGGAAATTCATTAAAATATAAAATGTAGTTTTGTATGTGTTTGAAATTAAAAAAGTTTGTAGCAATTTACCGAGGACTAAATTCTAAATTCTAAACTATTTGAACTTACCTTTTAATAGAATGAACGTACTGAACAGATTTACCTTCCTGGGCATTCATTTCAGTCCCCATAATTGTTTCTAAAAATAAAAATTTTAAAATACGTTAAAATACACAATTATAAAAATCACGCTTTGTGGTTACTTTAATTATACGACCGCATGATCAATGGATTAGTAACAATCATAAATTACCACAAATCATGTCCAAAGAACATAGTGTTACATATTCCATAACAGAGATTTCTGTATCGTCTGCAGACGCTTCCAACAATTTTTTCACCAAGACCTGGGCGTGCTTATTTAATGATTTGTTGTACATGTCTAGTGTTTTGAAGTAAAAAGTATTTGTGAGGAGTTTTCGGCGCTTTTGCCATTTCGGACCTGAACAAGGGTAATGGTAATGACTATTAGTATCATCTGATGTATGCAATTGTTCAGTTAAACCGTAATTAACTTACCAGAGCTTAATAATAGGCCGTCGTTTAGCCAAGGTCTCAACATGTCATACTCGGGACCTTTGTAAGAATGTTCTGAACTGGATAAGAGAATCTGTTTAATATATATATACTTTTAAGTAAATATAATTTATTATATAGGATGAGTCAACGGGCACTCTCGGATGTACGAGCTCCGGGGCTCTAGCCCTCCCAACCCCACCCTCTCGCCGGTCTTGCCAATTCGGTGAAACTTTTAAGCTATTCCAGTAGATCAACAATGATAATATTAATTGGAATTGTACTTAAAAATTTTCGGTTAATGCATCGTCAATTTATATAAAAAAAATATTCTTACTTCAACCCTTGCTAATTGTATTATTGAATTGCTTTGAAAGTTCAAATACTTACTTTTATATCTTCTGGGTCGGTAAGAAAAACGTATGACCGTCCGGAAAGGTTAAAATGAACTACTGGGCCGTAATCTTTGATTATTTTAGTGAAGGTTGGTAATAGTTCTACATACAAAACAAGATATACCACGATTAAAAAAAACAAATAATGATAAATTAAGAAAACTTTGATTTTATGATATTTTGAACTATACTTAATTATTAAGTCACACAATTTGTTAAAAATAAGTAAATATCACTTTATACCTTTTAGATATACTCGTATATTTTGATATTGATTTGAAAAATGATTATTACGTCAATTATATAAACATTGATTCGTTTTTTTTGGTTTTAAATGTCATTATGAATAAAAGCAATGTTGGAGTTTTCCAAACATTGTTCATAATCAGTAGTAAGTACAATAACATTTTTACATAAATAATTTACTGTATAAGATATTATGCCATCGATAATTTCATGTAATCACTTTTAAAGGCTTGTAGTGATAAACATTTGGTTGAAAATATGTATATATAAATATTTTATAATATATCATTATATTAGAGACATTTTTTTAAAGTTTACAAGAAATATGTTAGCTATAAAGAAATATGTAAATCATGTGTAGAAAAATCTCGAAATATTCAAAATATGAAAAATTAATATCTGTGTTTGCTTATATGTATTTTGAATTCGAAGCTAATTTAGCAAATTTTCGGTTCATCATTCAGCAATAAAATATCGTAAATCGTCTCGATTTTGTAATTATTACTGGCCTAGGTATATTTTATGACAATTGGTATGTTTTTTATTAACTAAAGAGAGAAATATAAATTCGCCGAAAACTTATGTGCTGCAAGACATTGTATTTTACGTGCAATAAAACATTATAATAACATAATCATCGTGTTACGCGCAGTTTCCGTTGTCACCCGAGTCATTTGGAAAAAAAAAAAAATAACGTTGGGATTACCATTTCGGCGTATCGTATCGTACCTTTAGGAGATTTCATCGCCAAGTTCCACGAGAGTTGAACTTCGCTCCAGAAAGTTTTCGTAGCGGACGGGACGTGCGATGAGATCTGCCGGTATTCCAACGGCTTCTGCAGCCGTGAGTACACCAAGTACGAGACAAAAGCCACGCACGGAGCCAACACGAGGCTGTAAATGATCGACTCGATCATTTTTTCCACCCTGTTTTTTTTCGCCTAAAAAAATCACGCCGCGGTACAGATCGAGAACGATGCAAGTGCACTCGCAAAAGTCGACGGATGGAGGTGTTCGAACGTGCAGGTACGTGACAAGTTCAACTGCCGACGTCGAACAGGGAGTCGTTTCGGTTCGCGTCGCCCATGTCGACAACTCGTAGCGGTCGTGAGTGGAAAGAGTGTACACCGCACGTTTCGTCCGAATCCGGTTACCGGCGAAAGTGTTGTGCGATCGAGGCCAGAACCTTCATACGATTTTTGTGTACGCGTACTGTTGCCGTTCGGTTTACAACACTGAATTGGTCACAAAATTGGAACCAGTCTACCCACCCCTGTTATCGGGTAAACGATAACCTGACTCCGAAAACAACCTATTAACAGTTGCAACGCAGTTCAATACCTAGTGTAAAATATAATTATAAATATGTTGGTTTATTGATCTACATAAGATAAATTACATCCTTCCGCCTCCCGCCTGCTCCCACAGCTGAACGTACACAGACATTTAACGAAATGCATTGGGTATGATGCACCAGTTGCATTATTCGTGTTCGTCATCTAATAAGGAAATACAAATTACACAGCTCGGGCTGTGCTCATCGTTTAGTTTCACGGCGATGGCGATACGATAAAATTGTAGTGCATGAATTGGAATCTCAAACAATCGGTGGGACGAGATTTTTAAAGAAAAAAAATTACTTCAATATTTTTAATACATTCGATCTATATGATGATTAGAAATTATTTCCCCTTTCGCCTTGTGTTCTGCGAGCTATATCGGTTTGTTACTTACAAACGTATATTCACGGGGGGACGTGAAAACATAAGGAAAATGGGAATACGATGACAAACATCGGGTTCAATTTAAATGAAAACCATTAAAAGTATACTTGTTGCTTATTATTAAACGAGGAGTGGTAAAGATGAGTTTAAAAATGGACGATGAGATACAGGGATGGGTAAATGATTTTGCTATATTCGATTTTTAAATTTAAAATTAAAGTGTTGTAACGTGGTCAGGAGTGACCAGTTAAATATAAGATATTCAGGGAAGGTTTTCTAGTCCTTTTGAATATATTCTACCGTAGATCTTAATATTACAAATAAAGGGTAGATTGGTTGTAGATTGGTTCTTATAATTATTAAGATTCAATATATAAAATAACTTATGACCATGAATTTTTACATTAAAACATTACGGAGTTCAGCACATCAACGCCGGATGGTCGTCTTGAGCGAATTTACCGTTTTTTTTTTTACATACTCGGCATTAAACGTCGGACATACTATAGTGATATATGATTTATGCTCAAGTTAGAACGCAGTGTCTACTCAGATAATACATATATTATGTGGTAAACCAATAATTATGTAGCAATCGTAACAGTCTATAGATATCTACCGATGTCTGGTCAAACAATAACCCGACTCCATTCGGAAACAACTTACCAACAGTCGAACAACCAAAATATGTTTTAGTAAAATAAATAATATTTTATGCAATTCATGCAATTTCATGCATCAACTATCCATATATTGTACGATAAATAAATATAAATAATTAAAATAATGAACATATTTTGATTGAGTGTTATACTAAAGTTCATACTTTATCTAGCGTAGCATTGATATTTTATAGAAATCCTAGGAATTCTATAGAATCTATACTACCGGGTCACAAAAATATAATACCGGGACACAAAATTCGATAAAATTCTCATATAAAATTTGTTATTTATCATTTCGTTTGATAATTTGAACTTTCTAGTAAAAATTAATTCATTAATATGAATAACTATTTACAAAAATCATAATTATTGAGATTATCAACTAGACCAGCGATTCTTAACCTGTGGTCAGCGATACTCATTTCGGGGGTCCGCGACGACCCTAACACATAAAATACATCAATACGTGATATGAGTGCATTATTATAATATTGTTGGATTATCATTATTATTAATTTATTTTTCATATACTTTTTATTGTACAATAGATAGACCTTATCTTCATACGATTTTCAAAAACTTGTATCTTAAGTATAACACCAACCATCACATTAAATTAATAAAAATTAAATTTTAAGAATATTCAAATAAAAAAAATGAAAACTAAAATAATTTAATTTAAATTAATAGGAAATTAAGTGTAATAAAAATAATAATAATAAATATGTATGTTTTTTTATGCCTACTATAATGCCTACTATGCCTAATATAATTTATTATATAAAATCATTATTATTATTTTGGTTACAAAATATAATAATAACAATAATAATAACATGAGATGTTTTGTAAAAAATAATAATGTATTAGAAAAAAATTGGTATGGGGTCTGCAATTTATAAAAATATTCCATCAAGGGTCCGTGATCTACAAAAGGTTAAGAAACACTGAACTAGACTTCATGAAAAACCTGTATAGTATGGTATTCGTCGTATCTATAAATACATTTTTGAAATTCCTAGTTAAAAATAAACTTCTCACTGATAGTAGTCAACAAATACAATTAGTAACTATATTTTAATTATTACATTGTTATTACAAATTAACGCTTCAATTTTAATTTAAAATTCTTTGTGGACATTATAATGTGTTTTATTTTGCTTTTCTTTACACAATTATAAATGTAAAGTATTTTGGTGGGCCACGAAGGGGAAAAATATTAACTAACGGGTCAGTCTAAACAATAGTTTGGGAAATCTATAGTATATATGCATTCAAATTCAAATGATATTGGTTCTACAACTGGTGATGGGAAAAAGACTGGAAATATTCTCGTTTTACAATGTCATTACAGACGTTGATACAGTAGACAAGATGTATGGAACATAGATTGTAGGAAAGAAATGTAAAAGATAGCCATTGGTAATTTTTTTTAGAATATTAAATATTGCAGGAATAAACTCCAAAGATTATATTTTATAAAATTTTATTTTCGGAAGTGATTCTATTCTAGTTATAACTTGTGCGCTGATTAAAATGTCTTCTTTTTTTCCTAAGGTTTCGATTTTCAGCTTTCGTAGAATCGTTGATATAAGTATTTTCATTTGATGCATAGCAAACTTTTGTCCTGAAACAAATTACAATAGTAAACTGTGTATAATTGATTTAACCTTTTAACTAAAAGTAAGAGTGTCTAAATATGCAAAAAAAATACAAATTATTTGCGATAATATTTTTTTATAGATATGATTTGTTTATTTCTAAATATTATAAAAATGTATTACCAACGCAATTTCTCGGACCAGCACTGAATGGCAAATAACCAAATAAGAATTTTGATTTATTATCTTCGTTTAAAAATCTTTCAGGAATAAACTCTTCAGGATTTGGATATATTTCTTCTGTGCGATGTAGAATATAAGGGTATATTACAATTGTTGTCTTTGGGGGAATAATATAGTTCTCTAAAAAAAAAAAAGAAAATATGAACATTGAATACATTGTGTTATAAAAATACAATTTGATATTTCTGAATAAAAAAAAAATAGTTTAAAACCTAATCGCTGCACAGAAGAGTATTTGTGTATACAACCGATCAAAATAATTAATTGATTTTTTTTTTATTATTAATATTATAGAATAAAACATAACATTTGATACAAATATAATAAAAAACTTTAATCAAACTCATACTCTGCATACTCTTCATCTTCGTTGTTGCCATCTTCTTTATCTTCACTTTCGTTATCTTCTTTTTCATTATTTTCCATATTTTTTTTCACTGTTACCTTCAGTTGGTGGTACTGGTGGTGCGCTTGCGATAATCAAATTGACTGCCTTTTTTGAAAAGGGCTCAGTTTTTTTTTATGCTGCCTTGGTTTGCAGTTACTAATATAAGGATCTGGACGTAGTAGCAATCTTTGCAATATATGTCTATAGTAATCCACTTTTGAAAATTTTTGAGCAAAATGCAATCTAAATTGCCGATAGTGCTTGTTGTGGTCTTCAAATGCCACTTCCAATAACTGGCCAATTGGTAAAATTGCAAGAGTTATCACTGTTTCGTCATGTATAAAAACGTTGTGAACAGTTGGTGTCATAAGATGCCAAACATACAGATCTACATATATTTTTGCAGTTTCGAGTTCAAAGATATCAAATTTAACAGTATCAATACTTTTGCCAAATAAAAAAATACTAAATATTTAAAATTGTACTAACATTTTTTAGTAAAAAAATACTTTATTAAAAATCATAAAACCTTTTTTATGGGAGTATAAAAATTTAGTTGAGCATCTTATTAAAATCATAATAATTTCTTTGTTTTGCTTAGAATCAAAAAGGCGGATGTTGGCGAACAATTTTATGGTAGATTATTAGTCTTAGTTTAATGCTCATAAAAACAATGCTATACTTATAGGCAAAAACGCGATAATTTAATAATTTTTGCTTAAAATTAACACCCATATTAGAATTCAAAAACAAAGTTCGTAAAAGCATAATATAAGCCGTCAATCAATACATAGGTATTCATTATAAATAGAGTACGTACATTTTTTTTTTCAATTTCTAAATGTATTTGTTCCAACTCAACTATGCAAAAGTCAAATATCAAACGAAACAAATAATTGAAATGAAAGTACTAAAACCCAATAATATGTAATTCGGACGATTACTGGATTACGATTGATTATTTGACGAGTGTTAATCAAATTTTACTGATAACTATTTGACGAGAAAGTTAAATAGCTTTAATAATAGCAGTGCTAATGACATTTTTGATTAACTTGCCGATTGGGACTTATGATACGTCGTTGTAGTATACAATTACTCCATGTGCGCTGTTTAGAAAATATGGTTATTTTATAAATATTAGTAATTTATAGTTACTGATCATTATAGCATTCTGCAAAACAGTATTGCGTATGAATTCACATTTTCATTGTACAAAATAAAATTTTATGTAAAAAGTTATTATTAATCATTTGTAATTTTTCGTACGTTTTAAACATTTTGATTTACTCGTATTAAAATATTACCAAACATTTTAATACTTCAATTGAACACCAAGCAATAATCTTTGAAATTTTTGATAAAACATACATTTAGTATATAGAAATACTATTTATGATATTTTCTCAGAAATAATTTATGATTAGACTTATAATTATATCGTCATTAATACGTATAAATAGTATTCAATAAATAGTATCGTGCATATACTCGTATTAATATGTAAATAAAATAACTTACTGATATTTAACGTGGTTTCTAGTTGTCTCGTAAAAACAGGTACACTTGGATAAAGTCGAAGTGTTTCTTTGATTATTGCTTCTAAATATTTCATGGAATTGAGGTCTTCCATCGTCACGTCTCTATCCGAGTCACCGATGATTTCCAGTACTTCTTCCCTGGCTCTATCCTTTAATTGATTTAATTTAATAATTGTAGCACAAGTATATACTAAAAAATCTAACTTGTATGTCCTGATGAATCCCTAGGAGTACTATAGCCATCGTTATCGCTAATGATGACGTGTCGTGACCTTCAAAAAGAAAGGTATCCACTTCTTCTCGAATGCCACTATCGGTCATCTGATTAGGATTTTCTTTTAATACGTTTAGAAGTAGATCCAAGAATGATTTAGTTTGCTTTTTCCCTAGACAATTTAAGCAACAAAAATATTGTATTGTGTTGGTAAATTATGGAATTTATTTTTTTGTTATGGACAACAAGAAATGTTTCAAAGTATGTACGTACCGTGTGGTTTAATTTCAGACAGCATGTTTTGACCGTCCGTGTTATTTAATAATGTTTGTTTATTCTTAATGACCTATTGAAATACATGTGTGCATTTAACGTAAATAAAATATAGGCTTACAGTAATATATCAGATATTGGTGAATGGGTCACTGATGAATTTATTGCGGGTAAAATTAGTCGCCAGGATAATTGATCGTCTAACAAAAACGACCAAAAACTGATACGGATAATGATGCATTAGAATATTGAAAAAGATGACTATAAAATTTATATTATAATATTATATTTATTTTTATTTTTTATTTATTGTAATAATATACGGGTTAGGACCCGTTTACATTAATTCAATTTAAATTTCAATATAACAAAAAAAAAAAAAAAAAAAAAAAAAAATAAAAAAATAAAAGTAAAAATAAAATACAATTAATATTAAGTAAACGTATCAAATTATATGTATTGCTAATTTAGCAGAAACGTGATTTTTATATGAGTAGAAGGAAGTAGAAAAAAACGGATCAATGTTATAATTATTTACAGAGTTTATGATTCTCAAGAGTGATGTGTTAGTTGCATAATTTGTAGTTCGAGATTTTAAATAGAATATCTTAGTTGATTGGGTGTGAGTTGAGGAAACTTTGAATGTCAGACGACTTAAGAGGATAGAACCGTAGGGGGACATTCAGTTGAATTTTTTTTTTTTTTTGGGGGTGGTTATAATAATTCAATGTAAAATAATCTGCAGGGGCTTCGTCCCCACACTCCCTTCTCATGTGCAAGTAAGACTTATTACTGTTAAAAATATAGATGTGTTTAAATTGTATTAAAAAGAAAAAAAAAACACTAAATAACATATATTTAAAAATAAATAATATTTTATTTTAATGCAAATATCTAGTTGTATCAGCAAAGATGTTCAAAATATTATTGCTTTTTATATTTTTCGATACATCTTTTTTCAATATATAGTATTGAAAGATCGCTGAACCTTAGCCAATTTTTATTTTTTTCATTGCACTGAAACTTCTTTCGCAAGTAGCCGAACTAAGTGGTATTGTTAATTCTATAGTAAATAGTTTTTTATTATTTTTTATTTTACGATTTTCAAAACAACCAACAGATAATTATAAAAACAACGAATAATATTTCTAACAAAGTTTCGACTTTGGGTGGGGGGGGGTTGAGCCCCTCCCAAGTTCCCTCTGATTTCCACCTATGGCTAGGACAGTCAATATAGTCAGTGGCGCAACTAGAGGAGGTGTTTGGGGGTTGTGACCCCCCCTGAAATTTTTCTGAGGTTTTTACAAATTCTACATAGAAAAAAAATAGGTTTATCTTGAAGACGCGATTGATATAAAATATGAATATTATTCGTATTATAATTGATAACAATAATAACATAACAATATAGAATGTTTTGTAACGTTCTGTTTAATTTTAAAACATCAATAACCTTTTTACTACAATTTCTCAATAGTCGATTGCATAATACTTTTTTTTGTGATATCATAATATGAAATAAAAGTTTAATAAACAGTTTAATTTGTAATTTAATATTTTACTCATAAACCTAACTCAATCTTACTTCCTTATTCCAACCAAACATCTGCAGAAAATGCTTATTTTTTCCAAATTCACATAATAGAATAAATAATAGAATAAAATAAATTAGTAACATTATTTACAATTAGATTTAAAAATATTTCAGCCCAATTTATTGAGCTTAAGCATTTAATGCTATCAGAGTAATTACACGAGTAAAAATCATAAGTAAATAAATTATAATCAATAGGCATTTAAGTATTATTAAGAATAACTATAAGTAAAGATGGATGGTGAACATCCAACAAGGAACAAGAGGAGCCGTAAATTTAGAAACTGTAATATTATCAATATTAGAAAGAACTAGATCAAGAATGGTATTATTATTTAGAACAGTATTGAATTGGGATCAGTGGCGTAGGAAGACTAGCTAGCGCCCCTGGCGCTTTTTTTGAAAAAAGCGTATTTTAACCAATTAAAATTTGATTTTATGATATTTTTTTTTAACCTTGAATTTTACTATTTTTTTTAAGTATGTATACAATTTATAATTATAAGTTATTACTTATTACTTATATAACTAGTTGTTAATTTTAATCTTTGAAAATTTGCTTTTCTCGTTTTACCTAACCTTACTTCTTAGTAAGTAGACTTTATTCTTTCTTATGAATTTTTTATTTAAATGCCCTTGTGCTATTTTCATAATTATATCATTAAATTCACACGTAGTATGACATCTACGTATTAGAAAAAGTATAACGGAAAAATGTCGATTTGATTGTAGGATAAAAATACGATTTTTGTACATTTTTGCACCCCTTTGCAATTCGTGCCCCTGGCGTAGGCACAGTTCACCAGACCGTTGCTACCCCACTGATTTGGATAAATTTAAAAATTAAATTTTAGATAGAAAGTCTACTGAAAATTGATTTACATTTAAATAGTTTGGTGAATAGAAATAAGTGAATAGCCATTTTATGTTTGGTGTATTATAATTACCTACTAAAATTACATTTTTAACTTAGGGATGAGAAATTAATAGATCATTAATAATATCGAAGTGCTTATTGTATAATGTTATAGGTGAGTAGGAAAATAAGCATTACTTAAAATATAATAATCGAAATTAATTTTGATAATAACAAATAAATGTTCTACGGAATAGGGAGGTAAAGGTAATATACGAGAATAGTATTTATTATTTATTGCAACTAGCACATCACCTTTTGAACAAACTAGTTTGAGAGTTTCCATCGCAGTGATAAGTGTTGTAATTATCAAGCCCAATTCAGCGGTATTAATATTTGGTGGTACCCTGGTTTCCGATAAACTAATAAAATTAAAATCATTTAAACATACATTACGATGAAACATATTTAATTTTGTTTTAAACCATGAACATTTGAATAATATAAGTTTAAATTGAATGAACTGGGCCTGTCCGCATGTTTTTTTGAAATTGTTGGATCTTCTTTCAAGAATTTAATGACCAAATTTGATTCATCAGCGGCTTTTCTTTCCTCTAGCTTTAATTTGATATCCCTCAGTTGATTTCATTGTATTATTGTGCGATCAGGGAACATCTGGATACGTTCAAAATTAGGTAAGCCAACCATGTTTGACTTTGAGTATAAACGAAATCATCCGAGGCTTCAGGCAGAGTTATTTTTATAGGTCGAGGTTTATCAGATATTTTTCCTAAACGAGTAAATGTAGTCGGCTGCAAATTAATTGATAAGGCATCAAATAAAGATTTAATAAAATCCATGTCGTTGGTCGAGTATTATTGGTCTGATCGGCAACGTTAAATACGATTAAATTACGAGAACGAGACTGCCTATCGAGTACCTCATTAATTATAGTTTCATCTGTGTATGACTTAGTCTTTTTCACGTTAGGTAGCCTAATTTCGACAGAATCTAATCTGCATTCAAGTGACGATGTACGATCAACTAAGGAATGTAGTTGTTTGGAGACAGTACTCAATTTTGAATTAACGTCGTGGAGAGCGATCTCATGTTTAGAAACAGAAGATTTTATTTCTTCGACTACAGATAGAATATTATCAATTTTACTTACAAGATGAACTTTTGATGTGATGAGTTGAGTATTTCTATTTGATAATCTTGAACTTTCACATGCATTACACACATCCAAGAATTTTTACATTATACAAGAGCATCAGTTTGAATTCTTTTCAATGGAGAACAATTCAAATGAAAAACTTTTTTTTGCATGTTAAACATTTTAATAATGCTGAATTTTATTAATGCATTTAGATCATTTCATTGTGTAAAAGTTATATTATTAAAATATAGTTTGATATGTAACTAAGAAAAAAAATTAATAATCTGTAACAGATAAAACACACGTCATAATTCGATGAATGCTATGAGAGAAGTGAATATAAGAATATATACGTTTTATGTCGGAAATCACGAGCAATCCATTTTCAAATTTACATTGCTTATATTAAGTTCCGTTACGACGGTTTCGTTCGTACGATTAAAACCCATATGAATTTTACCTGATAATTGTACGATCATTTGGACGTTGTTTTCAAACACGACGGTTTTTTTCCTTTCGAGTCGTTAACGTTTGATTAAATTTTACTTTAAAACTTTTGTACTGTCATATACGATTACGTAGGAGATGACCTAACAATCTTATGTATTGGTTACACCCAACCGACGAATACACACTTCTCCCCGAGCGTTTTTGGTTCCATGTCAATCTTTGCAAAGATCATGAGACTCATTTCATAATATAGGTCTGCATTCTACAGCAGAGATAAACCTTTCTGTGTCAATGTACATGAATTTTTATTACAAACAGCGACGACGACCAACCTTGACAATGGACGATAAACGAATAAAAATCGTCTACTAATTTTACCCGCGTAAATTCACCAGATACTAATAAATTTAAATAAAAACAGAAATATAAAAAAATAGTAAGAGAGATGGTTAACCTTGGTAATTTGCTTAAAAATTAGTAAATTTATACTTCAATCGTAAAAGTAATTTATTTGTTAATTATTATGTATTATATAATTATATACATTGAAAAAAATTATCGGCCGTAAAATTTATCGGTGATTCTAAAAACAAAGTGAGAATATCATTAAAAACGATCTATCCTATGCAAGGCCATACTTAGAAATTTTTTTCAGGAGGGGTTCAAAACATGCATATTGTAATTTTATTGAATTTAGATTTTGACTTTTGATATTTGGTTAAAAATAAGACAGAAAAAGATTTAATCTTCTTTTATTAAAATTATTATCATATTTTCATATGATATTATGATATAAACTTAAAAGCAGTCAATGATTAATTGGAGCTTAAGTCATTTTTGACTGAAAATATTTATGTTGGTATTAATAAAAAATATTTTAAAAATTTGTAAAATATTGAAAACATTTGGGGGGTCCAGACACTCTGGACCCCCCTAGATACGTGATCGATACGTGACGACCTTGATCGTATGGTTAAAATAGTTTCACTATGAAAGAATTATAATATAAGTTGTGTACAAACGTTTTCGGTAAAATCATGTAGCACTCTGATTGATTTGTAGAACGATCGACCACTTCCGGTGAATTTGTAAATTGTATCATTCCATAGCCAAAATTTGAATACTCTATCAATAACTGCTCTACAGGCACTGAAAAATCAATATGAATTAATATTTTTTGTAATACTTATATTTATATATGGACTCAATATCATTGGTTCTCCTTTTTTGTTTTCTTATTTACGTAGTATTAATTTCTAATATGAGTTCGATAGAATTACGTTTTCGAGTTTTTAAGCAGACAATGAACATTAAAATAATCTTAAGCTTACCCTTTAATAGATCGAACGTATTGCATGGATTTACCTTCTTGAGCATTCATTTCAACACCCATGATTGTTTCTAAAAACATATTTTTGAACTACATAAATACATTTAAACTATGCAATTACTGTAACACTTATTTAATACTTTTTGACACTTAAATTAAAAAATACATTAGTCAAATAAAGAAGGAAAATGACGAATAATTTAAATCCCAAAATGTTTATGTAATATCTATTATTTTTGAGCGAACAATATTATATGATAATACAAACAATTCCAGTATTTTAAACATACAACAGTTAAAGATTAGGCCTTATATTTTGAAGGGAGTCAGGATAATATTTAAGGGTATCGAGATAATTTGTATAATTTGTTTATACTTATGAATTGCATTAAATATTACAAAATTAAAATTGATTATTATTACATCTACTAAGATAAAATAATTTTTATATTTCATTTCAAAGTTATAAACAAAATTTTTGATAAGATAAGTAAATGGAATACTTATTATTGTGTATTGAAATCGTTTGTTGAAGATAACAACTGGACAGCTAAAATATTCATATCCCCGAACTAACTTTCCACAAAAATTAAATAAATAAAAAAAACAACCGAAAAAACAATTCTGCATGTATTATGATTTTCTTTGTATCACTAAATAAACATTTATTTGTACGTTACTTAGGATGCTATACAGTTTTATAATTACCACAAATCATGTCTAAAGAACACAACGTTATGTATTCCGTGATAGATATTTCTTCATTGTTTGCGGATGCTTCTGATATTTTTTTCGCTAATATCCGCGAATGTTTATTGAAAGAAATGTTATACATTTCTAATGTTTTTAGGTGAAAAGTGTGACTAAGGAGCTTTCGACGATTATGCCATTTTGAACCTGCGCATAGTTGCATAATAAAATTTAAAAACAATTACTACTTATTTTTTAATACATGTAATTTGCTTTTGGTTTTAATTAATTTACCTGAGCTTAATAAAAGGCCGTCGTTTAGCCAAGGTCTCATCATGTTATATTCATTACCTTTGTAGTTATATTGTGAACTGGACAAAACAATCTATTCAATGTATGTTATTAGTAGATTATTTATATTATTTTGATTTAATTTATGTATGGTAATTTATTGAACTCGTATGAAAATAATTTCGTATAAAACAATTTGTTATCAGTAGAAGTCAATGTCTAAGTATGCAAACAATATATGAGTTGACATAATCACCACACAACAACCAAATCAAAGTTTGTGAAAATTTTACTGTCTAACTTTTCCTCAATAATTTTTCTATCAGTTTGCTTATTATTTGTTCTATAGTTGTAAGGTTTAAAATATTAACCAATCGATGCATTTGAAACCGGTTGATTTCCGTTTGTTATTTATTAATTGTTTGTTATGTACTCATAATTCTCAGCTAAGTTTAGCTTTATAAAGCGAGGAAAAAGTAGAAAGAATTTCGATAATCATGGACGTCCTCAGAATTTTTTTTAAGGGGAGGGGGAAATTAATTTTAAAAATAAATGAAGATTTTTTTTATACATTTTATACTTACATTTTATTTACACTATATTATACAATACAATTAAGTATTATTATTCTACATTTTATTTATAGAACATTATTATGTTTTGTCATTATTACATTAAATAATTATAATTAGGTATTATTATTATAGATATATTTTATTCATAGGTACATTATTGTTTTTCATAAAATATAAGGTTAGATACGATAAGATAAAATATTCCAATTATTATTAAATATAGTTTTCTTCTATGTATAATATATATATATATATATATATATATATATATATATATATATATATATATATATGTTATATTAATGTTTGAAATGATTAAAAAAATTGAAATAAAACTTAATGAAATTATTTGTAATGGGATATCTCATAAGCGTAACAAATCCGCTGTTAAATTTGTAACAAGTTTTTAAATTTTATCATTCCAAAGTCCTAAAAAAGGTAAAAAAATATTAACCAATTAACCCCTGTATATTAGATTAGAATAGATTAGACCAATTTCATATAAAATATAATATAATTTATCTAAATTAGATTACCTTTATATCTTCTGGATCGTTGATTATTACGTATGACCGACCAACAAGATTTAAATGAACTGCTGATCCGTTTTGTTTTAATACCTCCATGAAATACGGCAACAGTTCTAATTAGATAAAATAAATAACATCAATTAATTATTCAATGCAAATATTAAAACGTTCAATAACAACGTAATATGACAGATAAAAATAGATGTTATACATAAATCATTGTATGTATATACATCATGTATTATAATTTTTAATTAAAGTTATTGGGAAATGAGAGTGGACCGTGTTTACGCCTAAATACCGTATTTGCGTCTATATAGAAAAACCATATAAAATTTAATAAAACTTGTATGCGCACATAATACATACATTTGGTAACGTCGCGGTAAAATTTAAATTTGTAGTATTAACTTCTAGTATTATAGTATTAACCAAACTCAAAAACTGTAAATTTGTAGTACATTTAAAAATCACAATATTTTTTTTTATATAATTAATTAAAACATTGATTCGCCTTTAGATGATAAAATATTTTCTGATCGTAAATGTTGTTGGACTTCAACAATATTTTTTGGAATATTTTTTTTGTATATTTCTCCAAAGGCACATTCTATCACGAATTAATTTAACGTCCTTGTAATCTAACATGTCAAAACAATTATTTGCAATTTTAGAACGTATAATTTTAATTGAAGGTTCAGTCATGTCTTTGGCTCTTTTTTTACACGCACTTCGGAATAAGTAGAAGATTTAACTTTTTTTCATTTACGTTCATGGTTTTGAGTTAAATTGCTACTCACAGTTGAATTTACATTTTTAATTAGTCTTGCTAAATAGGATTTAATTGTACAACACTACGTTACATAACTATATTTACTTTCGTAGACTTCTTAAATTTATAACTAAAGACCGGATTTATATTATCTTAAATATGATGCATATATTCTCTAAAAACCCTTCAAATATTCTCATTATATTCTTTTAAAAATCTTAAAAATATGTAAAAATATTTGAAATTATGTAAAAATAATCAACAAACATCAATATATGCTTTAATATGCATTTTAACAATTTTTTTTATCTTTACGACATTCTTTCAATCGTGAGGTATATACGTAGTTGCATATGATGATGGGATACTATTGTAATTCAGTAAAATTGGAATATAGTAAATATATAGCAGTATAGTCTATAGTATTAAAATTTAAAAGCAATATTCCTTTGGTATATTTTAATTAAATGTTGTACAAACACTATAGTCATAGTATGAAAAAAAATAACAAATAATCGTATATATTAAAATATAATAAAACAAAAAAAACGTTTGATATCAGGACTAGTGGTAAAAAACCTTATCCACGTAATAAAAATGATCTATGAGATACAAAGTTAGGTATGAATTTATTATTATAACAGATATGACTAATAAAGAAATAATTTTTTTTACTAAATAGAGCTTTAAAAAATGAAAATAGTTTATTTTGGTCAGCTATTTTTATTTTTGGACCACTACGCTTGTTGCCATATTTGTTGATTAGTAATGTATTATTGGAGGTAATTAGCAGTTATAATATATTTTATTCTGTCTGTTTGAAGTCTGAAAAAGTGGAACTTTACGGACCGGTCCGCAGTTGCCGATTACGAGTAATGGGCGTGCCAACGACGCATATCGCGTGCTTGCGCCGCACGAAAACATCTAACAGCGCGTTCTCTCGGTCATTGTATAAGCTTCACTTTCTGTGTAGCGTCCTCCTAAGCATTAGGATGTTGCCAAATTTATGCAAATAAGTATTATTAAATTTTATTAAGCATAATCAAGGTTTTTCTAGAAAGGCGCAAATAAGGTATTTAGGCGCACAGTCCATCCTTAAATAAGAGGTGTGATTAGTTAATTAGTAAATCTGTCTCCTCTACGATTTATAAAATAAGATTATTTATGTAATATTTTTATTTTTGGACGTGATTATGGAATACAACGTAATTGTTGACTTTTTCATTTTTCGCTAATTGTATGTTTTCGATAAGGTACTTTTCAAAGTTAATATTGCAATAATTGTGAATTAATATTCAATAAGCACGCCAAGAGTAATGTTTATATAATTACCACATTAAACGATTTTAGTGCACCTCATTAAAACATAATTTTCTCGTTTCAAGGACGACGTATATTGTTGACAGTTTTTATTATAAATAACCGATCGGTTAGATTTAAAAATATTTCATTACCAATACTTTATCGTACTTCTATTTGCATCCTATGTATCATAAACCACAAAACAAAGTTTTATAAAATTGCATTATGTACATATAAAATAATAACTTTGTTATATGAAAAAAATTAATTACTGAAAGTTAAATTTACATCAAATCCGTTTAATATACTCTCGCTTAATACGATTTCCTGCGTAATACGCTCATTTTCACGAGTCCCTTGATTTTGAAAGTGGTTAACACGTAAATGACTTCGGATAATACGCTCTTTATTCCCGAATAAGATGCTCTATGTCAATGATGTTGTGATATGTAAAATTAATGATCACAATATCAAATAAATGATGATTTTCAAGATTTAGAAGAGTTTTCTGGGTATGCAGAAATTGATGTTAATATTTCTATGAATAGCCTTAGAAGTATTGATCAGAAAATTACTGATAACATTTCATCTGCTGATGTCAGTAATATTAGAGGAAGAAAGTGAAGAGGAGGAAGAGGATTATACAACACCAATTCTCCCCGTAACAAATGCACTTGATTATATACACGAACTAAGACAATTAATTTCATCTTTTGATAATGCAGATGGAACATTACAAAACCTTAATAAAGTTGAAAACTTCCTCCATTTAGAAATTACTAAAAGTTCAAAACAAACAAAAATTTATGATTCTTATAATGCAAAATAAATGTGATTTATAGGTATGTGTAAATGTAAATTTTTAGATCACATGTAATTTTAAATAATAAAAATAAAATGTAATAATAAGTATATATGTATTAATATACTTGAAATAATAATATAATATAAATGCAATTATAATAAAAAATTCATAATTTAACGTACAATTTTTATTTTAAACTTTTATCAATTTTCAAGTTTTCTCGCATAGTACGATTTCTCGTTTAATACGTTTTTTTTACCTGGTTCCTTGGAAAGCGTCTTAAACGGATTCTACTGTATTTTAATTGATAGGTTTGATTATAAAAGTCTAGTTTTAAGTTCTGTAATGTTGTCATTTTGTGTTGTTGCAATGCACAATATTATTCAAATCGACTGTATAAAATTATGAAAATAAAATGTGTCACTCATAACGATAATGAAATAATAAATTATAAATTATACATTTTTCGAATTAATTAATAATATTTAGAAGCACATTTAATTATTTATTTTATAATTGAATTTAAAAAAAATTGATAAAAATGTTGTTCAAAATTAATTTTATTAACTTCTTATCTTATCTTTTTCTTATCTTAGTTGGAAAGTGATAGGAAAAAATACGGAAGTAGTCCAAATCGTGTTCATGATTACAATGAATTGTTTAAAAATATGTATTTATATATTTATTTTCTAAAAATATTCGTCAATTCGTCGCGTATGTGTTGCAAACGAAGACCGCTTTCATGCATATTGATCTATTTTAAACTTATTGTTTCTATCATAATCTTTCGTTGTATTGCTATACTGCGATTCCACAATCAATTGCCGTCAATATATAATTATTTAAAAATAAAAGTTGAAAAAAAAATTGCTTTATGGTTAATATTCTTGAAATAATAATAAATTATCATTAAATATATGATTAATACTATTTAATAGTTGATATTATCAGAAACATTTAATAATATTCAAAATAAGTTATTTATTTTTATTTTATATTATTTATTGTTAAATAGTATTTAACCTGTTGCACCGGATGTCCGAATTCGTATGTATAAAATAAAATTAACATATTTCAATGCGTTTACCTCTGGGGTGTCTCATCGCCATGGACCACGAAAACAATATTTCGCTCCAAAGGGATTTTGTGAGAGATGGCATGTGCGATGAGAGCGTTCGGTACTCCAATGGTTTTCGCAGTCGCGTGAACACCGCGAACAAAATTAAAATTATAATTAAAATCAATGTAAAACTATAAATATTTAATTCGATCATATTTTGAAATATTTATCGAAAATATTACTTGAGTGACGTTTTACAATAATTATTAATTCAAACCCAAAACGAGAAGATAGTATAAAAAAAAAACACAATATCTTATTGTAGTTATTGTTCGTGTCATTTAGTTATACACACTATCTGGTGAGACCTGGTGGAATATTAAACATCGCGTGTATTAATTGGTCGTTTTCCCGCATCGAATATCACGATCGTTAAGGTCGAAAGGTGTGGTCAAAAATTATTAATACTATGCAATGCACTCTCGATTATCCGCGAATCAGGGTAATATAGCATCCACGGACAAGCGAATTCCAAGGGTAATCCGCTAAATTCAAATTGAAACGAATATTCAATAATGAAACCATTAATTCATGTTTTATTCATTTAATCATTAAATTAATGTTGTATAGTGTTACAGGAAAATTAAATAAGAACACATTTTATTTTTATTTAAAAATGCATAATGCATAATCAGTAATAAGTTGTTGGTTTTTTTTTTTTTTTTTATAGTAATTACTTAATTTTGACTTGCAATTTAAATTTTTTCAACAACTGACCTAACCGTAATGATGTATGTATAATATATATTATTTTTAAAGAACCATTCATTTTTGTACATATGTACAATATGTACTAGTGTTCCTTATTTCACGCGTTCACGTTTTTACGCATGGATGTCCCAAAGGGGGGGTGGCAAGACGGGGCATTGCCCCCTACCTCCCGGAAAAAATGAATCGAACAAGGTTAATAACAAGGTTTGCAATCGAACAACTGCGAAGACTTCAGTTTTTATTTGATAACGATTAAAGTGTGTACAATTCTGACATATTCTATTGTTTGCTAAGAATACATTTTTTTTAATATACTTTTTAGTGTTCGATTTAATTATCCCCCCTCCCCCCCCTCAATAAATTTCCTGCGGTCACCATTACTTTTACGTATTCACGTGATTATGACTTCCATACGTGTTTACGTGTTTTAACATTAATTTACTGACATATATTAATCATAGGTACGTACTTTATTTTATTACAATCGGATATCATGATATTGTGAAATTTATATACTCGCATGTATTAACTTAATAAAATAGGACACCTAATATGTGCATGGCTCCGTCCGCAGCCAACCGTGGATTATCAAGTGTATATTGTAATATATTAATATTTAAACTGTTGGAATTATTTCATTTCACTTTTCATGTTATTTTTTTAAATATAATATAATAAAAAATTGGTAAAATCATTGCTGAAAATCCCAATATATGTATCTTTATTGTATTTTGATGAAAGTTGACAATAGACGATAATTGTACAAGAGCAAAAACTGAGGAAAATATATTGGAAACAAGTGTATACAATTGTGTCGTGGCTCGATTCTATATAAATATCATGGGGATTCATCAACTGACTACTGCAAAGAGCGATAATATGTTTTTGTTTTGATACACATGACATTTAGAAGGTCTTGAGGAATTTATTACTGATTATCATAATTTATTTTAAGGTAACTCTGTGATTGACCTTCATCTTCACTAAAAGGAAACACGTATGCAAATGTTACACCTAATTGAATGGGTCCTGGAGGAGAACGATGCAATGAAACCGGATAATGGTATAAAGGAGAAGTGCGCATTGGCTGCCATAACATTTTTTTTAACTGTGTTTGGAATCGAACTGACATCAACAACCGAACCACCCAACATCGGCCACTAAACAATGATTTAATGAGCGAAATTTAACCGAAAATAAGATGAGAAAAACCACGCCGAATCCTGTATAATATAATATTTTTACATTCATTTAAGGATAAAAAATTCCGAAAAATATTGTAATTTCCTTCTTCTCGTGCTAGTATACATCAGTAACGTTTTATTCAAATTTAATGGTAATTAAAATTAATATTCTTAAAACCAGTTAACTTGAGGTTAAAAAAAATAATAATAATTAATATTGTAAAAAATAACAAGTATGTAGTAATAGGCGGTGCTTGATTATTTTTAGTGTGAAAAAATGTGTGTGTTAAAAATGAGAATGAGATAGGCGAATTTTGAAAAACGGATTCTAACGGACTTACGAGATGTATTATATATCTTGTACTACGTTTTAATACCGATGTCAAGGCAACAATATTCTACTTACAGCGAAGTTGAGGTTGCAGTTTCTATTGAGAATCGAGACAATATAGTAGTTTCATACGTAGCTATTTCGGTATTAATTTTAATACATTTTTTTTTTTAACTTTTCATCTTATTACTAACCTATGCTCACAAATGGGTCGTCTTAGTAAGTTAATAATTTGGTGACAGAATATAGGTAATATTTATAATTATTCCAACTCAGTAATAATATAACATAATGATCTAGCGATAGCGATGAATACAAAATAATGTGAGTGAAAAATCTCAACAATTCTGTATAATATTCATTAACCTGCACATAGTATAGTCATATCATGTCTTTATTGCAATAGTAAATTTATACAGTTGCTTAAAGTTTAATTCATATAAGTATAGTAAGCCCATTGGGTTACATATATACAAACCTAAATCCTTTATATTTATTTTCATATCACGGATGGTAACAGGGCTGGATTTAGAGTATGGTTGAGCGGGTTGCAGCCCAAGGGTACCCACAATTTTATGTTAGTTAAATAAGGATGCAGAAAATGTTTTTTTTTTATGTTTACATATATTTAATTGAACAATATTAAACTTTAATAGGACGTTTAAAGTTTAATTTTTATTTAACTAATCTGTATACATAAAATTACTTGTCCTGGGTGATTCATCATCGCAAGAACCGTTGAAGCTATAAGTATGAAATTTAGACAATAGTTTTGTTTCATGTTGTAGATATCCACTAAGAAAGGATTTTTAAAAATTCAACCCCTACGGAGGTTAAAAGGAGTAAAAGTGATAAAAGGGGTAAAAATGATAAAAATTACCTAGCCGGAATAGCTGGAGCTATGGTTATAAAATTTAGCCAGTAATTTTGTTTCATGATATACTGACTCCCTAAGAATGTATTTCCCAAAATTAAATCCCTAAACGGGTTGAAAGGGGTTTAACATTGGAAATGTATTTTCTTGGCCATATTTTCAGAAAGAGGGTTATATAGAGTGTAAACATTATATTTGGTAGGATTTTTTTGAATCCGAGCCTTTTCCACTGAATCTTTCATTGTTAATACGTCAAGTATGTACTATAGCCTTATAATTTAAAGTTATAATTTAATAGGCTACATTTTATTTCAACATTTCTCTGATTAGAATTTTATTTTACAATTTGTATTCGAAATACTAAAATATACAAAATTTTTGCCAAATTCTGGTTGTTACAATACACGTGCAGTAATAAATATAAATAAAAGTATATATTTATAAGGATAAACTGATGTATCAACGCACAGTCTAAACTGCTTGGTCTAGGCATTTGTAATTTTGCACAGAAGTTCCTAACTACATTGTAGGCGAGCACTCAGAAAGTATTTTTCATCCTAAAGGAGTGAAAAAGTGGTAAAAAGTTTGATATACACACAACTCAAATCGCTAGGACCAGAGAGTATTTTTTAATTATTTTACTATGACACGAATATACTATGTAAATAGTATCATAATTAATATTATAAATGCACTTGCTAAACAATAATGCCAAATAATAAATAACAGATTGTTTATGTGTATTGTGTATGCTTGTGTGTGCATTGTTATTGGCATTTTGCTTTCACAGCAAGTTACACCCAAAAAGAGTTGAACACACAATAATTTTCCAGAGCAACGCCAGGTAATTCAGTTAGTAATATATATGATATATTTATATATATTTGCGTTTATTGACAATGAACGGTGTTTTAGAATCTAGATAAAAGTTTCATGCGTTTAATTTAAATGACTTGATATTATATTATTTATTTCAATATTTAATTCTTACGCTTATATAGTGTAAACGATTCGTACTTTTATAAAGCAAATATAATATTATGATAATATTACTTATACTTCATTTAATTGTTTTTATGATTATTTATCATTAAATAAGTAGTTAATTGTTATTACAACTGAATAAGAAAACTAAAAACTAAGAAACCCACATAATGCATTCCACCCAGTGACCACCATATACTTAATTCCGATCCTGGATGGTCAGTACCTACGGAAAAACACGGGACCTCCACACGTGTAACGCGTTCTTTCCTTATTACCAGGCTGAGCAAGTTATCTAATATTCTTAAATCGATAAGTTGAGTTAATATAAAAAAAAAATAAAATTTAGTTAAAAATTAAATGTTACTTTTATTTTTAATTGACATAAAAATTACAAGTTATTTAGAAAAAAATTAACTTAACTTAGTTAAAAGTTAATTTATTTTTTTTTTTCACATAAAAATAATAATTATACCTTTTGTTAAACTAAACAAATAACAAAATAAACTATAAGTTTTGCTGTAATGTGTGAAAAAAGGCAAATTAAAATAAAAAAATAAAAATAAAAAACTGTAAGTTTTACTATGTAAAAAAAATAAATATCATTTTATTAATTACTGTTGATACTGCAATATCTAAATCAATTAAGAAATCTAACAAAATAGTTAAATGTACTTTTTTACCTCTATACAATAGGTATATACTTGTTCATAAGTCGTTTTACATACATACCTATATTCATATTTTGTAAGTTGTATTAGCCATTAGGGTACTTATATTTATCTATATTGTTTTGATACTTATTGAAATCAAAGAATCGTGAGAAACGGTTCGACGGTATATAATTATTAATTTAGAAGTATAACTTACAATACCTACATAATAATATACAATTAAAAATAATATTTGATATTTCAGATAATTGTTATTTTTCTTACACAAAATTTTATTTTAAATCCATGGATTTAAAATGAAGAAAAAAATAACTTAACGGGACTAAAAAAACAAATGAACTCGTTAAGTAAAAACTTAATTTTTAAAATGGGAAATCGTTGTTAGAAATTATTTAACTAAAAAGTAACTCGTCATGTACCTCAATAAAAAGTAACTAAATTTTTAAATTATTAATGTTCCGTATTGCTTATTGCATAATATTTTTTTGTTTTTCCGTGTTTCCAACCTTTGAATTACACGTAGAACAACTGGTGGAAGAAGCAATCCACCGACGGTACTTCGGAACATTATGGTTACATTTTTATTTTATTTATAAATTTCCGATTGCGTTTAATCTTTAGGGTGAAACACGTAGCATATTATGGGAGGCAAGATTTTTACAAATATATATAGAAAGAGAATTGAAATATTTTGTATAGACCTTTAAATCTTCAATTAGGTATAGTATAAAAATTAAAAAGATTAAAATATTGAGATTCTAAGTATACAACAGTAAAATATTTTAATAGCTTCCTGTTTTATGAATTTACCGTGTTTAATGTATTCGTATGATATAACGTGTATTATGTCGTATTGTTTTTTATACTCAGTTAAATTATTTGTATATTAAATGTTTAAGTACTTAAATATATGTATTGTACTTAGTATGGAACAAATACTTGAATAATTATTGTTTTACTTACCTACCTGCTTTTTTCTGATCAGCTTTAGACATGGTGTCATATGTGGTCAAAACTTTTTTTTTCACATCCTCCCAAGTTTTAAGCCTTAAATCTCGATCTTTTTATTCTTCAACACAAGGGTTCCAAAGATTAGGATGGTTTTGTACCTCAATTATTATTAGTTCTGTGTCCATTGAGTTCATAGTGAATATAATAATATTTTAATAGAACTATATTAAATAGTCTTAAATCAAATGTCGAAGTATAAGTTCTCATTGTGAATGAACTTGTTAAGAGCAGAACTGCACTAGCTTGAGAATTTGTAAAACATAATATGAAAACCATTTTTCAAAATCTGATCAGCGCGCACACGATACGCGCTTATGCGAAACCTGTCTTGCATGTAATAGCTTCGGGGACGAGTTTCGCCCGCGTATCCAAAAACGCATCACGTTTCATACGCGTCTATGTAAAATAGTCAACATAAATATCGTAATTCTGAACGCGATGTATGAAACGCGCGCGTTCGATACGCGTCCATGTGAAACGGGCCTTATCTCTTTTTTATTAATATATTTGACTTCAAACTCTCCCATTATGGTTACCTATCTATAGTGTATTTAATCTATGGCTATACCTACGACCGTTGATTTAACGTGCGAGTGCTTTTAGTTCATTGTTTAATTAAAGTATAATTTAATACGTGTACATTAAAAATTATTATTATAATGAGTGGACCGTAAATAAATGCCCATAGAAAAAAAAAAAAAGCAAAATCATATTACACAAAAAACCAAAAAAACACTCGATGCTTTTTAAACATAGGGTAGAAAATAATGAAAGTACTTAAGTAAATCATGTAATCTCAAGTTCAGCTGTTTGTTCAATTTCTACTTTAAATATTAATATTGGTACGAAAATTGTTCAAGAAATTGAGTTATTAAAAAATTATCCCAGTGAAAACAATGGGAACATTGTTTATGCATTTAATGATGATCCTGCAGATTGGGTAATATCTGATTTATCAATTAATTGTTTATAGTTAAAAGAAATTTATTTTATTTTCTCGGAAAAAATGACATTATTTTTACTCCTTGACTGTTATTTGGAGGATCTATTATTTCTATATATATATAAACTTTCTATAGAAGGTTAAATGGACTGGAGAAATATTAATAATATTTAAAAAAACAAGCACAAAGTTTCTAACAAACATACAAATTGTCAAATACTATTTTTTTTTAGTATAAGAACGAATAATAATAATGGTAGTATTGATAGTGATCTCTGGGCACATATTAATAAAGATCTAGATTATTGGAGATACGTATTGATAAAGATTATTGCTATTACAAAAAAACTAGCAAATTATTGATATCGATGTGTTTGGTAAAAAAAGGTGTAATATCATATTATGATAACGTTAATCAGTTTATACTTATAAAGAAATGTTCAGTAAAAACCTAAGTGAAAATATTCCATATTGAGTTGTTTTTTCCATAATAACAATACAAGTGTCTTAATTTTTTTTTTTTTTTTTTTTCATAAAAACGTGATAGTTCGTTCAGTGCTTTCAGTGGCACAGTAGTTAAATATGCCTTTAGGTAGCTAATCTGCTCTTACGGACGAACATCTGGTTCTTTATCTATAGTTGCTCTAAAGACAAAACTAAACACATAGTATTAACATTATTATTATTCTTATGTCCAGTTTATTGGATAAAGTTATATATTTTATTTAACTTAACTGTCTACAATTATATTTTCAACACCTTCCATTAGTAGACGTAGGTGAAGTTTCCGGCAATAAATAAATCGTACGAGCACAGCTGTGTTAGTTCTGGGCTCACTACGTAGGGTTAATTTTAGGCGCTAAAAAAGTATTATGTTTTGTTTAAATTGTTAAATAACCACCAGCAGCCTCTAGTAGCCAAATTGATTGTGTGTAAAAGTGTTTAATCAATAAATTATAAACATTCAGACAAGTCTATAATATAACATAACAGCTATAGTATAATACTTATATATAAGTAGTTATATATATATATATATTGTTATATACAGTTGTTATATACTATAAATAGTATAATATAAAAGTTATAGTTTTGATTAGTTAAGTACTCTGTGTATAAAATTCATCATGTAAACGTTAGACATAATTAAATCTTATAAAATTTAACTTTCGGAAGTGACTCAATTCTAGTGATCAATTGCATACTGACTTCGATGTCTTCTTTGTTTCCCATTGATTCGATTTTCGTGTTTCGCAATACAGTCGATACAACTGTTTTTATTTGGTTCATGGCATATTTTTGTCCTGTAGCAAAATGTCAAACGATATGTTAAACCCTTCAATGTTTAATCTGTTTTTATCTCGGGTTTATAAGTCAAGAGTACATTATTCACCTAATTTATTTAATTTAAAAATTAAAATCATATGGATTTACCAATACAGTTCCTCGCACCAGCGCTGAACGGAAGATATCCATATAAAAATTTTGATTTATTGTCTTGGTCTAAAAATCTATCGGGAATGAATTTTTCAGGGTTAGGATATATTTCTTCATTCCGATGTAGAATATAAGGATATATCACCATTGCTGTCATTGGAGGAATATTATAGTTCTCTAAAATAAAATTTATATTTCACAAATTATGATATACTTATTTTAAATGTTTAGGGAACTTTGGCAACTAGGGTTAAATTTCGTATGATAGGAGCACAGCAGGATGAACTCGTGTTGGTTGGGATAGTGACTTCCACCACCCCCACTAATGCTTCTTTCCTTCTCTAAAGTCCAGCCCGGAAAGGGATGTCGTTGGTGATCGGGTTCGAACTAGTACTATCATGCGTTAAAGCATAGCCATCTAATCTACTCAATTATCCCCCCCCCCTTATATACTTCTAAAACTTCAAATCGTCCTATTCGAGTAGCATTTGAAAACTATCCGAAATGTACGATTAAAAATATATTTTATCTACTATATATTTTCATATTTTATGCTTTCGACTTATTAAATTATATTTATACTTCTAAATTCAGCTTAGAAATTCTTTTTTATTCATATATCTATTGTTATACATATTTTTATATAATTAATTAATTTAAAATATTTATTTTGTTGTGTCGTAGTTTCCAAACTAAAAGAAAAATTAAAACTTTTAATTGAATACCGCGTAGGAATTGTTTTTCATATGCTCGTCATCCCACTATTTTTTTTTTCTTTTAAATTAAAAACATCTTGTCCAGAAACCAACTCAACTATTATCGATCAAGTGAATGGTGAAAAATGAATCTAGTCACTAGAAATATGCAAACGAAGTTTTTACAAAGCAATTTTCAAATACTTGCTTAGTTTTAACGTGGTTTGCAGTTCTCTCGTAAATGCCGGTACACTGGGATACAGCCGTAGCGATTCTTTAATAACCGCTTCAACATATCGCATGGCGTTCAAGTCTTCCATCGTTACATCTCTGTCGGAGTCACCAAAAATACCGCGAAGCTCCTCTCTGGCTCTGGCCTTGAATGAGCTTATTAATACGAATAGTAACACATTGAGTAATCGCGCATGTATACTTGAATGTCTTGATAGATCCCAAGTAACACTATAGTCATGGTCATTGCGAACGAAGTCGTGTCGTGTCCTTCGAAAAGAAATGTATCCACTTCTTCTTTAATGTCTTTGTCGGTCATTTGCTCCGGGTATTCTTTCAGAACGTTTAAAAGTAAATCCAAGAACGATTTCTTCTGCGTTTTTTCTAAATCATTTACATAACGTGTACGGATGCGGTTAAATCATGTTGAAGATTATAATATGTACAAATTAAAATATACTACCAACCATGTTTGCTTTCTGATCGATTTTCTGTGTTCTTTAACAAAATTCGCTTACTTTTAATCACCTAAAGAAATACAGACATGTACATGGGTTGATTATACACCACCAGCATTATCTTTGTATTTGTTTTTGAGCTTTTTTTTTATTTTTTCATGTTTTAGATCTTATATGTTGAACGAATAAAACTCAATTGTGTGACTCAAACTCAATTTTTACCCAATCCAATTATTGTTCTGGAGGAAAAAATATAATTAAAAGTGTAGAAATAGTTGTTTTGAGATGAAAATATTCATAGTTGAATTTGAACAGTCCAAGTTGAATTTTAATAAAAAACAAATTAAAAATAAGTTCAAGCTTCATGTAATAAAATTGTCCGTCAGTAGATTATGTAAAATTATGATCATTTGTAAATTAAATTAACTAAATTTGCATTTGAAGAAATATTCTGTATAATCTAACTTCTAATTAAGACCGGTTTTATTGTTTTATGTTCTATTTTATTATTAAATATTATGAGAATTGGATACGATGTTATTTATTTAACGTATGATGGAATTGAAATTATTCAGCGATAAAGTTTTATATTATAAATAAAAAAAAAAACTATAAGTCCTTTGAAGTTTGAAAATAACATTTAGGGAGTTACCAGTAAACCTACATTATCGGTATAATCGTGTAGAACTTTGATAGATTTATAGAACGTTTGACCACATTCGCTTATTTTGAAAATCGTATCATTCCATAGCCAAAACCTATAAACTCGGTTAATCACTGATCTGCAAGCACTTTAAAAACAATGCGCATTAGAATTAGTTGTGATTTATAAGCTGAAAAAGTGCATTTTTAATTTAATGTATATTTTATTTAATAAAAATTTTAAAATATAAATAAAAATTAATGTAATTAATATAATTAATAATATATATTATAATTAATAATATATATTAATATAATTAATATAATTATTTATAAATAATATAAATGAATAGCTAAATGACATAAATTCAAATTCAACAACTCTAAAAATATACTATTCAACAATACAGCTATTTTAAAATTTACCTTTTTATAGCATTAACGTATTCAACTGATTTACCTTCTTGAGCTTTCATTTCAGTACCCATGATTGTTTCTAAAACAAATATATAAAGACGATGTAGTTACTGTTAACCGGTGATTTGTAGAGGATATTATTTTAATATTTTTGCTTGTTTAAGTAATTATCGGCGCGATAGAACTGAAATACATTTCTATAACATCATAAACTGATTTTAGCGGGTTTTTTTTTTTTTTTTTAATGTTCGTTGAATTTTCGAATAGTAAAACTCATAGATTACCACACATCATGTCTAAGGAGCACAGTGTTATGTATTCCGCTATGCATATCTCTTCATTAAGTGCAGATGCTTCCAATAGTTTTTTCACTAAAGTCCGTGAATGATTATTAAGTGAAGGATTATACATACTTAACGTTTTGAAGTGAAACGTGTTTGTAAGGAGTTTTCGTCGGTTTTGCCATTTCGAACCTAGAATATACCAATGATAATATAAGTATATTAACGAACGGTTAGCAGTTTATTTATTTCATTTCAATACATTCACCTGTACTTAATAAAAGGCCATCGTTTAACCAAGGTCTTAACATGTCATACTCGGGACCTTTGTTGATATATTGTGCACTGGATAACAGAACCTATTTAATGGTAACCATACATTTTTATTTTAAGACAACTTATTTGATGTTTTATAAGTATATTTACATTTTTTTTACATCTTAATGTGTAATACACGTTTGTGAAACACTAAACTCGTGAAAGATCATAATTCAAAAAAGGATACATGCAAATTAATTAATATGAGTACAACGAAAAGTTAATTTTTTTCTTTTTTCCTTCTAAGAATGAAAAAAAGTGTACAATCATAGTTGTACGTATAAATTTACATACTTTTATATCGTCTGGGTCATTTAGTAAAACGTATGATCGTCCAGCAATATTCATATGAACTATCGGACCGTTGTTTTTGAATATTTCCATGTAAAGTGGTAAAAATTCTGAATAATTAAAATATTTCCATTTATATAAATATATACGAGTACATGAAAAAAAAATATAGTTTTTTGATAGTTAATGATTTCAACTTCACCCCAGGTTGATACAAAAATGCAACTAAATTCGTAAATCAAGTGTAATTATGGCATTTAATTTATTACATTCTGTTTCATATTATTATATTATTATATTGTATTTATAAAAATAGTTACAATGTCAAATAATAAATGAGTTAAAATATTTTCAAACTTATCAAAATACATAAATGGATTTGTATGTACTGATATATCAAATCATCAAATAATTTAATGTCAGGAAACATTAATCTAATTTTTAAATAAAAAATTAGCATTATGAATAAATTTGGTTATATTTGAATACCGAAATGCAACATTAAGTTCATAAAGATCAGCGGTCCCTACTAGGATTTTAGAAAGAGTCAAATAATAACTTTGAAAATTACTTGTGGGTCGCATACATTTTTAACGGTAATAATTAAAAAATATAAAAATGTATAAATTATACATTAATTAATAATAACTTAATAATTTATAATTATAATTTTATAAAAGATTCATAGTTCATGAAAATTATTGAATTTATTACAATAATATATTTGTAATAATATTAAATTCAATAAAAGTAAAAACACGATAAAATTAACAAAAACAATAAGATAAAATAAATAAAAGTTATCACACTTAACATTATATCGAAACCAAACAATAGGTATTTTATTTTGACTTTTATAATATAAATTTATTTGACTATATACTAATTTCGGACGAATTTGCTATGACAAATATTACATTACGAGTTAAATTATCAGTTACGGACAATGGTTTTGTTATAAGAATACTAATTGCGGCTATCAAATTAATAAAAACCATGGGAATTTTAAACACAAATATTTCTAGGACTTAAAAAGCTAAATAAAAAAGAAATTGGTCGGTGGAGTTAAAAATATTTGTCTTGAAAAATAAAAATTGTTATTTTTCAATTAAATTAATTTTTTTCTTTTAAATATAATACATTGTCATCATAGATTTTGTAGTAAGATTTTTTTTTTGAAACAGTCTAAAAAAATGCTACCTGTTTATTTCACTACATGAATAATGCAACATTTACTGTCTCTTTTTCGTCAGTTCTTTTTCTTTTTTTTTTTTGCTCATTTCAAATGCTTACCGTTGAACTTCATTGCGCATTATGCAATGAAAACGGAATTTAAAACCGTCAATCACGCGTAATTTTTTAAGTTTTTCACTGAAAATTTCACTAATATTTACTGAAAACGGGAAATATTTTAAGAGGCACGAGGAAATCGTTAAACTGATTTAAAATAGTTTTTGGCAGTCGTTTCAAATACACCGAGACTATCTTAATGTTGATAATTAATCAACCCGATAATGTCAAATCATTGATGTCAAAAATAATAATCATCAAGTAGTATGTTATAAATATGTTCGCTATAAGCATGTTACCTTTATTGATTGCGTTCGGAACTCCTATAGTTTTTATTACATTGTCAACACCTATTTAGTTTTAGTTTAGGCCATACAAAATATGTTAAAAGGTTGCGTAGTGGGTACCGCTTATATAGATTATAGAAAATTTACAATTAAATAAACTGTGTAATATTATTTATATTTGATTATGTTTTCGAACAATTAAAACCATAAACTAACCATGCAGTGATGCCGAAACTATAGCCCAAGAGAGGCGACTACCACCCCTTTTTATCGGGGGGTACTCAAAAAAACCATTTATGTATTAACTACTGCTTATGATTCCATGATGTCATGGTTGGAGAAACATTTTCCCCAATCCAATTTAATTTTAATTCAGAGCCACCATGTGGATGCCGATAATTTTTCGATGTATTTTGCACAACGTCAATAAACCGTGTGTAACTATTAAGACCACCGTGAGCGACGCTTTGTCAACGCATCGTTTTAGACGGAGAGATTAAGACTGTAGAGTTAAGATTATAAACGTTATGATTCTCCAGTTTTTACCTTTAGGGTGTTTCATCGCTATGTTCCACGAAAACTTTATTTCGCTCCAAAAGGTTTTAGTGACCGAAGGTACCTGCGAAGAAACTTGCCGATATTCCAGCGGTTTCTGGAGCCGTAAGTACACCAAATACAATATTAAACCTGTAAGTGGGTACAACACAAGATTGTAAACATTTAAATCGATCATTTTTCATATATTTTTTAACACGATAGAATTCAGTCAGTGATATAAATAATAGTTATACACGTGTATAGCAAGAGGACACATGAGACGCACCAAACGTTGTCTTTATTTGTCATACATAGACTACAGCATGTAAATTGTAGACTAGTTTGTTAGACTGGTGCTGAATATTAACATTAATTATTCAGACCGGGTCTCATTGTTGTCGTCAAGGTCAAATGTATCGTTTAAAACATATGAATCTTACCAACGCTGTATAAACTCAAACCGAACATTTTAAATTTTCATACCCAAAGTAATGTAACAATCAGTTTTTAGCCTCATTTCTACACATATGTTTTGTTGATAATATATTATATAATCAATATAATGCATTAGTATAATATATAATTTTTTAGTTCTTACATCGTTTACTATAATAGTTTAAAATCAGTGTTTTGTTAAGTGATTTGCTTATAAATGTCAGTGAAATTTAAACCAAGAAAAACATGTTATTATTACTGTTGTAATGAAATTTCGATTCTTTAAGTTTTAAACAAAAACTAGAAACTAGAGTTCGCTCTTTATCGGTGTTAATATTTTTTCTTAATACAATAATTATTTTATGTAATAAATAAAAAATAAAATATCATGAAAATAACTATTTGGTGTTTTAGACATATACTATATTATTATAACTACACTTAAAAATTAAAAAAATAAAAGACCACAAAAATAATATAATTTTACAACTGCAATTATTGATTCGATAATAATTCATATTGAATAATAATAATTATATGTACCTATATTAATTTTTTTAATATTATAAATTGACAACGGTCAGGTGATCTAATCATTATGTATTGTAATTCGTGTACACTGTATATCAGACTTCATTATGATTTTTAACGTAACCAAAATTATTCATAGTTAAGAAACCAAAATACTATTGTTAAACACTAGTTGTAATATACGTTCTATAGTAAATTTGGTCGGTGCCATGTTTTTATTCTTATATTTGAATGTAGTAGTTATAACTTTCAAACATTCACTTGCGTGTCATATACAACTAGATCAAAATAAGTGCATAGAAACATATTAATATGCATAATGTACGGAAATTGTTATACAAACATATAGTAGTCATTACAATAGCAATAATAGAGTAACAGGATTAAGTACCGGATTAAAAACATGGGGCAAGTGGTCAATGAGCAGTTCTCTGGCAGCTTAACTTAAAAATGTACGTTGTACCCTATCTATCTAGTTTCTACTGGTTGCAGAATCAGGGCCCAAATTACGACGACAAACACCATTATAGATCTGTCAAAAGCACAGAATAAAAATAGATGAATACAACGTTTATTTTTAAGAATTTATAATATCGTTGTCTAATTCTGATGTATATACACTATAATATATACGTGATTTTTTTAATTTTTTTTTTTTTTATTGAGTTGTGTATTTTATTGTGGTCCGAAAATGTTCATTTATAGATTTAAATAAACCCATGCGGTGTGTCGGTTGAAATCATAAATTAATACAAATTTAAAATTTTAATTGACGATTCGTCAACCTCTAAAGTAACTTTAACAAGTACGGTATTATAAATATAAAATCACGAAGCTAAACACATTATCGAAAATGCAATGTTTTTCGACTGTCGGAAATGTGGTAACGCCCAAAAAAAAAAAAAAACGTTTAGTATTAGAAAACTGTCTACATGATAGTATTTTTGTATCAAAATGGTCAATTGTTTTTATAGAATAAAGGAAGACAACATTTACGGACATGAGATCGAATTCTGAGTTTTTCTAGGTTACCACGATCGACCAAAAATATATTTTATACACATTCATGTTAAACTTATTTGATTTCTTCTATTTATAATATTAATAAGAAATATTAACTTTAATTATATAATTTTTCATATGTATTTTAGTGCATTTTTCATCAATCTATACAAACGCGAAAAAGAGTTTTGTAATATTTTTCGAAAAAGTTGTTTTGTTATGCACGTATATGTTATTCTAGAATTAATTCAATTTTTTATAAGACGGTGTAATTAAATTTAGTAATCAACGAAATGTTCTTTATTCTAAGTACAATAAAGATTTCATTATTATTCAGGCCCTGATTTAGTGAAATAGGGGCCCTGTGCACTATAAACTTTGGGGGCCTTTTTTAACAAAAAATGTAAAAAATAATAATAGGTACATATTTAACAATAAAAAGTTCAATTCATTTATTTAATTATAATAGACATTTTTTTCTTGTTTTTAATGCAAATTCAGCAATTATGTCTTCAAATGTTAACTGTTTAGTAACATCATGGTTGATTGCCAGTAATGATAAAGAGTCCAGTTTTTCTTGTGTTAAAGTAGAGCGCATTCGATTTTTTATACGTTTGAGTACAGAGAATGAACGTTCACTACTACAATTCGTGCACGGCATTGATAAATATATTTGTAATATAATGTCCAAGTTGGGAAAAGTATGGCGAATATTCATTCTTTGAATATATTTCAAACAATAATGAGGATCTTGAAAAAAATTATTACCGAGAAATGACTTTTTCAACTCTTGAAACTGAATAATTTCACATTCAAAATTATCAGAATCTAAATCATCTGAATATGTATCCAATATATTTTTAGAACATTTTTGTATTTCTGATCTGTCCATATCTTTAAAGAGAAAACCAAATTTTTTTTCTAATTCTTCATAAGCATTGTTTCTTTTTCTCAATTCAGCAATTAATTTGTCACATATTACATAATGAGTGTTGTAAATGAAATTTTCTTCGGCAGATAAACTTATAGCTGGATTATTCGGTTCATCTAAACACTTACTTCTAGTATGTTGTTTTTTTCTTTTTGATGTATAATCAGGCAATACATTTAAATTAATTGATTCCTTTTTATAGTTTTGAAAATTATTTCTTACGTCATTAATAAATGCAATTAATGAAGTATACAATGGAACAATAGAAGATAAATTTGTAGTAGATACTTGAATATCCATGCTAATTTTGTTAATTCTTTGAAGAATTTCATGCCAGATAATGGTCATGATACCAGTTTCCTTTTGTTTAAGCTTTGCGTAAAGTGTTTTGGCTTCATATTGCGTTGTTAAATTTTGATTATCATCACTATAAATGTTTGATAGTGCAGTCAATATTTCGTTATATCCCAACCGTAGAGCTTTAACTGCATTAGCGTCAGCTGACCAACGAGTGTTGGATGTTGATTTCAATGTTAATGGAGTTTTATTACATTTTAACTGCTCTTTTAATAAATCCCATCTGCGAGGAGATGAAGAAAAAAAAACATAAAGCGATTGTATCACTCCAAAATAATTTACAACTTCTAAACAAGACTCAACTGCTGAAATACCAACCAAGTTTAGGGAATGAGCAGCACAGGGAACATATTCTGCTTTAGGAGAGAGTTGTTTAATTCGTGCTTGCAGCCCTGAATATTTTCCCGACATGTTTGACGCGTTGTCATATGATTGCCCAATACAATTGTTGATGCTAATATTCAGTTCTTTTAAAAGAGAAACTATATGGGTTGTTAACGATTCTGCAGTATGGCTATATATATTTTGAAATTTAATAAATCGTTCTAATACTTCACCTTCTTCAGTAACATATCTTAAGATATATGACAGTTGGTCAACATGAGCTATATCAGGCGTAGAGTCAACTATAAGGCCAAAATATTTTACTTTTTTAATTTCTGTCACAATATGGTTTAAAACTTTAGATGCCATTTGATCAACTATTTGTCGTACAGTAAATGAAGATATGTAATTTACATTTCCTGAGCCTTTATTTCCAAACTGAGAAAGATGATTTTCAAGGAAAGGATCAAATTTACTTATCAGTTCTAAAATACCAAGAAAATTGCCATTATGATCAGAATTCAGTTTCTCATCATCACCGAAAAATGGCAATCCTCGAATTGAAATAAATTTGATAGCTTCAATAACTCTTTTTAAAACATTTCTCCAATATTCGACTTTATTGTGTTGTAATACTATTTCCTGATCAATTCGTTTCAAGGTGGATGCACGAATTGATAAAGTACATACAGAATTTCTATGTTCCATAGAGTTTTCGTGTTCAGCAAGACGTTTTGAAATATGCACCCAATCATCTAAACCAGATTGGCAGAGCTGTCTTTTATCATTAGAAATAGAATTAAAAAGTTTACAAACATAACAAAACAATTTTGCACACTCTTCTGAATATACTAGCCATTGTCTATTAATTTTTTGTTGGTTTTTAGTAGTATAATAAAAGTGAGAAGCATTAAGTGATCGCCAATTTCCATATAAAAACTTTTTTGAATTCTCAATTCTATCCATATTTTGCTTTGGAGGATTTAAAATAAAGTATTCTCTAAAACTGTCTTTTAAAATGTTCGGCCAGAGACTAATATTAGTCGAATATAAGCTATAGTCTTCATATTCTACATTAACATTATCAACTTCATCAACTATTAAAATATAAAATAAATAGTAAAATTATAACAAATTTTATTTATAAAATAAAAAACATTTAAAAAAAGAACATAAAAATGTACGTTTAAAACACTAATTGCAAAACAATAAACCATACATGCACTATTCAATAATAATAATACAAACCATACATGCACAATTCAATAACAATTATTATAATGCAAATTAAAGGGAACTTACAATTAATTGAGGCTGTTCTATTCTCATAACATATAATAATTTATACTGAATTTGTATTTTTCAATAAACATATAAGACATATATATATATTCTATATGTCAATAAATTATATACACAAAAAGAAATCTATTAGTATTTAGTACACAACAATAATAATACAACTTCAAATAAACAAATAACATGACAAACATTACACAATAACATACATTTAACCAAATATTATATTAGAATAATTGTGTTAGATTAATTATAAATTGTTAAAACACATTTTTATCATTCATAAGATACAATAACAAATAAAATAAAAACCATTAAAACAATTAAAGTAAAAATAATTAATCACAATACATGTATCTAATAAGATATGACAAGGAACATAAATTTATTAGGTAATTTAATGGTAATTGGTTATGACTAAAGTATAGTATGTATGAGTTTTAGTTAACTTACAACTTGCTAATTTATTTTTATTTTCATTATTTGAATTATTAACAATGCCATCTCCAATCTCGACAGTCTCGACAGTCTCATCAGGTTCACTAATATTTTCAACATTGACATCTATGATACCTATACCCAAAATTAAATAAATTTACTAACATGTAATAGGTAGTTAACATAATAATATAATAGACATATAAAGTAGTACACTCACAGGTATTTTTATTTTTATTTGCATCATCTGTTAGTGCTTCAGCTTCAGGATCATTGATACTGATCGATACATCAAGATCTGCATAAATTATTATTTTTTGTTTATCTGTACACATAAATAGTTTGTTTATGAATCATGAAATATCATTATGATTACCTTCTGGTCCTTCTGTTTTATTTTTGGGCACCACAGTTTCAGAGGAAGAGCAGTTAACAAATTTTGATAGTGAACCGCTTAACTTTTTGTTTTCTTCTTCACGTTTGTTTTTCAACTTTCTTTTTTCATATCCAGAAGCATATTTTCTTTTGGATGACATTATAAATAATAAATAACCACAATAAATCACAGACTTAAAAGTCTTAGTTTTTGGTAAGTGGTTTTTATTGTTTATAAACATTATTACCATTGATAATATCATTGAGTATTATTAGTATTATCACTGACCGATAACTCATCGACTGATATAACTATCGATGGCTTATTAGTGATTAGTGTAAGCCGTATGAAAACTACGCATGCTGCAGCCTCCTTAAATAGGTTATAGTTACTACTTACTAAATCTTATTAAAAATATCTTTTATTTATGGTAGCAAAGTATAGAATTGGAAGGCCAAAGGGGCCCTTCAAATTTGGGGGCCCTGTGCTAGTGCACCGCCTGCACATGCATAAATCAGGGCCTGTTATTATTATAAAGTAAATGTTAAATATAATATATGATAGAATATTCATATAAAAAAAAAAAATAATAATAATAATGATACATTTATAGTGCTAAGTATCGATTTCATTAAACGATAATGGAGAGGTTACGTGTCTTTGTATCACATGTATCACAATGAAAATACAATATTCCTCTGTGTAATTTGCCGTTAAACAATCGTAAAGTTCGTTTATTTTACTGTTATTTGTTTTTCAGCTACGTACATGCAATTTTGTTCATGCAGAAACTTACATACCCGTATATTTTTGTTGATGCAGGAACTTACATATGTAAAGGTTAACCTGCTATGCTTTGTGTAGTTAGGTAACATCTATTCAATAGAGACGCCTAATTAAAATTGTATACTACTGTTGTTGTAGATGGGCGTCACTCTTACGCTGGGCAAGTGATCGGCTCTCATTATCAATTGGGTACTGATGACGATGTCCTCCTGCGTTCCCAACGTCTCAAGACTGATGTACCTTAAAATGGTGGACAGTACGGTTTTCATCTGGTACATAGCGAATTTTTGGCCTGTTTCGAAAGGATGGAAAAAAAAATTAAAAATTAAAACCGCCAGACAGTTGTACGACCAACGTTTGTGACCATAGGGTCGCGGTTCGTACCTATGCAATTCCTGGGCCCGGCGCTGAACGGTATGTACGCGTAAGGATGACGTTCCGCACACCGTTCGGGCAAAAATCTGTCGGGGTCGAACTCTTCCGCGTTGGGATATAGACTCTCTTCATGGTGAAAAAATGAGGAACGATCACTATGTTTGATTTTGCCGGTATCGTGTACTTCTCTAAACATTCGATGCCGTATTATTAGAAAATAAAAATAAAATAAAATCCATAAAGAAACCACCACTGATTTTGTATTCTTCATACACAGTGGATTCTACTTAAAGTGGTAAAGTAATTAACGCTGATAGCCGTACAAACCAATCTTGGTTCAAAAACAACAACATTTTTGATGGCTATAACTCGTTTGCGCAAAAATATACTGCTCGATTGCGCATATATATTTTGGCTATCTGCGATAAAATCCCTAGTCTCGGAACTCGTTGGCTTATTATACTCCTTATGATTATGAGAGTTGGTCACTTTTATTATTTTGTTTGATTCAATAACAATAACACTCGCAGCACATTATTTATTAGTGCATCTAAAATTTGAGCATCCACTTATTAAAACAGGATAATCACTAAATTTAAAATTATCAAAATTAAATCATTGTTTTCCTCGCCGAGATTCAAAAATATTAGAAATTTCTACGTCCCTATGAAAGTTAACGGCGTCAACACACTAGTTACCACTGTACTGTTCATAACCATCCAAATCTACTGAAACTATACTAAAAGTTCTACTCAACAAATCTTTAATAACACTCATTTACAATAAATTATGATAAAACACTATGGTTTAACAGTACGATAAAATAAAAAAATTACCTATATTAACCGGTGCCTACATTGGGTGAAATCTACAATATAAGGTGAAGGTAAGCAACGAAACTTAATCGTAATGCGAATTAAAAGATAAACTCTGACTGTTATACTTACTGAGGTAGAGCGGGTCGTTGAGCGTCCTCGTGACGCCCGACACACTAGGGTAGAGTCGCATTGTCTCTTTTATCACTCTTTCCAAATATGGCATTGCTTTGAGGTCTTCCATCGTTGCATCCCGGGTGCTATCACTGAATATTTTATAAATCTCGAATCTGGCCAAATTCTGTTTAATAACGCAAATTAAATAAAAAACATAATAGTATCGAAAATAATTTAGAGGTGGAGGGGGAAGAAATTGTCTCTCAAAAGTGTCTTGGGTATGCTAAGATTTTTTTAATTCAATCGATTCATGTACAAAAATATTACGGATTTTGAATGGTTGAGAATTTTTTATTCGAATATCATTATTCTATGTTTTTAGGTAAAAAAAAATCGAATACAAAAGCAAACTATACCAATTGGCTGTAAGAGTTTAAATATTAAAATTACATTAGGGAGGGTTAGGCGATTTTATTCATAACATGATGGTTTTAAGACAAATAACTGATTCAAAGACTAACTTGCATCCTTTGATCGAGTCCTAAATGAATGATAGCCATTGTAATAGCGATTGAAGATGTGTCGTGTCCTTCGAAGAGGAACGTATCAACTTCTTCGCGTATATCTCTGTCCGTCATTGTGTCGGGGTTTTCTTTAGATATTCCAATCAGTAGATCCAAAAATGAGTACACTCGTTTTTTTCCCTAGAACAATCAAGTGTTCATACACATTTAGGTTTTAAACATCACACGTTTATTGTAGTCAAATGTAAGATTCTACCCGAGACTTTACCATTTTCATCAACAATCTTTTGCTCAGAGTTTTCTAGTACCGCCCGTCTCTCCTTGATGATCTGTAAAACGCAACGATCATTATACATGAGTGGATATTTTAGTTAGTAATAATAAAACGAATGGTTACTTTATCAGTGAAATCGTGTAATAATTTTAACTCTTTACGGAATTTTTTGCCGGGTGTGCTGTTATAGAAGACAAAATCAATCCAGTAATAAAATGTAAATATACGCTTAATCAATATATTAGTGACACTGAAACATAAAATCAAGACGAGACAACGACTAAAACGATAAATTCAGTAAAAATAATTGGCAAACAATATCACAGAAATTTAAACGTTCTCTTACGTTTTGATTGCATTGACATAATCGATCGATTTACCCTCTTGGCTTCGCAAATGCACACCCATAATCGTTTCTAAATAATAAAAGGGATTAGTACTAGTATATAGTATTATATCATTTATTTTAAATTATAACCACGGATATATTAATAACGATTAAGAAATTACCATTCAATCACTTTTTGTAATAAAAAAAAATAAAATTTTTATTTAATAATTATTTCGACATTTGTATGCATATTTTCATTAGCATTTTGGAGGCTTAAAAATCGTTAGCGGTAGTTTTTTACATACACTGAAAATAAGTTCTGTGCATGCCCATGACACACACGCACGCACACACACCCTTACGTATTTACACATAAATTATTCGTTTATATATTTTGCATATCGTGATTAAAGGTAACACTGAATCTTTCATTTCCAAAGGCAAAAATGGTAGTAGATAATCTAAGCTTTGAACCTGACGATAACACATACGTACCACATACTATGTCCAACGCGCAAAGGGTAACGTGCTCATCGATTTCCGCTAAGGGTTCACCGTTCTCGGATGCTCTGATGAGATTTTTGACTAATGAACGGGAGTGGTCGTTGAGCGACGGCATGTAGTTTTCCAATACTTTAAAGTGGAAAGTGTTTGTCAGCAGCTTTCTCCGGGATTGCCATTTTTGACCTGTTAAAAACGATTTTGGACAACCTCTGTATCTCTATTTTATTTGTATTTATATACAGGTAATCCCTTTGGAAATTCACATGCTAATACAATGTTAAGATATACGGTAAACAAAGTGTACGACAGAAATAGATAGTAATTCTAACGACAATTATATACAATAGTATTAAATAGCGAAATGTTATTATTATTATCATTAGTATGTGTAAAATCGTTAACTACCCGAGCTCGTCAGCAGCCCTTTGTTCAACCACGGTTCGAAATTGCGGTATTCGGGGCCTTTCGTAATATGTTGCGCACTGGACAACACTGCCTGCAACCCATAACCGTATTAAAGCATGATGTACATACGACCGACGGAAACAAAATTTTTTTTTTAACCACCACCAAATAACTTGGTCAACATAATACGTCGTCTGTTCGCGTAAATACGAATAAGATATTATTGTATGAGTGATGCACTGTACCTTCACATCGTCTGGATCGTTTAATATAACATAATTGCGGTTAAAAATTCTTAAATGGACTAATGGTCCAATTGTGTTCACAACTTGCCAAAAATAAGGTAAAATTTCTGAAAAACAGATTACACTTAAAATAATACAGTATTAAATTCGTTTTTATTTTTGATAAACAAATTGGTTTCGTCAGATCGTACAACACGAATAATATGTCGTTCCGTTCATATATTATATTTAATTTTGTGACACCGATTTGAGAACATTAATGTATTACATCACTTGTCCAGGAGGAGGATGGATTTGAGAAAACTGACTATATTAGTGGAAGGAGGCTGAATATCTAATCTGACGTAACTATCATATCTATCAAATTTCGAAAACAGCAAAAGTCGAAATCTTCGGAGACGTGACTTATTATTCTTATTATTCTAATTATTATATTTATTTTGATATCTGAAAAAATTAATTTTATTAATAAGAATAAAGTAATTTAGAAGGTCTATGAAAAACATTGACGTAATATAGAAGGGATCGGGTTGAATTTAAAAAGATAAAAATCTGTTAACGTAATACTTGAATGTTTTATTATAAATAACTGAATAATAATAATACGGTCTAGGACAAGTGGACGCCGACAACTGAGCACCGCCAACTGCACATAGCCAACTTGGCTCGGGAAACTCGGCGCGGGGACAAGTAGACGCGATTATTGTGTTATGTGTAATGTGTTATGTGAATTATTTATTTTGCATGACAACTTTTACAACTATTTGTGCTAGCATACTGGCAAGTTACAATAATATGTTATCCCGTGACAACTGACCGGTTACGTCGTATTATAGGTTTTATTAAGATAAGATAAAATATTACCGAAGAGTATAAGATTAGTAAGAGTATAATCAAATACCGCGGACCCAACACGTGTTTATTTTAAGTGTTCAAATAAATTGGGTCCCAACTCGCGTTTTCTCTGTATTATGTGCGAGTAGGTCAGCCGGTGACAGATATGACCACTGCTCATATCTTGCTGTACGGTGAGGTGTGCATGCGGGGGCAATTCAATAAAATACGATTATATCTAATATATATTAGGTAATAGTATAATATAATATATCTCTATAGCTAATGACGCGGTACGAACAATTACGATAACGAAACAATAAAAATAATATGGGGATGATGATTGTGACTATAGGTAGATCACATTTTGTTTTCGAAGTAGTATTTTTCAGCCTAAACAACGTTCAACATGGAAAACATCATGTCACAGCGAAATCGTGAAAAGTTTTATGAAAATGGATTTTTTTACATATTTGACAAACTGTATGCAGACAACAAAACTGAGTTTTGACGATGCGAACAAAAACGGTAAGCGCGCGTGCATATAGTTAATCACGAAGTCGTAAAATACATGAATATGCATAACCATGAACCATCTGTAGCTAAAGTGGCAGCAGACAAAATCGTTACAAAAATTAAAAAAAGGGCTCTAGAAACACAAAAATCAACGTGCCAAGTAATCAACGAATGTGCCCAAAATACTGATGTCGCTTGTCAAGGAGCTCTTCCCAACCAACAAGCTTTAAAGAAGTTAATCAGAAGGAAACGCAATGAAATTAATCAAGCTCCGTCAAATCCTACAACTCTGGCTGATCTTGAAATTCCAGAATGTTATAAAATGTATGAGTCAGAACCTGAAAACTTTGAAAACTTTCTGCTTGCTGATAGTGGCCCGGGTGCTGAATGAATCCTAATTTTTGGCCGTCAACGGAACCTAGAAATAGCAAGAACCTATGATGATTTTTTTTATGGATGGGACATTTAAAATTGCACCAAATTTATTTAAACAAATTTATGTCATTCTAGCAAAAAAATTTGGTGACGTTCACCTTATTTCTACGCACTTTTTCTTAATAAATGTAGAGAAACTTACGACAAACTATTTTGCATGATAAAAGTGTTATTGCCACCAAACTTCGATGAAAAATCTATCACTTGTGACTATGAAATGGCTGCTTTCAAAAGTGTTTCAGAAATATTTTCTACTGCAGAAATTCGAGGCTGTTTTTTTTCATTTGGTAAAAAATATGAAAAAAAAATTATTGGATGAATTAGGCCTAATAAATCGATATAACAATGAACCCAACTTTTCGTTGTATGCAAAAATGGTTATAGCTTTGGGGTTTATTCCAATTGAAGATATAAATAATGCTTTATTATCATTATCTGATAACCTACCAAATTATTTGCAACCAATTTTAGACTGGTTTGAGGACAACTACGTCGGAAGAATGAACAGGAGAGGTAATGGACGAAGACAGCCTTTGTTTCCTCACGAAATGTGCAATGTCTATAACAGAACGTTAAAACAACAGGACAGAACTAATAACCATGCTGAAGCAGCTCATGGCCGCCTTCAGACGGAATTAGGTATGGATCATCTTACAATCTGGAAGCTTATAGATGGCTTACGAAAAGTGCAAACCAATCGTGACTTTTACTATGAGCACCTTGTTGCTGAATGCAACCCCCCCAGTGAAATTGAAAAAGTACAGGGATGCCGATCAACGTATTTTAACAGTTGTTCGCGATTATAATAACAGAAGCACTATCGAATATTTAAGAGGCATTGCGTATAATTACCAAATGAATTTATAAAACACCTGTAGAAAATAAATATAAGAGAGTATTAATTATTTAGCGCCCAGCTGTCCTGGCGTCCACTTGACTCGCGTCCACTTGATTCCGCGCCCAGTCGGCGGCGCCCAATTGTCCCATTCCGATAATAATAATAACTAAAAATGCATTATAGTTAGTAGTAAGATAACATCAAAGCAACTTGTCGTAAACATGTGCTGAAGTTTTTAATTAATAATGTGTATGCCCGTGTTTAATAAACGATTGTGCTTTAAAATTTAAGAAATTTTTCAAAATAAAAACCAGATTTAAGACTCCATTTTAGTGGAATTTTTTGAAAACGGTTTTAGTGTAGCCTAAATAGTCCGAGATTATTGAAATGGGTTTATTATACGTTCGTTGATGTCTTATTTAGTTTGAACAAAAAAACATAATGAACTCCTAGCCTTTATTGAAATTTAACGTGTTTCATAAAAAAAAATTTGGACTCCTTGTATTTAAATGAAAATATTATATTTGTTTAATGTTAATTGATTTACGAATAATTAAAATAAGTTAATCAGCATAATTATTAGTTTATCGATAGATTACTATGTGTTTCAATTTCTTACAACTTATTTGCACGTCTTAAACTATTATACTGTAAATATTTTACTACTTGAGTTGTCACCAATAAAAAAAAAAAAAAAATGAAAAACACTCACCATTTGGTTTTAAACAAGCGACTTTTAACGGTACACTCAATAAGGTCCAATAAGAGTTCGTGATCGAGGGAAGTCACGTCAATACAAAGAACCAAAAATTATTTGAAACCCACGTAAGGGCTTGCATTATAATAAAGATAATCATTTTAACAACAACGGATTGAACTGTAATGAATTAAAAAAAATTAAATAAATAAAAAAAAAATTGATATCACTAGACGGACTCCTTAGTGTACTTTATATAAACGTTTAGTGCTTGTGATTTTAGTACTGAAAAATGCGAAAACTGAAAATTATTATCCTCGTATACGCCGGCGATTTTAGAACTGTTTTATAAGACGTTGATCAAGTTTAACCGCTTGGATCATTGCCGGAAGTAAAAATGTATTGATATTATTATCAGTTGTATTGTGTGTACTAGAGAAAAATTAAAGAACTCACACGTGTACCCATGTTAACGGGTTTTGTGATATTGACGTATTTGCGATGCGGCTTATACACGTCATTACGAATCGGATCCGAGGTGGGAAAACAATGTACACTGTACGGTAAAAGCTGCAATAGTCAGAAATCAACACTATGATCTAACAGGCGTATTTCGACTCATCTGGCTATTGATTCCGTCGGCTACTGTTTGCAGTATCCACATGTCGATTCCGCAGATACTCTTCATCTCCCCCTTTGCATAAGTAATTTAAAATTGATATGTGAATGTATTGTAAAATATACAGACTAACTTATATAATTCAAAATTAAAGTGTATAACTTTTTTTTGTTAACAGCAGTATTTTTGATATTTCGCTAAACTAATGTTTTGGTTTTGGTTCTAATACCAAAAGTTTTCTAAATACCAGATTTACAAAAGCTTATCCTTACAATTTTATCTTTACCCGTGTTTTAAGTATAAAAATACAAACTGACGGTTATAAATATCGAAAAAATAGCAAAAATAGTGCTTTTAACAAAAAAAATAATATATACAAAATTCATCCAATGATTTAAAGTTTAAATTAAATTTTTTTTTTAATTTTAAATGATAATAAAATTTCTATTAACTCATTTAAAAGATGTCTCCATATATTACCGAAAGTAGTTTAGGTAAATTAACTACCTAATTATTATCTTTTTATACAATTTATATTATAGATATATTTACAATTTATTCACATACACATACTATACAATTTAATATTGAATTTAACAGTTACTAAAATTTTATAAAATGTAGATATGTGATAAAATATAACAAAGGGGGAGGAAACAGCATCCGGCGGAATTGATACGTGAATATTATAAACAGTAATCATAGGAATCAATAATCGAGGGAATCGATATATGCAGTTTTCCTAAATCGGTAGTTTCGGCGGAATCCATAAAATTTCTGTACAGGCGATTTAATTGGAATTCCAACTCGCTGATATCGAAATAGATTGCACTAAATATAAAACATAACGATTCCTTAGACAATAACGGTTGTATTTTTATTGAAAATAACATTTGATCATAATTAGATACCGGATTTATATGCACTTAAAACTTTAGAAATAAGATGTTTCTATGCTCTATAGTTTCATCAAAATATTATTTTATATGCAGAAATATTCTTTTATGAAAAAATATTCTTTTTCATAAAAATGTTTTAAATACTGAAAAAACAAATAATATAGTAGTAGTTTATAAAATGTAGGAGATTTTCGACATTTTAATTTACCAAGACATACACTAAAACTTGATACTTAACACACTAATAGTTGGTAGTAGTATTAATAGTAGACTTAAGACTTAACAATAATTAAAATGATTAATGAATTTGTAAAGATTATTTGTTATCTGTATTCTGTAATCCGTGATATCAGTATATTACAGATAGAGACGTTAGCGTAGTCTACGCACATGCGCAGAAACATAGGACAATAAAGTGTGTGGAACACGATAAGTGCTACCCGCGTAGAACGCGAGAACTATTACCATGGTTCGTCTATAAAAATAAGATAAGAGAATATATAGAGAATAATAATTATTAATTTAATGTCTTATCAATGTTAAGTTTTTATCGATATTCATTTCGTCAAGATAAATAATATATTATAATAAAAAAAATTTGGGATTTTTCTATAAACCATTAAATTTTTTATAAAATATTCAAATTAAACCCCAATATACCAATATATTCCTAAAACATGTTTTTTACACAAAATATTCTTTTTTATGTTCTAAAAACTTTTGTATATCAGTTCATAGGCAAGTGAATCGTCCAGAAAACTTATCCAAACGGAGCTGCATACTCTCAGTAAAAATATGTAAAAATCCGGTCAATAATCATAATCAATTTAAAATGGTTGGAAGAATACGTTATACCACGTGTGTTATGATATTATTTGAATCTTTGTTTTACCTATGTCCTCGTCGCTATTGTTAAATATACTATCTATTTTTTCCATATCATAATATTTAAAGTATTAAATGGGTAATTTAATTAAAATAAAATCGTAATTCGCTCAATTAGGCGAATTCAAAGATACTCGATTACTATCAAGGTTGAAAACGAAATTAAAACATTATTTCATGAATGATACGAATTATTTTTAGTGCTTATTTCAACGATTTTTTTTTTTTTTTATGATAACATTTATATAACTCGAAAATATAAATCAAATAAATTATTAACATAAACTGCAAAATTTCGATAGAATTAAAATGCAATACGTTAATTCAATTAAAAAACGATTTTTAAATCTGATATGGTTTGAATTAAGTCGAAAGACCAATAAAACTCTAGAATTTTTATTAAGCATGGGAATTAAGAATATGGTCAATCATACAAATGTGACGGACAGCGATATATTATAGATAAGACTGCGGTAGTTGCCGAAAGATAGTTGATTGGTTAGTTCTTGGTCATGGTTAACGGCAAGAGAGAATAATTTATATTTTAATACCTTTTTTTATTGAAGAAGTTGTGTCTCTTTATGTCTGTACGTTGTGTTTGAAAGATTTATTATAATAAAAGTACACATATACGACAGATGGTTTAGGTTAATACATTTACATACATTAATCAAGGTCGTTTATGATACTAAAATTATAGCTCAAAGAGTGTACAGCTTTATGGATAGGTAATTGCATAAACGCGTTGTTAAAACAAAGTTTTTGTCACGGCAGGCGAAAAATTAAAATATCATAAATATAGAATTTGATTACGTAAACCAAGGGTTCTCAAACTGTGCTTCGCGGAGAACTAGGGCTCCGTGAGAGAAGTCTAGGGCCTCCATAGACATATCTGATTTAATTAATTATAAATATTAATACATTTCTTAGTTATCGAGGAAAAACACTTGTATGATTACTTGAACTGCGCAATGAGTTGTATGTTTTAATGACACCCATTTAATTTACAACTCAGACTTCTGATAAAATATATTTATTCTGACTTCATTACTTGGCTGGTTAAATGAAATAAATTTATCAAGACGATATAAAATTACCACAGTTTTTACAACGAATTACAAAATCCGAAATTCTTAAAAAAAAAAAAAAATAGAAATACAATTTTGGACTATGTGTTTTTCTCATTATGAATCTTTGATTTTTGGGGCTCTGTAAATTTTTTTGAGAACATAGGAGCTCCGTAAACATAAAAATGTGAGAACCACTGATGTAAACGTACTAAGATATTTTTTGTTATCATATTGTTCTATAAAAATAAACAACATTTTACTAGAAGGTAAATACCAGTGCCGAAGCAAGGTTTTGTGGGGCCCTCATTCGTATCTTATACATTACATTACCATTCTAAACTAATTATAGGTTTAATTCAAAATATAATTTTGTCCATCGATTTTTAAACAAACAATTACTGTACAATTGTTAGGTATTATATTATTTGCATACAAAATAAACTGATCATCTTAATCAGTGCCGGCGAAAGGCATGTGCGACCTGTGCGACCGCACAGGGCGGCAAATTTTTTGGAATTTTAGGGGCGGCATTTTTTATAAATAAAAATATATATTTTTCACTATTACTCATTAAGTACCTACTCATAAATTGGTAGTTATTTTTCAAATTATTTATCTAAAATTAATATAAAGCATATTATAGTATTTTGACTGGTATAGTGTCATATTATCGGCTTACCTTTATAGTATTAAATAAGTAACTATTAATAAACAATATAATACGAACTAGCCGCTAGCATTATTGTTCATTTGTTCATCGTGATTTGCGATTATCTTTAAGGTTTCCAGTAAACCCAATTAAATTATGATGAAATTCCCCAAAAACGTATGTACGATAATTATTAGCAATAAAAACTAGTTTACCCGAGAAGAGTGACAACTATATATAGTTTATTGACTATGAATATCTTATTGCAGTACATTTGTACCTACGTGCAATTTAAAAATTATTTGTCAACGAGTTGTTAATGACATCGAGCGTACTGTGCATATTGTTTAGTCACATTATTATTATAATAATTATGACATTAGTGCAGTTATAAACATTTTAGAAAATTTGTTATCATATTTGAAATAGCAGCGATTCGATAATGAAGATTCGTTTGATCAAATTGTGCTTGAAGCTACAAAATTGGCATCAGAAATTGATGTAGAACCTTTATTTGAGTTCTCAGTTGGGAGAGTTAGAGCTCGCCATGTAAGAAGACATTTTGATTACGAAAATGTAGATGAACCTATCATCGATCCTATAACTCATTTCAAAGCTAACTACTTTTACTATATTTTAGATGTCGCTATAAATAGTAGTAATTTACAACTATTGTTGACTGATGGAGTTTCAGTCGATATTAATGGACTTGAAATGGCTGATGAACTTAAATCTCTAATACCAATGATTGAATCAAACTTAACACCTGTTGAAATTTTAAAATTTGTCATCAATACTGGAGACTTTGCACCAAATGTGTTAGTTGCTCTAAGAATACTTCTTACGTTACCCGTCACAGTGGCAAGTGGTGAATAAAGCTTTTCTAAGCTTAAATTAATACAAACTTACTCACGCACAACAATGACTAATGATCGCCCTAGTGGACTTGCAATGATTGCAATTGAGCACCAGCTAGGTGAAGAAGTAGATACAGAGAACATTGTGAACGATTTTGCCAACGCCAAGGCAAGAAAAAGGTTATAAATTTGATGTAAGATTCAAATATTTTGTAACTCTTTATACTATAATTTTGTTTCATTAGGTACATTATATGTTCATCACATTTTATTCATGTATTAAAACATTATTCATATAAATTATACGCATTATTTTATTCGATTTTGAGAGACTATCTACCCAACACCCTACCGTCCCCCCATAATTAAGGATAATGAACTTTTTTTCACAAAAAAAAAATTATAAAAGGGTGGCTTATTATAATTGGCATAGGACAGCGAAAAACCTAACGCCGGCACTGATCTTAATCATTATTATAAAAACTCAAAATACAAATATTATTAATAATTACTTATAATAAATAAATTTATAATAACTAATAGGTAAGTAATAACTTTAATTTATAAAAAAAGTTTAAAAAAAAAAAAATGTGTACCGAACAATTTATAATATTTTAAATACAGAATACATTGTTAAAATAAAATATTATCAATTATGAATTATAATTCTTTCACTTTTTTTAGCTTTTTTGGATGCAAAGTCACTTATAATATTTTCATAATTTAGTTGTTCTAAAAGTTATTTTTCTATACAAATTGTAGCGAGTCCAGTAAGTCTTTCTTGTGACATGGTACTTCGTAAATATGTTTTAATAAGTTTTAATTTAGAGAATTAGTTCTTTCTGCTCCAGCTGACGTAAAAAAAATTGTTAACATAATTCGAAATGCAATATTCAAGTTGGGAAATGTGTTCATTTTTTTTTATTTCAGATAGTACTTGAAGTGGTGTAGAATTTTTATCAATTAAATGGCAGAAAATTAATATTTCTTCATGTAAATCATAACCATTTATATATTTTTTTGTCATTCTCTGACAAACGCATTTCCAATTCTTTGCAGAAATTTAAAATTTCTAAATCAGGGACATGACAAGGTTTCTCAACATCATACAAAAATCCAAAAACTTCATTAAATGTATTTATTTGATCGAATCAAATTTATTTATATATTTTGTAGAAAGTAGCCAAGTATTAGTATTAATAATATATATATATATATATATATATATATATATATATATATTAGTGGCTACATCAAATGCAAATATGCGATAAACCAATAAAGAAGATAAAAACGTTGAGAATTTTAGTTTTAACAAACATCATATTTTCAACGTATCTAACGAAGATAATCTGGTAGAAATTAAGTAAAATTTTTTGTGATACTTGAGTATTTTGGGTAATATGTTGTGAGTATGTCTTGATTAATTTTTTTTTTTTTGGTTTCATTCAGTAGGGAGCACTATAATGTGGCCCCAAAATCGTGGAGCCCGGGGCACGTGCCCCATTCGTCCCGACACTTGCTCCGGCACTGGTAAATACTGTTGAAAAACATCCGATTTTGAAATTAAATTGAATTACATTTTCTGCTATCAATTTGCTCATAACTGGGTAAATTGTGACACAGAAATGCGCTCACAGAGGTTACACAGTTTTTTTTGCGCTGCGCTGTCCTACGCTATGCTGCGTCACCTGCGTCCTAGTGTGCGCTTGGCCTGAATCTGTGTACTTGTTTCGGTTAAGTAGTTTACCAATGTATATTTTAGTAATAAAGGTTTTATGAAGTTGATATTTATAGTACATAGTCTTCTTCATTAAATTAATTATTCTTAATTATTTCATGTATAATTTTTTTAATTTGAAAAACGTGCAAAATTCCCAAAATTCATTGAAGCGTTAGACGGTTCTAATTATTATAACTACAAAAAAATGTTTTTTCTTAATTAAACGGCCTTATGTGACAAGAACTATTGCTTCTTATGGATTGAATTTAGTGGTTTTTATAATGATAGTGACTCGGGAATTTATAAAGATAAAATAAAAGGTTTCACAACCGATTAAGTGTTCACTTCGTCTATCTAAATTTCGTGTAAACTGTATAGCAGACTTTATTTTGGTTTTGGATATAACCAAAATTATTTATAGTTAAAATACCAAGATACTATTGTTAAACACTCTAATTATAATAAATGTTCTATAGTAAATTTGGTCGGTTCCATGTTTTTCTTCTTATATTTGAATGTAGTTGTTATAACTTAAAAACTTTAATCGCGTGTCATATACAACTAGATCATAATAAGTACATAGGACATATTAATATACAAATGTACTGTCCGTACATTTGTTATACAATCATACAGTAGTCATTAATCAGCAGCAATAATAGAGTACATCATATACACGTTTATAAATTGGTTCTTGTCATCTTAAGTATCGAATCACAATCATGGGGTAAGCGGTCAATGTGTAGCACCCGAGCAGCAAAACTTAGCACAAATTATCGCAAATGTAATGTCTTTCAACTGTCGAAAACGTGGTAGTGCCCAAAAGAAACCACTTGATATTAGAATAACTCTCAACCTGTTTCCATTTTTGTATTAAAATCATCAATTATTTTTATAGAATAAAAAAGGCCAACTTTTATAGACTTGAGGTGGAATACTTCGAGTTTTTTTTGGTTAACACGATTAACCAAAAATAAATTTTATATACATTCATGTTACACTTCTTTTATTTCTTCTATTTATAATATTAATAAGTTTTAGTAACTTTAAATATACAATTTTACATAATATCTATTTTAGTGTATTTTTCATCACTTTATACAAATGCGAAAGATAGCTTTGTCATATTTTTCGAAAAGGTTGTTTTTTTTACATGTAGGTGTTGTTTTTGAATTAATTCCAATTTTTACATGACGGTGAAATTAAATTCAGTGAACATCGAAATTTTAATTATTCTAAGTACAATAGAACTTTCATTATGACTATAAAATAACTGTTAAATATATTATATGTGAAAAGATTCGTATAAAAAAGATAAAAATTAAAAATAAAAAAAATAATACATTGTTAGTGTTATGTATTGGTTTCTTAAACGACAATAGAGAGGATCACGTGCTTTTCTATCACATGAATATGGCGCATGGACTTTAAACACATGGATACCAGGTACATGGACTCTAAATACACGTCTACACGTGTATTTTAACAACAGGAACTTTAACACCGTTTCCAAAGAACACGGAAGTTTGTATTCTTGGACAAACGTGAAATACATGGGCGAATATAAGTTCCCACGCGAGATATAGTAAATAAAAATCACCCTTGAGTTTGTCTACGTAATTTCCTACGCGGAAAAAAATATACCGGTTCATTAGTTCCAATACGAATAAAAATTATTACGAATACAAATTTCCTTTCCACTTTATAGAACTTTTGGACTGACAACGTAGTTGGTGTAAATACAATTTGTTTGCTTTGTGCTTTGCATAAAAATCTAATCCAATTTTTAACTGAATCTTGTCCATGTATAATAATGTATAATCATTCACATATTATTCGTTAATAATATAATTAAAATGTATATAATTAAATATATAAAAAAAAATAATAAAAATATAAATTACATTTTATGTGACAAATTACAAAAGCTCAAATATTTTAAGCTGTACTCTAATATTTTGTTGTATATATAATTTTGTTTATTCTGCTTTTTTTTTAGGTCTATTGGTATCTGATGTACGTATACTAAAACGAGTATAAGTATATGTTTGAAAATATTTTAAAACTTCTATTATTTTGAATATTTTAGGATGATTATAAACATTTTAAGTAAAATTTGGAGTAAAAACTTTTACAAACATTTGTAGTAAAAATTCTTCAAGCACTAACCAAAATACAGGAGAAGAAAGTACAATATTCCTCTATGTAATTTGTTACTAAACAATTGCAAAGTTCGTTTATTTACTATTATTGGGGTTTCAGCCACGATGAAACATGAAAACAGGTGCAGAAACTTACGTACCGGTATATATTTTTTCGTGTAGGAATTTACTTTTACCTACTATGCTTCGTGTAGTTAAGTTACACCTCTCTAATAAAGACGCCTAATTAAAATTGTATACTACTGTTGTTGTAGATGGGCGTCACTCTTACGCTGGGCAAGTGATCGGCTCTCAGTATCAATTGGGCACTGATGACGATGTCCTCCCGCGTTCCCAACGTCTCTAGTCTCGTGTACCTCAAAATGGTGGATAGCACGGTTTTCATTTGGTACATAGCGAATTTTTGGCCTATTTCGAAAGGGGGGATGGAAAAAAAAAAATTAAAAATTAAAACCGCCAGACAGTTTTACGACCAACGTTTGTGACCATAGGGTCGCGGTTCATACCTATGCAATTCCTGGGCCCGGCACTGAACGGTATGTACGCGTAAGGATGACGTTCCGCACACCGTTCGGGCAAAAATCTGTCGGGGTCGAACTCTTCCGCGTTGGGATATAGACTCTCTTCATGGTGCAAAAAATGAGGAACGACCACTACGTTTGATTTTGACGGTATCGTGTACTTCTCTAAACATTCGGTGCCGTATTATTAGAAAATAAAAATAAAATAAAATCCATAAAGAAATCATGACAGGTTTTGTATTCTTCATATAGAGTAGAATCCACTGAAAATAGCTCAGTAATTAACGTTGATGGCCGTACAAAACAATCTTGGTTCAAAAGCAACAATATTTTTGATATTGTAATGTTTTTGTTTTGCTCACGTAAACCATAAAATTGGAACAAATTGTTAATTTAAATAAATTAATAGATATCTAAAGGAAAATACAAAATAATAATGAATAATATAGAATTGGCGAGCATAACTTTTTTAAGTGATTTTACGTTGTTAAGTGCCCGTAATAAAAAACTTCATTTTGTCCAAAATCACGAATTTTCCTTGAGGGAAAATTTTTTTCGATATATGGTCGAAGTCGACTACGATTGCGTTGAAATTTATGGTAAAACTAAATTATTGTCGAGTTTGGGAAAGAATTCTCCAAACTGATAAGGTGATTAAATAAAAATATTGTCCACACAAACCGAATCGAATGCCCATTTTGTTTTTTTTTTTAATTTGTTACGACTATGATACGTTGGCTTTTGGGACCAGACAATTTCACCCGTATTTAGCGGATACTCATAATAACTGGTGTCTACATTGGGCGGATTCCACTGTATAAGGTGTAGGTAAGCGACGAAACTTAATCGTAATGCGAATTAAAAGATAAACTCTGACAATTGTACTTACTGAGGTGGAGCGGGTCGTTGAGCGTCCTCGTGATGCCCGGCACACTAGGGTAGAGTCGCATTGTCTCCTTTATCACTCTTTCCAAATATGACATTGCTTTGAGGTCTTCCATTGTTGCGTCCCGGGTGCTGTCACCGAATATTGTATAAAGCTCGTCTCTGGCCAAAGTCTGTTTAACAATGCAAATCGAATGAAAAACACGACGGTGGATACGCCAGATTTTTTTTATTTATACAATTCATGTACAAAAAAAATATGGATTTCGAACAATTGAGATTTTTTATTCTAACTCTTACAACTTTTATGTTTAACATCCTACATACGCTGTAATGTGTAAAACATATATTTTTTTCTAGTACCAATAATTTTTCCATCATATATTTATTATGTGATTTTGATCAAACTATGATGGTAAATTGGGGATTTTTTTTAATTGATATATTATTCACCTTTTTTTACAAGTATTAGTTTTTTAAGTTTCAACTTTTTTTTTTAACGTTCAATTAGCTGTATGAATTGAAATATTATGGAATAATACATAATATTATAAAATGTATGAACAATATAATAGTTATAATAAATATTATAATATATGAGAGGGTTAGGAGATTTTATTCATAACATGATGGTTTTAAGACAAATAACTGATTCAAAGACTAACTTGCATCCTTTGATCGAGTCCTAAATGAATGATAGCCATTGTAATAGCGATTGAAGATGTGTCGTGTCCTTCGAAGAGGAACGTATCAACTTCTTCGCGTATATCTCTGTCCGTCATTGTGTCGGGGTTTTCTTTAGATATTCCAATCAGTAGATCCAAAAATGAGTACACTCGTTTTTTCCCTAGAACAATCAAGTGTTCATACACATTTAGGTTTTAAACATCACACGTTTATTGTAGTCAAATGTAAGATTCTACCCGAGACTTTACCATTTTCATCAACAATCTTTTGCTCAGAGTTTTCTAGTACCGCCCGTCTCTCCTTGATGATCTGTAAAACGCAACGATCATTATACATGAGTGGATATTTTAGTTAGTAATAATAAAACGAATGGTTACTTTATCAGTGAAATCGTGTAATAATTTTAACTCTTTACGGAATTTTTTGCCGGGTGTGCTGTTATAAAAGACAAAATCAATCCAGTAATAAAATGTAAACATACGCTTAATCAATATATTAGTGACACTGAAACATAAAATCAAGACGAGACAACAACTAAAACGATAAATTCAGTAAAAATAATTGGCAAACAATATCACAGAAATTTAAACGTTCTCTTACGTTTTGATTGCATTGACATAATCGATCGATTTACCCTCTTGGCTTCGCAAATGCACACCCATAATCGTTTCTAAACAATAAAAGGGATTAGTACTAGTATATAGTATTATATCATTTATTTTAAATTATAACCACGGATATATTAATAACGATTAAGAAATTACCATTCAATCACTTTTTGTAATAAAAAAAAAAAAAATTTTTATTTAATAATTATTTCGACATTTGTATGCATATTTTCATTAGCATTTTGGAGGCTTAAAAATCGTTAGCGGTAGTTTTTTACATACACTGAAAATAAGTTCTGTGCATGCCCATGACACACACGTACGCACACACACCCTTACGTATTTACACATAAATTATTCGTTTATATATTTTGCATATCGTGATTAAAGGTAACACTGAATCTTTCATTTCCAAAGGCAAAAATGGTAGTAGATAATCTAAGCTTTGAACCTGACGATAACACATACGTACCACATACTATGTCCAACGCGCAAAGGGTAACGTGCTCATCGATTTCCGCTAAGGGTTCACCGTTCTCGGATGCTCTGATGAGATTTTTGACTAATGAACGGGAGTGATCGTTGAGCGACGGCATGTAGTTTTCCAATACTTTAAAGTGGAAAGTGTTTGTCAGCAGCTTTCTCCGGGATTGCCATTTTTGACCTGTTAAAAATGATTTTAGATAACCTCTGTATCACTATTTTATTTATATTTATTTACAGTTATCTTATTTGGAAATTCACATTCTAATACAATGTTAAGATACACGGTAAACAAAGTGTACGACAGAATAGTTAATTATTATAATATAATACACTTATATACAGGGCCAGCCGAAGCGCAAAAATAGTGCACTAGGCAAAATACAATTTTGCCGCCTCTAAAAAACAAATTGAGCTTTTATTTTAACTGAACACCTCTCCCTATTTTTTATGTGAAATTTATACTAAAAAAATTTTTATGTAAAAATTATGTAAATTTGATATTTATACAATAAAATGTAAATTTATATAAAAAGACTTCAAAATGATTTTTATTACTATTACTCAAAATCCATCAGCGACTATCGGATAAGTGGTTATTTATATTTTTTGAATACTCGAAAACGACCGGGTAAGGCGTAATATAAAGTAATATAATAATTATCGACAATATTATTTTATTATATAGGTAAGTGGTTTTCACGAATTAATTTATTTAAATATTTTTTTTATAAAATACCAATAGAACTAAAAAAATGTTCGAGTTAATTTTAAAAATGCGGCCCTTACTAAAGTGCCGCTTTAAGCAGGTGCCTAGCTTACCTATACCTTGAGTCGGCCTTGCTTATATATATGTACACAATAATATTAAAAAGCGAAATGTCGTTATCATTATCATTAGTATTACTATGTATACTCGTTACCTACCCGTGCTTGTCAGCAGCCCTTTGTTCAACCACGGTTCCAAATTATGATATTCGGGGCCTTTCGTAATATGTTGCGCACTCGACAACACTGCCTGCAACACACAACTGTATCAAAACATGATGCACATACGACCGTCGGAAACAAATTTTTTTTCATAACGACCGTCAAATGATTTGGTTAACATAATACGTATAAGATACTTATATGTCGTACCTTCACGTCTTCTGGATCGTTTATTAGAAAATAATGACGGGTTAAAATTTGTGCATGAACTAATGGTCCAATCGTGTTCACAACTTGCCAGAAATAAGGTAAAATTTCTGAAAAAATAGATTACATTTAAAATAATACAGTGTTATATTCGTTTTGGTTTTCGATGTACAGATTGGTTTCGCCCGATCGTACAACGCAAATAATATATCGTTTCGTTCATAAATTATATCTAATTTTGTGACATCGGGAGCATTAAAGTATTACGTTAGTAGATCAGGAGGGGGATGGATTTGAGAAATCACAAGTAACTCGTCGTAAACATGTGCTGATGTTTTTAAATTAGTAATGTGTAAAACCGTATTTAATAAAAGATTGTACTTTAAATATAAGAAATTTGTCAAAATAAAATCTAAGTTTAACTCTCCGATTTGGTGTATATTTTGTAGAAGATTTCAGTGATAGCTTATACTTAGTCTAGGATTGTTGAAATAGTTTTATTTACATCCATTGATGTATTATTTAGTTAAAGCGAAAAACATCATGCACTCGTAGCTTTTATTGGAATAAAACGCGAGTCTTATAAAAAAAAATGTTGGGCTACTCACATTTAAATTGAAAATATTGTATTTGTTTAATGTTAATTGATTTACAAATAATTATAATTAGTAAATCAGAATAATTATTAGTTTATCGATAGATTACTATGTGTTTCAATTTCTAACAACTAATTTGCACGTCTTAAACTATTATGCTGTAAATATTGTACTACTTGAGTTGTTACAAAAAAAAAAAAAAGTGGAAAACACTCACCATTTGGTTTTAAACAAGCGACTTTTAACGGTACACTCAATAAGGTCCAATAAGAGTTCGTGAGTGAGGGAAGTTGTGAAGTAGATTTAGTTTTTCTTCCAGACGAATTGAACACGAAGAACAAGATGAGTACACCGAAAATCGATAGCCACGTCAATACTAAGAGCCAAAAGTTATTTGAAACCCACGTAAGGGCTTGCATTATAATAAAGATAATCATTTTAACAACAACGGATTGAATTGTAATGAATTAAAAAAAATTAAATAAATAAACAAAAAATAGACGTCGAATTCTTTAGTGTACTTTTTATAATCGTTCACTTCCTGTGGTTTTATGAGTAGTAATAAAATATACGAAAACTGAAAATAATTTTCCTCGTCAACTTAAATCATCGGTACGTGCACAGTGACGCGCCGGTGACTTTAGAACAGTTTTATAAGTCGTGATCAAGTTTACCCACTTGGGTCATTGAAGACACTAAAAATGTATTTATTGTGTATACAAGAGAATAAATAAAAAAAAACTCACACGCGTACACAAGTTAACGGCTTTTGCGGTATTGACGTATTTGCGATGCGATTTATACACGTCATTTCGACTCGAATCCAAAGTGGGAAAACATTGTTTACCATAAAGCGTAAGATGTAATAGCCAGATATCAACACTATGATCCGATAGGTATACGGGATTTAATTGGAATTCCAACTCGTTAATATCGAAATCGATTACGCTAAATGTAAAACAAAACGCGTCCTTAAGACAATAACGGTCATATTTTTATTGAAAATAACATTAGATCATAATACATTTAAGAAGCTTGGAAGAATATGTAATACCACGTGCGTTATGACATTATTTCAGTCTTTGTTTTATCTATGTTCTCTTCGCCATTGTTAAATATTTATTAATTTTATCCAAATCGTGATACTTAAAGTATTAATTTGGTAACGTTATTTAAAATAAAATCGTAATTCGTTCCATAAGGCGATTTCAAATATACTCGATAACTAAGAAGGTGATGGACAAAATCGAAATAAAAACATTTCACGAATGAAACTAAAGACTTTCAGTGCCTATTTAAACGGTTCTTTTTTTCTTTGAATTATATCGAAAGACCAATAATACTCCAAAATATCCTTTAATCGTGGGAATTTATATACGTCTCGCTTTTTTATTTTTATTGGATCGGTTTTCAATGCAAAACAACTGAAACGACAAGATGTATAATATATGATACATATATAATTTATTTGACGTGAGAAAATTAGGAATATGATCAATCATACAAATGTGATGATACAACAATACTTGTAATCAAGACGGTGGTAGTCGCAAAAAAATGAGTGATTGGTTAGTTCTTGGTTATGGTTTACGGTAAGAGAGAAAAATTTATATTTTACTTTTTTATGATTTAATAGATTTTTTATTGAAGAACTTACGTCTCTTTATGTCTGTACTTGTTTGAAAGACTAATTATAATTTAAAGTACATATACGACTGATGGTTTCAGTAAATACATTTACATACTTTAATCAAGGTCGTTTATGATACTAAAATTATAGCTCAAAGACTGGGTACAGCCTTATGGATAGGTAATTGCATAAACGCGTTGTCAAAACAAAGTTTTTGTCACGGCAGGCGAAAAATTATTATATCATAAAAACAGAATTTGATTATGTAAACGTACTCTTATATTTTTTACCATATTATTCTATAAAAATAAACAAAAAATGTTTTCCGAAAAGGTAATTTCTGATAAATTTTAGTAAGCGTAGGTGCAAAGTTATTGGTTATTGTCGATGAAGTTCAAGGTTTAATGCTTTATTGAATTGACGCATATTACGGATGAAGCGGATTTTTCATAGTGAAACATTGATAAATCTGTGTACTTGATCCAGACAAGTAGTTTATCAATTTTTATTTTGGCGATAAAGGTTTTAATAAGTCTGTACATGTAATACTATACTATATATACAGTCTTCTTCTATAAATAATATACATGCCTTTATATGATTTATTTGGAAGTATTTTTTCATTCAGCACGTCACCATAATAACGGGTTAAATATTAAAAGCAAAAAATAATTAAAATTTCCTTCGAGAACTAATTTACTTTGATAATTATTTGAAATTATGCACATCGGTTGAGTTTGACATAAAATTATCACTTAAGTGTAAATCACCTTTAAATTTATGTTTAAAATAAAGAAAATAATTGTAAATATTTTGTCATTTAAAACTGTCCAACCTTAAAATGTTTAGAATTTAAAAATGTAATTTTAAATTCACCTATATAAATATATATTTGTATGTAAGCTTATGCGTTTGTAAATGAAGGCTAGGTTCACGTAGATACGCGTTTAACTTTTTTGATCATTCACATGGATACGAGCGTTAAACGGGAAAAAAGTTGGTTTTTATTTTATATTTAACATACAATTTGTATTATACATTCAACGAAAATGGACGTGCTGAAGCTGTGTTTGTAGGTCACATATCGAAAAATGATAAGACAAAGACATATGGAAGAAAGAAAATATTGGTTCCATCCAATTTGAGGAATAAGACTTTCTTCAAGTCATCGTATTAACTTATATCCGAAGTGTAGGGTTCGTGAAGAAATTTCTTTTAACTATCTTCGAATTTCAATAAAATTATTTGATAACCTATTGAATATAGTTAAAAACTACCTGGAAGTAAATGAACAAGCTGTAAGATATTGTATTTCACCACAAGTAAAACTTATTGTTACTTTCAGGTAAGTCAATTTAAATTATAATTCATACAAATAAAAACAAACATTTCTAAATGATAATATTTTTTATTGAAAATAAACAAAATAAAATATTATATTTTTTTAACTGAAAAATATTTTCTTAAAATAAGTTGTTACATATTTTTAATAAAAACCATTAATAAGTACCTAAACAAATAAAAACCAACAAAATAATTTTTTAATAAAATTTTAACGTAGTAAAAAAAAATTACATCATTCAATTTTTAATTAATCTTCATTCAAATAATTCAAGGTCGGATGAACCTTGAGCATTTTCAATGATGCCAGACAATGGCGATGGAGTTCCTGGAGGATCCATATTTTGTTTCTTTGTTTGTGAACATAATCTTGATGTATTTCGTACGGAATAGTGGTACACTTTGTTGGTACACTATTTTGGTTACTTGGTATCTGATCATGATCCTGTCGCGTACCATATGGGTTGGCTGTATAATTATTTATATAAGGATATTATGTATATAGTGGTTCAGAAAATGGTTAGACGAACGATATGAATAAATGGTTGGATGGAGACGACTATATAAGATTTGGAATTTGTGTTTGTTGTATAGTTTGTTTTTCAAAGTTATATTATAAGTATTTATCTTTTTTTTTAAACGTAAAGCCTCAGGTACTTTTTGAATTTCTTCAAATATGTAGGGCGTCGTACAAATTAATACAGTTAATTTATATATATTATACATAATATATAAATCTATATGCATATAATATAATAATTATAAGAAACATTATTTCGCTAATGATTAGGTACTTATAGGTATAATTAAAAGAAAATAATGTTATCATTACAAGAAATTGTTTTATTTTGTATTTTGTAAGTACTTGTTAACGGGTCGCTCAATATCTGAGTTACATTATAATTATAGAATTAGGATATCTACGATGACTGGAGTAATACGCCTGGTATGTGCTAAGTAATTAATATGAACGAAATTGAAAATATCGTAATGAAGAAACCTAATAATCAGAAGTAGAAAGATATTTCGAATGAATTTGAATACTTGTAAAATTTCCAAACTGTGTTGGAGCGTTATATGGGAAGCATCTAATAATCGAATAATCCAACCTTCAGGTTCCGGTTCTATTTAATATAACTATAAAAATATTGTTTTTTTTCATTTTAAGGATTTTATGTAACTCAAATAACAGTTTTATAGCTTCATATGGATTGATACTGATGGTTTTGGTAAAGATAGTAACATAGGAATTTCCAAAGAATCTACTTTGTGTAAAAAACAGTCAGAAAAAGAATTAGATATTCCTGATCCTAGAACTATAACTGACAATAGAGATATCAGAGTTCTATATGTGATTGTAGCTGGTAATTTGGTATCTTCGAAAATTGTATGAGGCCTTACGGTGGCAAAATATTATTATATGAAAAAAAATAATATTCAACTAGCGTTTAACTTTGGTACGTTGTTGTGCAGAATACACATTCGGAATAATGTGTATTAATAAATTCATCACACACTAGACGAGCTATAAGAGGTGTAGATGTCATTCGAAAAAAATTCGACACTTATTTTGTAAATGAAGGGAAAATAGAATGATAAGACAACACGATTTAAAATGTTCTGTAATTTCTAAATTAGTAAATAAATAAAACCATAAATATATATTTTAAAATGATATAAAACAATATGTATTGCACAACGAACACACTGTTTTGTCGTAAACGCACGTGTCAACTGAATGATCCGTATTGTAACAACAGGTTCTACGACAAAAAAAGCTAACGAAAAAGAGCGAACGCATATGAGCGAACAATAATCAGAGCGAAAACAAAAATAGCGAAAGTATGTGGATTTTAAAAACTATTAGCTGATGAAATGTGCATTGCACTTATATCTCATATTTTCATCGTAATAATTTTATCCGCTTAAATTGTTCACAAGTAATTTTATTAGAAGTTCGTGTGGATTGCAATAACTCGTAATAATTCCAAAAAAACATATTACAATTAGGCAGAAAGATTAAAAATATTGTTATGATGATTATAATAAGGTACCATTTCTTAATTATTTAAGAGATATTACGTATAATTTTTCATTGAAAGTGTGATCACAATTTACGATAGTAAACAATTTTTTACAAAAATAAATAATACAAATTAAAAATAATATATTCTATGTATTTATTTTTATTTAAATATAGTATTAATAAAATATTTTCGCTCGAATTATTATTCGCCCATTTGGTTTTCACTCTTTTGCTTACTCTCATTACCGTTCGCCATTTCGTCGGGATACTTAACAACAGCGTTTCAATTCGCAATGTCAAGCACGTCTACGCGCTTAAATAGAATCTTACGTTGTTACCGCGAACGACGCACGTGTACTAACTAACCTAGCCTATTGATAAAATAAATTGTTCTACAACCGATTAAGTGTTCACTTCATCTACCTAAATGGTTATGTAAACAAAAACAATGTTACTTACCGAAGGTCAATAGCCGTTAATGGGTTTTTAATTAGTTGTTGACGTTTACGTTAAGCATATTATAGTTTCTGTACACTTAAACGGGTGTAAACCATTTAAGGAAAAATCGAGTAGAAAACCATCACAATTTGAATTCAAATGTCGGTAAATATTGTTCACGACGATGAGATACGAACGTGTAAACATAATAATATGATATACTCGTATTCTCGCCTACTTGTGTTGTACAATATTATTACACGAACAAGTGTTTTCAATGGCTTCAAGTAGTGCTTCAGAATTACGGTAAGATGATAAGACGTGG